CCCAGCTCTCTCTTATGGCCCAGGAAAGCACTGCAAGATGGCCCAAGTCCTTGGGCCCCTGCACCCATGTGGAAGATCCAGAAGCTCCCAGCTCTGGCTTCAGATTGGTTCAGCTCCAGCTATTACAGCCATTTGGGGAGTGAACTAGTGGAATGAAGTCCTTTCTGTCTCTCCCTCTCACTATCTCTAACTGTACTTTGCAAGTAAATAAATAAAAATCTGAGGGGCCAGCGCTGTGGCACAGTGGGTTAACGCCCTGGCCTGAAGCGCCAGCATCCCATATGGGCGCCAGCTCTAATCCCGGCTGCTCCACTTCCCATCCAGCTCTCTGCTGTGGCCTGGGAAAGCAGTAGAAGATGGCCCAAGTCCTTGGGCCCCTGCACCCACGTGGGAAGCCTGGAAGAAGCTCCTGGCTCCTGGCTTTGGATCAGCACAGTTCCAGCCACTGCGGCCAATTGGGGAGTGAACCATTGGATGGAAGACCTCTCTCTCTCTCTCTGCCTCTCCTTCTCTCTCTGTGTAACTCTTTCAAGCAAATAAATAAATCTTAAAAAAAAAAAATCTGAAAAAAAAATGGGTACTTCAAGAGATAGTAATAAAACTCCTGTGATCACATGACCAGTTGAGAACCAAGAACCATAATAGTTATAAGCCTTTCTTCCTTATTCTTATATCTGTAATATAAACCAAATTTGGGGTTTTTTTTCTTCCTTTTCAATTTGTTCAGTCTCCCTCTTATTCCCCAAACTTCTAACATAAAATGTTTTCACAGTAGTTAACTTCATATGCCAGGATTTATATTCCACATTATCAAAGAGGTATGATCCAATAAGAATAGGAATAAACATCACCCAAAGATGAATTAAAAGCATTTGCATGTTTTTTAGGAGAGTCAGTATATACTTGGTTGTTACATCATCAACTTCTACTTGGGAGTTCTCACTTATCTGCTTTTATATGGAAGTTCTCACATATTTAAAATAATCAAGAGAGCAGTATCTCGATGGTAAGTAGACAGGGGTGACACCTGGTGATTTTGATCGTGACATATTTGACTAGGCAAGATCTACATTTCCTAGAATCTTTCCCTTCCTGCCTAAATCTAGGTTCAGGCTGTAAAACAGAACTTTGCCAGAGATTTGGAAATTAGAAGTAAAGCAGGTCTCACACATATTCTCCCCATCACAGAATACCAGGCCCCACACATATTCTCCCTATCTCAGAAGATCAGAGTGGGATCAGGGCTGGATACAAATGTTAATGTCAAACCATGCTCCAAAGTTAAAATCATCATACCTTAGACAAAGTCCTGATGCACTAAGAATATAAGAAAGTACAATTACTTGTAATAAAACAGGGTAATTTAACATTTTTGATCAAAATTATACCATCTAACAATAGCCTATATAATAGGAGATAAGAATGCAAATTCAAGTGAATGATTTCACCAATTCATAATAGGGAGGGAATGCACAGGGCTTATTACAGCTAATTTGCTCAAAAGGATTCTGAATTGTGTGAGGACTACAGTCAAGCATTCCCAAGTTTACAAACGACACATTCTTCAGAAACAGCAACCATTCTTCAGAAACAGCACATTTTCCAAGCAATATCCCAAATTGAAATTAACAATGAAAATTATCTGCCACCATGGAAGCCATCAAATCCAAAGCAACAAACCAAAGGCAATTTCAAAAAGGTGCTATTGAAAATACAGTTCAGGCCGGCGCCGTGGCTCAATAGGCTAATCCTCCACCTAGCTGTGCCGGCACACCGGGTTCTAGTCCCGGTCGGGGCGCCGGATTCTGTGCCAGTTGCCCCTCTTCCAGGCCAGCTCTCTGCTGTGGCCCAGGAGTGCAGTGGAGGATGGCCCAAGTGCTTGGGCCCTGCACCCCATGGGAGACCAGGAGAAGCACCTGGCTCCTGGCTTCGAATCAGCACGCTGCGCCAGCCGCAGTGCGCCAGCCGTGGTGACCATTGGAGGGTGAACCAACGGCAAAGGAAGACCTTTCTCTCTGTCTCTCTCTCTCTCTCACTATCCACTCTGCCTGTCAAAAAAAAAAAAAAAAAAAAAGAAAGAAAGAAAATACAGTTCAACAAGCGGGTAGAATAATAGAAAAGGTAATTTACTTATTTACTTGAATAATTATTTGAAGTAGTAATCTCTTAAGGACAATGTATTGATTTCATTATTCAGTTATTTCAAAACAATATTCCGGGGCTGGGATTGTGCTACAGAAGCTAAGCCACTGCTTGCAAAGATATCATCCCATATTAAAGTCTCAATTGCTTCACTCTGGCCAACTACTTCCTAACGTGCCTGGGAAAGCGGCAGGGGAAGGCCCAACTCCCTGGACCTCTGTCACCCATCAGCAGACCCAGATGGGAGTTCCAGGCTCCTGACTTGGCCTACCCTAGTCCTGGCTGCTGCAGCCATTTGGGGAGTGAACTAAGGGATGAAAGAGCTATGTTTCTATCTTGTCTCTCCTTCTCTCTTGCTCTGCTTATCAAAATAAACAAATCTTATAAAAATATAATCATATCCCACTGACAAAGATTAAAATCTTATTAAGTGGCAGGTGCCGCAGCTCACTAGGCTAATCCTCCGTCTATGGCGCTGACACCCCGGGTTCTAGTCCCGGTCAGGGTGCCAGATTCTGTCCTGGTTGGTCCTCTTCCAGTCCAGCTCTCTGCTGTGGCCTGGGAAGGCAGTGGAGGATGGCCCAAGTGCTTGGGCCCTGCACCCGCTTGGGAGACCAGGAGAAGCACCTGGCTCCTGGCTTCGGATCAGCGTGGTGCGCCGGCTACAGCGTGCCGGCTGCGGCGGCCATTGGAGGGTGAACCAACGGCAAAAGGAAGACCTTTCTCTCTGTCTCTCTCACTATCCACTCTGTCAAAAAAAAAAAAAAATATATGTAATCTAAAAATGACCATACTAAATGGAGACTAGGTTTAGTAACATCTCTCAGACCATCAGTCCGTTGTGAAATAAAGAATACTTGGCTTGGGGCCAGCACTGTGGCATAGCAGGTTAAGCCACCACCTGCAGTGGTGGCATCCCATATGGCCACGTTTTTAAATCCCGGCTGCTCCACTTCCAATCCAGGTTTCTGCTATGGCCTGGGAAAGCAGTAGAAGACGGCCCAAGTTCTTGGGCCCTTGTACCCACATAGGAGACCAGGAAGAAGCTCAGACTCCTGGCTTCCGATCCGCCCAGCTCCAGCCATTGCAGCCATTTGGGGGAGTAAACCACAGATGGAAGACCTCTCTCTGCCTTTGCTTATCTGTAACTCTCTGCCTTTCAATAAATAATAAAATCTTTAAAACATAAAAAATAAATAAATTTTAAAATTTAAAAAAAAGAATACTAGGGTCAACATTTAAGATAACTTAAATTGCTACCATTTTATTACAGACCCTCAGCCTATGAATCATGAGACAAAGCCAAAAGGGTTTGTCACTTTGTATTCAAATTTATATTTAAACAACTTGTAAAGTTCTGTATGCATGTGTTTGTTGAGGGGGAGGGTGTATTTAAGAAGACATTTCTTTCAAGTCTGTAAAAAATTCAATCTTTCTACCATATGGTACAGGTAGTGTGTGGCAAAGGATGTGTTCATTACAGCCCATAAAAAACTGAAAATATTCATACTACAAGTTTCTCGCCCTGTCAACTACCTCTTAACCAAATACATCTTGAGCTTTCATTAGCAAATACAGTACAGTATGATTAAAAACAAACAAGGGGTAGAAACACAGCAAAATGCTAAAAGTAGTTGCCTGAGAATGTTAGAATAAAGGACGTTTAAAACATACTTGAGGCCGGCACTGCCTCTCACTAGGCTAATCCTCCACCTGCAGCGCCTGTACCCGGGGTTCTAGTCTCGGTTGGGGTGCCAGGTTCTTATCCCGGTTGCTCTTCCAGTCCAGCTCTCTGCTGTGGCCCGGGAGTGCAGTGGAGGATGGCCCAAGTGCTTGGGCCCTGCACCCGCATGGGAGACCAGGGGGAAGTACCTGGCTCTTGGCTTCGGATCGGTGCAGCACGCCAGCCCTAACGGCCATTTGGGGGGTGAACTAACGGAAGGAAGACCTTTCTCTCTGTCTCTCTCTTTCTCACTAACTCTGCCTGTCAAAAAAAAAAAAAAAAATACTTGAAAACAACTTCAAATAACTCCACTTCTAGGAACTTATTTAATGAAAATAGAGAAACACACAAAGATTTAGATTCAGTGATGTTCAATACAGCATTATTTATATTCTTTAAATGAAGACAGCCTAAAAGTTCAACACTGAAAATAAGTAAATAAATAATGTCACTGCAGAAAACAGTCTGGTAGGTCCTCAAAACATTAAACATAGAATTACACATGATATAGCAATTTCACTCCTAGGAATATATGCCCAAAAGATATGAAAGTAGGGATGGAAATATTGGTCCACCAATATTCACATTATTCACAAAAGCCAAAAGGAAGGGAAAAAATCCAAATATCCATCAACAGATGATTGGATAAACAAGATGAAATATTAATAGCTTAAAAAGAAATTCTGATACATGTTACAGAATAGATGAATCTTGAAGACATGACACTACATGAAGTAAGTCAGCCACCAAAGGACAAATAGAGTATGATTCTACTTGTATGAGGTACTTAAAATAGCCAAATTCATGGAAATATGAAGTAGAACAGTAGTTACCAAGTGGATGGGGAGGGGCATAAAAGAAAGCTACAGTTTAATGCGCACAACGCTTCAGTTTGAAATAACGAAATCATTCTGGATAGAGTTAGTGGTACTGTTGCACAAGTGTGAATACACTTCAACCCTATCGATTGTTCACTTAATAACAGCTATTTTAATAGTAAATTTTGTTACATATATTATACAATAAAAAGTAGGAAAAATAATTTCTGTAATCAGAATTTTAAAAGAATATTTTAAAGATCTCACAATTGGAAATAGAACAGAATGAAGTAAAACATATAATTATTTCCACTAACCTGAAATGGATGCCATTCTGAAATTCAACTGGAGATACAAATTTCTTCCTAAAAATGAAAGAAAAATCATGGCAACAATTTTCTTAGAACTCTTGATAATGTCACTGCTGACCATGAAAAATGTTAGAAAGTAAATTATTTATAGCATTCACTTTTCAAGTAAGGGCTACATGATTCCCCCCATGAGTTTTTATAGAAGTTTCTAGATTTAGGGAAAGTTTCTTAATAAACACACACATGACAGGTAGAATGTAATAACAATTATCAAACATTCCCCAGACACAATACGATGTTATAAAAAAAGTTACAGCACTAAATTACTGCAAGACCATGGTAAGGATACACATCCTGTTCCTCTGAACCTCTTTCTCTACCTGTAAAACTAGGATGTCTGAAGCAGCTTTATAACAAGTTGGACAGCGTCAAATGTCCTACATTAAGGAAAACAGAACATAAATAATCAAGTACATTATTTAACAATTTATTGAGCAATTGCTTTAAAGAATAACCATTTGAAGATTTCTCTGTAGTTCTGCTTTTCCACTAAAAATGAATTTATAAGGAATTACAATGTGAGTTCGATCTTAAAGGAGCAATTGGCATTTTAAAGAAGTGTTGCATTTCAGGACAGAACATGGAGATGGTTTGGAACTCTAAGTACCTACGAATGACTAAAACTTAAGTGCAGGCATGGGCAAGGGTAAGATGAGTAGAAACTTTAAATTCCCCATTATCCTGTGCACACCCACCCACACTCTCTGAGATGGATAATCAAGATGGCCTAAAACTAAGTGACAATATGTGCTTTCCAAAGGCGGCTTCGGCACCATCCCAGCCTTAACGCCCTTCCTACACAGGCTGGTAAGACAGGCTGGGTCCTGCCCGCCTCGCTGAAGAGTCTGGAGCGGCCACGCCACTGCAAGGTAATGAGGGAGGCCACCAAGGACTTTAATAAACACCCGCCCACCACATGGTGGGGAGGGACCTCTAACAACACTCTTTCCATAGAGGGCAGGGTCTTCTAGCGCTGAATCCACCTAGTCCGGCACAGCGCCCTGCACGCGGTAGCACAGGCTCGGGTCTGCGGCGACCGAAGGCGGGGCCGTCTCTACCCTCCCAAGAAGATGCCATCCGTATCCGACAGCTCCCCACCTCCAAACACGACTCCGCTCACTGCACAAACGGCAGGAGCGCGCCTTCCCCCACAATGACGTCATTAACAAGACATCGCAACACGAGACGCACTGGGCCACCAAGGAGCTCTAAGTGGGTCAGAAGGAGACGCTCAGCACCCACGGGGCGAGCTCTGCCGAGTGCGACCCGCCGCGCCCCCGCCCACGGCCAGGGAATGGCGCCCCGCCTCGCGCTGCCGAGCGGCCTCCCCGGGGGCCATTTCCCAATGCACAGGCTTCAGTGGCCGGGCCTCCCGCACGGAACAGGCTGGAAACACAGACAGCGACCACACGAACGTGCTTCTCAGGGCCCGAGTTCCCGGGGAGCAGAACACCGACCAACGCCCGGCGTTCTTCCCCCGCCGACGCGTTAGCGGGAGGAAGTGATCCGCGACTGCCCGGCCTCGCCCTCTGAGGTACTTCAAACAGCCGAACAGCACGGGAAAGGGAGAGGGCAGGGAAGGAAAGGACGCCCTGGCCCCGCCAAACCTGTACCTGGGGCTGCCCCAGACCCTTTCCCGAGGGTTCAGTAAGCCGCCTGACCACAGCCCGGCCGTCCGCCCCAAAGCGCCCCGCCTGAGGGACCGCTAACGCACCTCCTTCAAGCGCTCCGCAATAAAAATCTTCCCGCCACCCAGCTGGGCGCACTCACGCTTCCGGGTCGGTCCGTTCAGCCAATCGCAAACGACAACCTTCTCTAATTGGCCGGGAGGTGTGGCCGCCGGGAGCGTCACCAAACAAGGCCACTGGCTATTGGTTGATACTCAGAGCCGATTCGGCCAATAGGACGCGGTCTTGAAGCCCGGGTCGTGGTGGCTGCGTGTTTCCGGAAGACGTGGCGGCTCTCGCCTGGGCTGCTTCCCGGCTTCATTTCTCCCGACTCAGCTTCCCACCCTGGGCATTCCGAGCTGCTGCCACCGCTGCCCTCGCCGCCGCAGCCATGATCTCCTTAACGGACACCCAGAGTAAGCGCCTGCCCCGGTACCCTAGCCTCGAGCCCCGCACACCCCTCGCTTGGGCTGGGTCCTGTCCGTCCGCCCGCCCTCTCGCAGCTCCTCCCGGGTCAATGAATGAAGCTCCGCGCGCGGGGCGGCGGCCCGCGGGACCGAGCGGGGGCTGCCAGGACCTGGAGGGGCCAGGGCTGGACTTGCACTGCTGGGACCTGGGCTGGAAGGAGAGTCCGTGGCGGGCGCGGGGAGGCTGGTGCGGAGCGTCCGGGGTCGCGCCGCCCGCACGCCGCGTGAGGCTGGCGCTTTGTTCCCGGGACCGCCACGAGAGAAAAGTTTGCTGCGCGGTGCCCGCGGCCCGCTCCCGGGGTCCTTTGCCCCCGGGGGCACGCTGGGCGCCCTCCGCAAGTGGCCGGCGGGCTGGTTGTGTGGAAGGCGGTGTTTTAAATGTCACCTCCTGGAGGCCGATTTTGAGAATCGCTTACACACTTAAATATTTTGAATTCTGTAGTCGTCTTCTGCCACCGCTGGGAACCAGAATCCCTTGAAGCGCCTTCGCTTTTCTCCCCGCTGAAGTTTGAAAAGCAGTAGAGAAGCCACTTTGTGTTGTGCCAGGGTTTCGTTAGTATTGTGCTTTGTGGCCGACTCTATTATCTGAACCTCCCTTTCTGCCTGCCACAGAGCTCGTCTCTCGGGTTAGCGGAACTGTGCTTCCTTGAGAGTGTCCACTTCTCTGCCCTTTCCTGTCACGCTCAGCAGTTTTTGTATTTACATATCTGCCCATAGTTTTGTGTTTACCCATCTGTGCTTCCTTTTGAAAAAGTATTTTATTTCCACCTACTTGAAAGGCAGAGCAAAAGTGAGAGAGAAGACGACAAGAGAGCAGGAGCGAGCTTCCACACTGGTTCACTCCCTGGACCACCTGCGTCTTTTTTTTCAGGGCTGGGCGAGACCCAGAGCGGGGATCGCCCACGTGGGTGACAGGGACTTCACTTGCTGCCCCCCAGCGTGTGCACCAACAGGAAGCTGGATTGGAAGCAGGGGCAAGACTTGAACCCAAACCCTGTGATAGGGGATGCTGTTAGTACCAAGCCGCACCTTATGCTGCTGCACCACGCCTCCTGCCCCTGCTTCCTTCTGATGGCCTGATAATATTGTATGTCTCACTTTCATTCATCTGCCGTGTCTTTCATCTCTTATTCTGTTCAACTTACACTTCAGAGATGTTAAGAATGAAGCAGTCTACTGAAGTGAAAATAGAACTTCATTTAAAATGCCTTTTTTTGAAAAATGAAGTCGTAAGGTTTAGATTCAGCTCATGGGAGATGTGAGCTTCACAGAGCCTCTAAGGGTTTCCACCCACACTGCCATTCCAGTCAGACTGTTCCCTCCTGGACTGGGTGGGCACCGTGGGGCCACCTGCCTTGGCACAGGAAGAGTGTCTGTATGATCTGTTGCATTCATGTGTTCTGATCAGAAAAAATAAAAGATTAGTGTAATCTTTTGGGAGGTGGGAGGAATCTACTGTAATCATTACTAGCAGTTGTATAAAGTGTTTTCTTTCAGTTTACCATGTGCTTTCGTATAAATCTTTATGGTTGATTTTTATAAGAGCCCCATAAGGCAGAAAAGGGACACATGCCTTTTATAAATTAACTGAGGCATGAAAGAAACTGAACGCAGGTTCATAAGAAAAATGGCATAAAAAGGTGATCCCAGGTCTGCTGACTCAAAAAGGTTTATTCTTTTCAGTGTACCCCACTACCATCTAAGACGACAAGACGTGAACTTCAAGCTCTTAGAATGTTTTGAGTCAGTGGTACTAAATATCAATTACTTATCTGTGAAAAATTTTCTTCTCTTGAAACCTTTTTACAGGGATGAGTGCCTAATTTACATCCTTCCAAATACCAGAACAAGTGATTGGGGAAGGAGTACAGGCCGAGTAAGAAGCCTTCTCCTCACCTCTCTCCATTAAATTAGTGAGGAAAATGAAGTTTTAAGTATTTTAGGTGAGACAGTGGATTGAAACAAAAAGATTAGTGAACCAAAATATTTTTTTAATTTCAGATTATGTTGGGATTGTATGTATGTTGTGCTACAAATATTGGCCATCATTCAGGTGATTTATCAGGATTATTCAAGGATTGTGAATCTGAGAAAAGGCAACCAAGTATTGATCACAGTAGAGTAAATGACAATTTGTGGTGCTTCAGGGGATTCTATAGCAGCACCCTCCCTGCCTCCCCCAAAAATGCCAAAAATTTATTTTAACTTTTTATTTATTTATTTATTTGAAAGGCAGAGAGATAGAGACCCAGATCTTCCAACCCTTGGTTCACTCCACAGATGCCCACAGTAGCCAGTGCTGAGCCAAACCAAAGCCAAAAGCAGGCATTCATCTGGATATCCTGCATGAGTGACTGGGACCCATCTACTTAAGTCATGTGCTACTTCCCAGGGTGCACAAAAGCTGGAATTAGAAGTATCGCTGAAACTGAAACCCCAGGCACTCTGCTATGGGATGTGAGCTTTCCAAGAGGCATCTTAACCACTGCACCAAAATGCCTGCCCCTCATTGCCTAAAATATACCATGATATTCAACCGAGTCATTCCATGAAGTTGATTTGCAGTTGTATCTTTTTTTAATGATTTTTTTGTCTTATAAAGGGTATAGTAAGAGAGACAGTGCTGCTTTTAGGAAATTGTGAATAAGATACTAAAATGTTAGCAGTGATTGTCATTGTTTATGCATATCTTTCCTTATTCTACAATAAGCTTTTAATGTTAGAAAAATTAATTTTATTAGATTGCTTTTAGCAGATCTTTGTTTTGCTTAAGTTTGTGAGAAAGCAGAATGAAGGTTTGATACTGAACAAGAGGAAGATAAATTGCTATGTTATTATAATTGTGGTCTGAATCAGGCAGCTCTGTGTAGGGCTCTAGACAGCCAGAGGGCTAGGAATGCATAAGGGTCACAAAGAAGGGATTTCTGGAGATGAGGACAGGGCACAAAAGGCCAGACTGAATCTTTTGACCCATTTAGATCAGGGAATACTTGGCAACATCATGCCAGTGCAGATTTTGGCAAAGATGTGACAGCAGCTGTCTGATGTCTGACTGCACTTGATATAGTAGTAGGAATTACTTGATTTCCATGTTGCAGTTGTAGGACTGGACCTGAAAGACTGTAGTGTGAGAAGACTAGTCTTGAATTCTAGCCTGACTTGATGCCACCACCCACACATTTTTGCTCATTCTGTGATCAAGGTCAAGTTACATAATCTCTCTGTTCTTGGTTGCCCATATGAAACATGGGCTACTTTTTACCCAACACAGTTTTGTTAAAGGAATTATGAGACATTTGTGTAAACATTTCATAAATGGTAAACCATGATCAGAGCAGCTTTTTCACCTTCGTCAATTTTTGATAGCTGTATTGGCATCTACTAAGTTAGATAATCAACTGCTGCTAAAGTTGAATTATCTCAAAACACTTCCCCCAGAAGTTCAGTACACTATAATGCCTTGACTTTGATTTAACCAAACATCTTTAACCTGAAAAAACTCATGTGGGAAGAAGTGATGACATAATACACAATGGTTAAGCACATGGGATTTGCATTCAGATAAATCTAGATTCAAATGTTTACCCACACATGTGCGTTTGGGCAGTCTGAGCCAACTCTCTGAAGTTTCAATTTCCTCTCCATCTCTAAAATGCTAATTATCCTATATTCCATTTGTGTTGAGAGAATTGTTATACAAGTTATGTGAAGTACCTCATAATGCCAAATTCATGATAAATTCTCAATACACAGTAGCTGTATTTTCCATCAGTTTCCTTTCTAATGAACAAACATCTCAGAGTTTCTGTATAATCATTAAGATGACTCAGAAAATATAGGAATTACGCACTCAAATGACTCAGCTGCCAGTGATTAAATGCTAGCTATTGAACACTTATTCAATGTGCTTTTACTTTTCTGTCCATATTATCCTCCAAGAAATTATGTCTGGCATGTAAACAGTTATTCTGGTGAATTCTCAAGGCATTTAGACAACAGAATATTATTCTCACTTTTATCAGAATTTTTGCCTGTGGAAGTACACTTAATTGGCATATTTATAGATAGATTCCTGAATTCTTTAAGATTGATTTGGGAAACAAAAGGTAGCTAGAGTGGAAGATAATAGTCACCAAGAAATTAAGGGGAGTGCGCTCCTGCATTGGGGATAAAGCTGCCACCTGCTGTGCTGGCATTCCCAAATGGGTGCTGGTTCTCATCCCAGCTGCTCCACTTCCAATACAGCTCTCTGCTATGGCCTGGAAAAGCAGTAGAAAATAGCCCGGGTGCTTGGGCCCCTGCACCCGTGTGGGAGACCCGGAAGAAGCTCCTGGCTTCGGATCAGTGCAGCTTCGGCTGATGCGGCCAGCTGGGGAGTGAACCAGGAGATGGAAGACCTCTCTCTCTCTCTCTTGCTGCCCCTCCTTCTCTCTGTATAACTTTGACTTTCAAATAAATCTCAAGGAAAAAAAAAAATTGAGGTGATGAGGGAATGTAGGAAAAGATAAAGTTGATTTTTTTTTTGACAGGCAGAGTTAGACAGTGAGAGAGACAGAGAGAAAGGTCTTCCTTCCATTGGTTCACCCCCCAAACGGCTGCTACTGCCAGCGTGCTGCGCTGACCCGAAGCCAGGAGCCAGAAGCCGGGCCATCCTCCACTGCATTCCCAGGCCACAGCAGAGAGCTGGACTGGAAAAGGAGCAACCGGGACAGAACCGGCACCCCAACCGGGACTAGAACCGAGGTGCCGGTGCCGCAGGCGGAGGATTAGCCTAGTGAGCTTCGGCGCCAGCCTAAAGTTGATGATTTAAAAAAACTAAGCAGCAGAGCATTTTATATGGCTTAAGTTTTTTTTTTTTTTTTTTTTTTTTTGACTAGCTGTGACCTAGATTTTAGCTTTTTGAAGCTAAAACCAAAAAGTTAAAATAATGGTGTATATTAGATTGTGTTTCCAAAAATGCAGTGGCTCCTGCTGTCACTCATTGTCTATGTGCAGATAGTGTGTCTAGGTACAGTTAGCACTGTTGACTGTCTCCTAAAAACAAAACTGAAGTGATGGAGAAGGGGAAGTCATAGACTGTGCTTTGTAGCACTAACAGGGACAGTGAAAGTCACCTTACAAAGTTAAGACTCTTCAAACGAACAGGGCTAGACCTAGGGAATTTAGTAACTGGAGTTAATTCAATCATACACACAAGGCAAGCATAGACCACAGTTTCTGCTTTGTCCACTGCTGTACATTCAGTACCGAGAACAGTTCCTGGTGTTCTTTGTAAATGAAAAAGTCGAAAACTAGAATGTTAATATGAGGTAAAACAGTACTTTGAAACTTTGGAGAGGTGGTTTTAGGACCCGAGGCTAAACGTGTGAAAGGATTCACAGTTGAGATAAATTTGCAGATGATAAATTCGTAAGCCATCATGAATTACAAGTGAGGTTTACACTTCTGGAAATTAACTGTTGAGAAAAGCATTCTCAAAATATTTCTTGGGGCCAGCACTGTGGCATAGCACGTAAAGGCATCGCCTGCAGTGCCCGCATCCCATATGGGCGCCAGTTCGAGACCCAGCTGCCGGACTTGCGGATCCACCTCTCTGCCATGGCATGGGAAATCAGTGGAAGATTGTCCCAAGTCCTTGGGCCCCTGCACTCACATGTGAGATCCAGAAGAAGCTCCTGACTCCTGGCTTTGGAAGAGCCCAGCTGATCCAATTAGGCAGTGAACCACCGGGTGGAAGACTTCTCTCTCTGCCTCTCCTCTCTTTGTGTAACTCTGACTTTCAAATAAATAAATAAATATTTTAAAAAAAATTCTTGGGCCGGCGCCATGGTTCACTTGGTTAATCCTCTGCCTGCAGCGCCGGCATGCCATATGGGTGCCGGTTCTAGTCCCGGTTGCTCTTCTTCCAGTATAGCTCTGTGCTGTGGCCCAGGAGGGCAGTGGAGGATGGTCCAAGTGCTTGGGCCCTGCACCCGCATGGGAGACCAGGAGGAAGCACCTGGCTCCTGGCTTCAGATCCGCGTAGCTCCGGCCGTTGTGGCCATTTGGGGAGTGAATCAACGGAAGGTAGACCTTTCTGTCTGTGTCTCCCTCTCACTGTCTATAACTCTGTCAAATAAAACAAAAAAATCATTGCCATTGAGACAATGTGTATAGTATACACTGAATGATTATATAATTGAAGAATATTGTACAGACTCACCATAACATTTCTAATGGGGTAAAGTTATTTTTAAAAAAGAAAATAAGTAACTGCATATAAGTAATCCTAGAATGTGAAAGGACATAAACAAAAATTATGTATTTATACTTGATGGCAGAATTGTTCTTGGGAGGGAAAAGGAACATATAACCAAAGTTTTAGAATCCTGTTTGTCTTTTTATTTACAGGACAATTTTTGATGTATTCTGTCTCCCATACAAGAAAGCTTCATTTGTATTTAAAATTTTGAGATAATTTGCCAATGTTAATTTGTTACAGATCTTAATGTTACTATGAAGTTAATCTGTTAGGGCTCATTTCCTTCTATCAGCAGAAAGAAGCAACCAAAAAGTTTCCTTTCTTAGTTTATAGGGATGCTAATGTGACTTAATTTTTCTCCACCCTTAACCATATAACTTATGTTGCAGAAATTGGAATGGGATTAACAGGATTTGGAGTGTTTTTCCTGTTCTTTGGAATGATTCTCTTTTTTGACAAAGCACTACTGGCTATTGGAAATGTGAGTTTTTGAATATATATTTTAACTGAATTCTTAAGGAAATTCTAACTAAAAATTAGTTATCACCTGCTGTTAAATTTGGGGGAAGTCACTATCACTCACATGTAATTCCTGTTGAATCCCCTATTTCCATCAGGAATGAAACCTGTCCCGTTTTATGTGTAAAAAAAAAAAAAAAAAAGTAAGCACTTCATGAGGTTTTTTTAATTCTGTTTAATGTTTGTTAGTGTGATTTACAATAGAGTAAGTGAAGACTGCTTCTATTTAGGAATTCAAAATAAATTGCTTGATAGTCCCATGTTTTGGTAAATTTGTTAGAGTATTTTGCTGTAAGCATCTGAAACTTCATATTTGATTTAACTGCATAACAGATTTTTTAATCTTGTAAGCCTTTTAAAATTTATATCTGTGTCAATAATTGGTTTGCTTAGAAAAGTGTATATATTATTTTGGATTTATTTATAAAACACCAATCATGTGTGTAAGTTGTGCAAGAGTTCTGTATATAAATAATAACCCTTATAAGAAGGCAATAAAGTCTCAATAATGATTGAATGTCTTTTGAAACATACATACCATTGGGTTTTTAACTGGAAATAGGAAAGATAAAGGATAGCAAAATTTTTTCAAAATTGATGTTTTAATAAATGATAATATGAGCACCACTGGTATCACAGAATATGCAGCATACATAACCAGTATATATTTGTGTAAAAATTTTCCTTAAGGAAACTTGATAGAGTATGGTAGGCATATATTTGGAAACAAACCCAGAAAAAAAAGTGACCTTTTAATAGATCAACGTTTCTTGACCATGGTAAAAAAAAAAAAAATACTAAATATCTGTGTATTTGAAAATACCTTGGTTGTGTTTTTATTGTGCTGCCCTAGATATTCTAGAATTAGTAAAACTAATTCTGCAACTTAGCTTTGTCAGTATTCCTTACTTCCATACAAACCCTGTAGCCCATGATGAATGTTGCAGAACCAGGAGGAAAACCTTGGGGGGACATATTTATGGGCAACTTCCCTCTCTGCTTTGCCAATTCATGTGCTTGATAAACCACCCCTGCCCAGGTAAAACTGGGAAAACTACCCCGAAGGCAGGTGCCTTTGTAACGCCTCACCTTTCTTTTTCTCCGTTTAATCAAGATAGAAGAGGAATGAGACAAGTGAAATACAACTACAGCTTGCACATGCGTAACCCACTCCTTGGTTCTGTTCTTGATTGTGCATTGCAGTTCTCTCTGGCCAGTTGCCCACATTAAAAGCCAAATGTGCTTTATAATATTTAGCTTTGACCTTTTGAGATGCATGCTCTGTGTTTAACTACCCTTTCTGTGTTGCATTTTTCTTTCTGTTATAGGTTTTGTTTGTGGCTGGCTTGGCTTTTGTAATTGGCTTAGAAAGAACATTCAGATTCTTCTTCCAAAAACATAAAATGAAAGCCACTGGATTTTTCCTGGGTGGTGTATTTGTAGTCCTCATCGGTTGGCCTTTGATAGGCATGATCTTCGAAATTTATGGATTCTTTCTCTTGTTCAGGTGAGGCAGCCATTTATTTTCTCTTCAGTAAGCCAATTTGTCAGATAATTATTAGCAAAGAAAAAAAATACCCTCAGATTTTTATATCTAAGAAAGAAGATGTTCATTTCCTTTCATGAATTTTTTTTTTAGTTTGAATCTTTATTACAATTTTAGATCAGTCCTAAAAATGTTTTCCGAATGATTGCCTAAGTAAGATACTAAGTTATCTTGTATTTTCAGTGCAATAAAATTAATCTTACTGGCATGTTAAGGCGCTATGTTTATATTTTCATCTACAAAACAATGTTAGAGCATTTGTGTAAAACCTTATACTTCATAGTTAATGCCTTTATATATATATATATAGACACGCACACACACATGCATATATAATGTAACAATTCTGTACCAAATACACTTGAGTATCCATGTTAAAAAACAATCTTTAAGTATGGGTAGTCCTAATTATTTTCTCAAGAAATGCATATTCCTTGCCTTGTAACTAACAGGTACTATATTACCCACAAGAGGCATAAAAATGAGTTATGCCAAATCTACTTTAAGGAATCTCTTGCTTATAATACTGGAATTGTAAAGAGACCAATAGGATACAGTCATAATGCCATTATAGGTGTATATGCAAAATTTAGAAGCATAATTAAGGAAGGAATTAAAAAATTCAGAGACAGGTAAGAAATGTTAACTGATAAACTGGACATTAAAGAATGGGTAAAAATTCATCTGGTACATGAGGAAGGGAGAAAAGCTAACTGGAAAGAAGGAAGACAGGGTCATGAAAGTACAGAGCTTGTTCTGAAAAGAATGAATAATCCAGAACAACAGGAGCATGGAATAAGTGGAAGGAAAAGGGTGACAGTGAGACTGAAAAGGAAATTCAGTGCCAGACTGCAAACGTTCTTTGAAAAACTTGTTAATAAAAATAATACTTTGCTTGAACCAAGGTTGGGCTGGGAGCAGTTTTTGGGGAAAAGTTAAGGGACACAGAAATTTTTAAACCAGATACACCGAGGTAAATGTTTTAGAAAAACTACCAAGAAAAAGTATGAAAAAGAGAAAAACTAAAAGCACCAAGGTCTGTTAAAAGGCCGTTGATGTAGTACAGAATGCAGACTAATATGATTGGAATCTTGGAACACTCTTGACCTTGTAGGTTAGGTAGAGAGGGAAGAAGCACAGGGAGACTTGAAGAGATGGAGAACTAGAAGGAGCATAGTGCCAAGAGAGAGGAAGGAAGAGAAGTTCATCATGGCAAGTTTATCCTGCAGCAAGAAAATTAAGTACTTGAAGGACTGCAAAAAAAACTCATTGGCTTTCTTAATTACACAGCAATTTTAATGATGAAAGTTCATAAGCCAGAACAGATTATTTAGGATGAATAAAAATGGGAAGTCTTGGCATTGTTGATAAACATAGCACAATACATTGGCTTCTTGGTTTAGAGAAGTTTCTGGTCCTGATACTGAGTTTAGTTGTTAGGTTTTGCTGTGTTCTGTGAGATGATCTCAATTTGATGTGTATTGCCATACATTTTTGGCATTGTTTTTCTAGATAAGGAAATAATAACATTTGAAATCATACCACTTTATATTTAACAACAATGCTTGAAACAAACAAAATGATAATTTTGAATTCGGTACCACTAGAAAATAATTGTGATTGTCTTTGAAACATGTATAAGGGTACTTTAGAAACTTCATGGAGTATGGAATTAAAAGATTTTGATGTGGAAAAAAATTTGAAATCTGTACATTGTTCTTTCATAACATAACTTTTTTGATTAACTTTTTAAGACTCTTTAATATACTCATCTATACAATCAACCTAGGAACTATTTCCCTGAAAAAATGTTGCTTTGTATTTCTCTTTCAGTCCATATATTTTGACTTCCTGCAGATTCACAATTGAATCTTGTTGCTAGCTGAATTCTGTCCATTGTAGTATTTTGTTTAAAAGGCAGCGTTACAGAAAGATAGAGACAAGGAGAGAGAAATTTTCCATCTACTAGTTCATGCTCCAAATGGCCACAATGGCCACTGCTGGGCCAGGCTAAAGCCAGGAGCCAAGAGCTTCATCTGGGTCTCCCATGTGGATGCAGAGGCCTAAATATGTGGACCATCCTCTGCTGCTTTCCCAGGTGCATTAGCAGATAGCTGGATCAGAAGTGGAGTACTGGGGCCTGAACTAGTACCTATATGGAATGCCAGCATTGTAGGCAGCAGCTTAAACTGTGGTACCATAACACCAGCCCCACACCATGTAGTATTTTCATCAATATATATCTAATTTCAAGACCCAGAAAGCTTATTTCCTATTCATTTTTCAAATCAGATATTTCCTTTCTTGTTTTGTACAAGTGTCTGAACTGATCCGCAGCTAATTTTAAAGTGTTTAGAAGCTGTAGGACTCTTTCAGGCTTGTATTCCTACCAAAAAATGAAACGTAATGGGAGAGATACCATCTGGTATGTAGTCTGTCCATGCTGGCTAAGTGTTCGTACCTAGTATTTATTCAGTACATGATGCCTATTGGAATTTTTGTGGTCCCAAATATGGGGTCTTGATAGCCCCTTTCTTTTGATCAGCTTCAGCCCCAACAGCTCCCCATATTTGAGGAAATCTGCAGCAGTTGAACTAACTCATATCTGAGCATACAACATGGCCAGGCCTCATTACTCTTCTTACGTTGTTAGTAGTAATCAGCCAGTTTTAAATTATGTTGATAGTAATTCATAATTCTTAGTTTAAAGTCTCAAACATCAAAATCTTAACAGGATCTTTTCTTTTTACTTGATTAGCAGTTGATTTTCCTAATTGGAAATCTGTCAGTCTTAAGAATGTTTTCTCCATCTCCTAGGGGCTTCTTTCCTGTGGTGGTTGGCTTTATTAGAAGAGTGCCAGTTCTTGGATCCCTCTTAAATTTACCTGGAATTAGATCAGTAAGTAATCATGTATTTAGCAGTACATTTTTGAAACCATCAAAATAAGTAAATTTTGATGCTCTTCTAGAAATTTGAGTAATTGATGCATGATTAATTGATTAGTTTATTACATAAATTACATCACATAGATCATAGTAACCATGGATACCAAAAAATAATCATTGCTGACCCTGTAAACCTGAAATTTTGTTTCACTGTATCCATTTTTAATACTATTCGATTGATATGCTATGCTACCTTTCTCTTTGAGAGTTCAAGGCATTTTTTAGTAAATCTGTATATAATCTTTCATTTTAGAAGCATTGTTATAAAAAGGAATCCATTATTTCTTGTAAATATTTTCTTTCTCAGAGTGTCAGCAAATGGGTAGATTAAAACAGTTAAATAAGCCATTATTATACTGGGAGTCAACAGATAAAAAGAGCATTTTAACAATTGAAGTTTCTTCCCTTCATTCAGTATTCATTCAGCAGATGTTTGGTTCTAAGCTACTAGCTTAAATATTTTAACTTTTCTTCAAGGTGACTCAGAAGGCCTTTCAGGATTCAACTATGTGTTGCCTTCTTAGAAAAAGCTTTGCTGACTTCCTGTGACTGGCTTCAGATAAGCTTCTGTAGCATCCCTGTATACTTTCTTGTGTTTTAAATGTCCAGGGGAAGGTCTCTACATAAAACATGCAGGTCTTGAGGACAGAGACCGTATTTTAGTCACTGTTCTCCAGTGACCAGCATAATACTTGGTATATACTGGAAACTTGAAACACTTTTGCTAAATGAGTGACTGTTAGATGGCACTTTGTTGAGCTCAGGGAAATTGGTCATTTTCAGGACACTCCAGGTGACTTCCTTTCAGCATTCCATCCTTGAATTTCAAAACCAGAAGAGATCCTTAAATTCTAGAAGAACCTGAGCTGGGGATTATCCTTGTGGTTCTAGATTTTACCCATTTCAGCAGTAACCTTGCTTTGGATCAATTCCATAGTTCTAAGTGTGTTCTGAACAACCTGGATAAACTGGCTGTCAAGATCTCCGTGATTCCAGGGGTCTGTTGGCTCTTTAAAGTTGTTTACTGGTTTTTATGGATGTCTCTAGAGAGAAGATCTGTAGCATTTATTGAACTCTCAAAGAACCGAAGAATGGCTTACCCACAGAAAAATAAGTACCACTATAAGCCTAATCCCATTTCCATCCCCAAGTTAGTCCACAGCAGGAACTTTACAGCATGACTGCATGGATATTTGAAGTTACATTTGAAAAGAAATGTTGTGCTTCCTGTCCATTGAAGTTTACCAGAAAATGCTAATGAGTCCATTAGCACTTTTAGAACAGCTTTTAGTTTCAGTGAGCCAGTCACCTATTTGTGGTAACTGAAAATGTTAAAACCTAGGCTTATAGGGGTATATCCTGATTTCATTTGCATTAATCTTCAAACTCCTTACAGGAGTCAATGTTGTTTATACTTAGAATGATGTGAAATTACTGAAACTTCTAATTAAAGAGTGGTAATCATAATTTGTGTTCTTAATTTAAAGGTTCTGCAGTATTTGCATAAATGGACACCCAATATTAATAAATTGTTCCCTGTCTATTACTTCGTCATATTAAATGCTTAAATAACTATATGAATAGTGAAATGAAATAAACAGTGAGATGATTGCTAGAACTTGATAGTATTATAACCATTTTGGTTATATAACTTTCAATGTCTTCACTGATTATATACTTTATTTCAATCTTTACTTTGTTGTCTGGGATGCTGAAGAAAGTCAAACTGCTTTATATTTGGGGCAGACTAACCAAAGTAAATAATCATTTAGATTAATGTGTGTTAAATTTATATTCAGTACTTATAAATTTATGCTTGCATCATTAAATCTATTTTAATGTCATTTCCACTTTCAATCTGAAGTCCAAAATACACATTTAAAGTATATTTAGTCAATAGCTATTGTTAATTATTGAACTTAATGGAGTTAAATCTGTTTGTTCAAAGACTACATAGGCCCAGAAGAGATCCACAGTAATGGTCAGTTGAAATATCTTATTGGGTTCATTAATGCATGAATGGCTGACATTTAAGTTTTTTATTTATTTATTTTTTTGTTAAGCTAGCAGTGTTTACTTCATTTTATACAATTTTTTTATTCATTGTGTTGCATTTTTCATGTTGCACCCTTAAACTCATATGTATAACACATCATGCAAAAATAACTTAGAAAAAAAGTTTGCACACATTTATGTGTCAGAAGATGGTGGTGAGTAGTACTGAATTAATCATTGTCAGTCATACCTTAAATTTCCACGAATCTTCTTGTAAAGCTGAGTTTTTAAGTCAATGTTTAAAATGTTAATACAGTGTTTTTAGTATGATACAGGCTTTAATGATCTGTTTTTCTTCTTACAGTTTGTAGATAAAGTTGGAGAAAGCAACAATATGGTATAACAACAAGTGAATTTGAAGACTCATTTAAAATATTGTATTATTTATAAAGTCCTTTGAAGAATATTCAGCACAAAATTAAATTTCGTGAAATAGCTTGTAATCTTCTTTACAGAAGTTTAAAACGTAGAGCCTGCAAAGTACCAACAGCAGTTAGCAGAGAAGCACTGAAAACGGGCTTCTCATCAGGTGACCTGAAGTCAGCAAGCAAACTGAGGGAGAGGAAATCCATGTTCCAATGTGTAGTCGAACTCTTGAAGGCTGTCTTTATTGTTTCCTACCACGTATGAAACACAGCCATCCTCAGAGAACTGTGGTGCCTGTTTGTTGTTTTTTTGTTTTTGTTTTTGTTTTTTAATTTGCAAGTTCAGAAGCACCCATAGGCATTTGCTTTTTAGAAATGTCTACTGCAATGGCAAAGATATTTCCAGTGCACCGTATCTTTGAAAGTGTTGCATGAGTTAGATTGGATTATGTCATTTTGATGTATTAGAACCAAGGAAAACCCAGTTTTCATGTATGAATCACTTTTTTTTGTAAACATGTGGTTAAAATAAAATTTTTGTGGTCTTTCTGAATCTTAATATTTTACAGCCAGATGAAAATCTGAACACTCTAATAGTCTTTTTGCGGGAATAGGCAGAGTATTAGTTCTGTTACTTTCTAAATTGCAGCTGACTAAGCACTTTTCTGGTCAACCACACGCTCTGGAAGTATGTATACTTCTTTGGATTAGGATCTCCTGAGGATCCTTCATTACATGTAAACATTTAACAGAAAGCATTTTCGACCATGAAGAAGTCTGTTACATAGCTTGTCTCATTGAATATTCTTGTACTTATGATACCAGATGATGCAAACCAAGTCAAATTTTTCTACATCATGATGTGGTTTTTCTTCATTCTTTTATTTTTATAATTTTAGCAGTGGTTTTTTATTTTGTTTTTAATAAATTAAAATTAACTTTTGATAATGTTTACTTTAAGACATAGCATGCGAAAAAGTTAAACTTAACAACTTTTTTTTAAGGGCTGTTCATTTAATCTGAATCTTCCTTTATTTTCACCTTTTCATAATATACAAAAGTGAGTATGTGATATATGTGTCATATAATCATTCTTTGGGTTAAGGAAATTGAGAAAATACTTAAGTTCACATCCTAAATTTATTTTATTAGAATTAAACTAGCTATGGTTTCCTAAAAACATAACACTAAAAAAAAAAAAAAAAGGCGGGGGGTTGCTTATTGGCAGCAAGAAACAGCAGTTGTTTATTTTATAATAAATGTAGGAACACATTTCAGAAGCCACAGCACTATTTGTTTTACCACTAATGTTTGCACTATTTATTTTTTAATACTTTAAAAGCTTTTTAATTCATAAAATTATAATTGAAATTTGTGGTATGTATTTACAAACATGTCTACAAAATATTACAGCTTGTATTATCTTTAGTAAATCTTTCAATGCACATAGAACTCCTAACCTTGCTCATCTAAAGAAAGAAAGACTTGGTACACAGTCTGATGGTTCAGTCTTGTGGATTTCTGTCTTTTTTGGTACTTGCATTTGACTTAAGATGTATCTGTGAAAATGGTGATACATGGAGATGCCTACCTCAATAGTTCATGGAATAAGAGACCCAGTGTTGTGTCTAATGTTCTTCAAAAATTAGTATCCTCACTTGGACAGTGTCAAATATATTTACTTTGAGGGTTGACTTATATAAGGTGCCCTGTAAGGACTCTGTTAAACATAGTCTTGCCATATCATTTACAGTGGCTCAATCATTTTCAGAGTAAGAAGAGTTCTGTTGATGTAAGGAACATCTATATTGTTTCACTCCTTTGTAGACATGAATTTCTAATAAATTGTTCCTTGCACTGTAACAGAGATCCCTTTTTCAACAATCTTATTTCAGAAAGCATTCTTGGACTAGAAAGAATTTAATCATCTTTTAGTCCTTAGCACCATTAAGAGGCTGGAGCAGTTTTCAGTTTTAAATGAGTCAAATGTGTGTTTGGGACTGCTTGGCAGGACTGTATATTTCTTATTCAGAACCCTTGATAAGGCTCTATTTTAAAAACATTCTTCTGACAGAAAGCACTATACATCCTATTGTTTCTTCCTTTCTAAAATCAGCCTTCTTTGTGACAAAAAAAAATGTACATTGATTATTTCTAGAGAGATGGAGGTAAAGGTCTAATACTACTTAGCCTTAAGTGTTTCTGTCATTGTTCAAATGTATTTTCTGTAACAGAAACATCTGGAATGTTTTTCCCCCTTATAAATTGTAATTCCTGGAATACTGCTGCTTTAAAAAGTCTCATGGTCAGATTATATAATCTTAACAATTGAATATTGTAAATACACTTGTCTTACCTCTCAATAAAAGGGTACTTTTCTACTAATTGGTGGTCAAGTGTATCTTTATTATGAAATTCTAAAACAGATTTTAGCATTTTAAAATAACCCACCTCAATTTTTCAGTCTTACATGTAATTTTCTTATCTATAAAATTATATCCCCATCTTACATTTCCAGATTATCCAAATTTATGTAATAAAACAGACTTGAAGTAAGCAAAACCATTCCTTATTTCAAAAACTCTTTCTAAAAAAGAATGACACTTGTCTTGGGCTATATGCTATTTTAAAACAGATTCTAAGGTCTAAGGATCCTAAAAGTCCTTGTATGTGCTAAATGGCAGAAAACCAAAAGAAAAAGATATGGCATCTGCCCATGAAGATTTCTAACTTTAACATTACCAGCCTTATTTCCAAGTAACTGAGTTGTACATGAAACACATAATGAGAGAATAACTTGTCGTCCAGACATCTTAACCTCCTGCTTTCTCTCAGTCAAAGCTAGGACTGCTCAGCCTTCCTCTGTGACTGATAATGTATTTTTTGGAAGGTGTCTTTGGAGAGGGAGAAAAAAATGACATCAGCTTTAACCTCAAGCAATTCTGCGTATATGTTTCCAACTTATTGTGGGTTTTCAACTTGTTTGTTTTTCTCCTAGGTAAGCCTATAGATGGATATTTTGGCACAGTGGTCAGTGATTAAGTTGCCATTTCTCATGCCCGCTTCCCCATATGCCAGTGCCTAGGTTCATGTCCAAGCTCCACTTCCAAATCAACTTCCTGCCAGTGCATACCCTGGGAAATAGCAGGTGATGGCTGAAATACTTAGGTCCTTGCCACCCACATGGAACTCCCAGATTGAGTGACAGGCTTTGTCCTGGCCCAGCCCTAACTACCATAGAATTTGGGAAGTGAAACAGTAGGTAGAAGCTTTCTCTCTCACATTGTCTTCCCCCATCTCTCTCTTTTTCTCCCTGCCTCTTTCTCTGCAATTCAAATAAGTAACATACCAATAAAAATGCAGGGATTCAGAACTGTCACTGCTGTGTGCATCCAGGAACCTGCTATAGCATTTATATATCTGCAAGCAGTTGCAACAGTTTATTGAAAGCTGCTACTAATGCTGCCATTAACTCCAAAATGTAAAAAAGGGTGAAGGTAGAAATTTATGGGGAAGTGCTTAATTTTTTTCCCTAATGATGAAGAAAATATATAATCCTTGTCATGAGTTGTCAAGGCTATGAAAGCCTCTTCAGTTCACCAACTCCGATCTTATTTAGACAAGGTCATAGTCAAAGTGGAAGTTCTCTCCTCCCTTCAGAGAAAGGTACCTCCTTCTTTGATGACCTGTTCTTTTCACTGGGATCTCACTCGCGGAGATCTTTGATTTAGTGGTTTTGTTTGTTTGTTTGTTTGTTTTGCCAGAATGTTTTGGCTTTCCATGCCTGTAATACTCTCATGGGCTTTTTAGCCAGATCCGCGTGCCTTAAGGGCTGACTCTGAGGCCAGAGTGCTGTTTAGGACATCTGCCATTCTATGAGTCTGCTGTGTATCCTGCTTCCCATGTTGGATAGTTCTCTCCTTTTTTTTTTTTTTTTTAACTTTTATTTAATGAATATAAATTTCCAAAGTGCAGAATATGGATTACAATGGCTTCCCACCCCTAAACGTCCCTCCAACCCGCAACCCTCCCTTTATCCACTCCCTCTCCCCTTCCATTCACATCAAGATTCATTTTCGATTCTCTTTATATACAGAAGATCAGTTTAGCATACATTAAGTAAAGATTTCAACAGTTTGCTACCACACAGAAACAACTCATGACAAGAGCCTAGGGTGATTACAGACACCATAAATAAGAATGTCAGTTGTTAAATCAACAACAAGAGTCACTGTGCACTTAATCCCCATGTAGGATCTCTGTCCTAAATGTGTTGTACAATGTGAATTAACAGTATAATTAGTACTCAAACAGTACTTTATACTTTGTTTTTCTGTATATAAGGATAATTGAAAATGAATCTTGATGTGAATGGGATGGGAGAGGGAATGTGAGATGGGATGGTTGCAGGTGGGAGGGTGGTTATGTGGGGAAAAAGCCGCTATAATCCAAAAGTTGTTCTTTGGAAATTTATATTTATTAAATTTAAGTTAAAAAAAAAAAGAAAATATATAATCCTTAAATGTTTGTGTTCTAAATAAAACCATTGAACATCTGTAGTGGTTTGATCATAAATTTTGTTAATTCCAAAAGGCCCCGACCACATTTGCCACACAAGGTGTATGTGAAATCCAGTAATTAAGCTGTATATCTTGACTGTTACCAGGTGAAGTAGAAGCCTTGAATCTTATTAAATATCCAACAGACCCCTTAGCTTATCCTAGGCTGAAGGGTTCCAACCTCTGTCCTTCTGCTACCTGGATGCCCAGAATTCTTTACTGACTGACAAGCTTGTCCAAAGCCCTAAATTTACTAAGCTCTCAAAACCTAATTAAAATACAACTAATATAACTCCACACCCTTCAGACCAAGATAGCTGGTCCTTGTCTTCTCATAGAGCTTTCCTCTTGTTTCATTATTTAATTAAGGAAAAGATTCTTGAAGTTCAGCATCTCTGTTTACATTTATGTCTGCATTTCCTGGCCTTTCGTAAGTGCCCGGTAATGTTGGTTGAATAATTCCAAGTTCACTTTTCTAGTCCTCCTGGTGCTGTCCCCACCAATCCCCAGCTCTTGTGTGCTGAAATCAGCCTTATGGAACCAAGGAGATTTCTACAAGCCATAAAGTTAACTAATAATCCAGCCCCTGCAGCAGTCTGTCTGCCTCTCCTTTCTCACGACCTGAGAAACAGACTTCACTGCATCCAGCAGCTTGTCAAGGGAGAGAGGAATCATAGGTAAAGGCAAGACTGTGCCTGCAGGTTAGCTGCCCCGCTCTGCTAGAAAAGGGAGACTACTATGGAGATCCAGAAGCGACTATTCAAGTTTTGATTCTGTGTCAATCACTGATTCACAGTTTTCATTTCTAAATAAAAAGCGGAGGTTTTGTTGGTTTTTTTCTCTCCTTTTTCATATGGTGGCTGTGTTTGTAATTCGAGTTGCTATTGTGAAATAGGATCTTCACAAGGAAACATTAAGTGAACTTATTGCCTAAGTGAAGAAGGTTAGAGGGAAGAGCACAACAAGCAAGGCTCTTGCACTACAGTGTGGCACGTGTGGAACAATGAGTGCTAACAGTCATGTGGGATCAGATACCTAAAGAGCCTTCCAGTGCAATGTTCTGTTCTGTGAGGCAGCTGTGAGTTGTGTGGCAGTACGAGCACCGATCGTAGTGCCACCGTCAAAGCAAATTTTCCAAGTTTGCTCATAGGTGAAACTTGGCATCTACTTCACAAGTTTATTAAGAAGACTGAAATTGAAAAATGGATGTAGGGGCTGGCATTGTGGTGTAGCAGGTTAAGCTGCCGCTTGCAATGCCAACATCCCATATGGGCACCAGTTCAAGTCCTGGCTGCTCCACTTCCAATCCAGCTCCCTGCTAATGTGCCTGGGAAGGCAATGGAAGATGGCCCAAGTACCACCTACATGAGAGACCAGGATAGAGTTCCTGGCTCCTGACTTCATTCTGGCCCAGACCTGGATGTTGGTGGCCATTTAGAAGGTGAACCAGCAGTTGGAAGATCTCCCTTTTTATTCCTTCTCTGTCACATTTCATTTTGCCTTTCAAAATAAAATAATTATTTTTACTAAAAGGCAGAGGGGAGCTTTGACAAACTTAAATTGTTATGAAAAGATTAGACATCATAGTGTTGAGAGTCTTTTTGGCCCAGGAATCTCAATTAGAACTAGGACCACTGACTCCCCCACCTCCCTATTTGATGATCACATCTGGCAACCACTAGTGTTCAAAAGAATTCACATTACAGAATTGTTGCATCATTCTTTATATTTCTAAGGCTCAAAATTTCCAAAGACCTATAGATATTCATATTTTGATGATTCCATCTTTGTCCAAAACCTTCACATTATTTGTCTTATGTCTAAGCCAAGCCTATGTGACATACACTGTTCCATCATTAGCAGACTTGTCTTATGTGTTGCCTTGTAGTCATGGTGGCTGTACATTAATTCCTATGCACTACTCTCAGACATTTTGGAAGTGAGTGTCAGAAATATTCTAATGGAGATATCAGTAGGAAATTGGTGAACTTTGTTCCTCCTCCCCACTTCACTTTTCTTTACTCCCAATCCTCTAGATAATACTTCTCTACTGTCTTCATACTGTCTTCTTTCTCCCTCTGTGTATACTTCTGGAAGGAAGAATCTGGAAGAGTTTGTCAACAGAAGAATTAGATTATCTATCCCAGGGGATGAGTTCATTGGAAATCAAAGCCTTAAGGAAGACAGTAAAGACATTGGTCTAAGAATGGGGAGTTTAATTTTGGAGGACAGGCTTTGTTAAAGCCCCTACAGCCCCTGCTGAAACTAAAACCAGTAGGCCTCTGGGCAAGTTACTTCTTCCATGTGTTTGTGAGACAACTGGCCTCAGGGGCAGGCTGTCCCTGGCAGAGAAAAGCCAACATAAGAACCTATGTCCTCATTCATATTATACTAACCTATGTCCTCTCTACTCTATCATATCTAAAAGTGATAGGGGGAGGAAAGGCAGGCATTGTGGCACCATGTGTTAAGCTGCTACTTGGGACACCTGCATCCCATATGAATACCTGGGGTTGAGTCCCACCACTGCTTCGGATCCAACAACCTGCTAATGCATACCTTTGGGAGACAACAGATGAAGACTCAAATACTTGGGTCCCTGCCACACATGTGGGAAACCAGGATTGAATTCCTGGCTTCTACCTGTCCCAGCCCTGACTGTCGTGGCCATTGGGGAGGGAACCAGTGGATGAAACCACTCTATCTCTCCCCCAACCCACCCCCTCTTTCACTCTTTCAAATGTGTGATCTGGATAGCCATATTGTCCCAGTAATCTTATCCAAGATTGTGTTTTCCATGTAAAGACAATCATCACTGGCATGGAAAGGATGCTATCTAAGCAGTGAAGTGATTATTGTTTAAATGGGGCCTAGGCAACCTACAATCAACTACAAGAATCCAGATAACATTAGTGACAAAAGCAAATGGTCTCCAGTGGGTGTTTCTTAAATGGCTTAGAATGGGGCTAGTGTTGAGGCACAGTGGGTTAAGCCTCTGCCTGCCACTCTGGCAACCTTTTTGAGTGCTGGTTGGAATCCTGGCTGCTCTGCTTCTGCTCTCACTGCCGTCTAATGAGCCTGGGAAAGAAGGGGATGATGGCTTAAGTATGTGGGCCCCTACCACCCACATGGAAGACATGGAATTCCATGCTCCTGGCTTCAACATGGCCCAGCTCCTGCCATTGTACCCATTTAGGAATGGAAGATCGATCTCTCTCGATCTCTCTCTCTCTCTCTCTCTCTCTCTCTCTAACTCTGCCTTTAGCACCCTTTCATGATGAACACTCTAAGCAAATTGGGTATAGAATGAACATTCCTCAACACAATCAAGGCAATTTATGACAAAGCCATGTCCAGCATCATACTGAATGGAGAAAAGTTGGAAGCATTTCCATTGAGATCTGATACCAGACAGGGATGCCCACTCTCACCATTGCTATTCAATATAGTTCTGGAAGTTTTAGCCAGAGCCATTAGGCAAGAAAAAGAAATCAAAAGGGTACAAATTGGGAAGGAGGAGTCAAACTATTCCTACTTGCAGATGACATGTTCTATATTTGGGAGACCCAAAAAAACTCCACTGAGAGACTATTGGAACTCATAGAAGAGTCTGGTGATGTAGCAGGATATAAAGTCAATACACAAAAATCAACAGCCTTTATATATTCAGGCAATGTCAGGGCTGAGGAAGAACTCCTAAGATCAATCCCATTCACAATAGCTACAAAAAAAATCAAATACCTTGGAATAAACTTAACCAAGGATGTCAAAGATCTCTATGATGAGAATTACAAAACGTTAAAGAAAGAAACAGAAGCTACAAAAAAAAAAAAAACTTCTAAGTTCATGTATTAGAGGAATCAATATCATCAAAATGTCCATTCTTCTGAAAGCAATTTAGATTCAATATAATACCAATCAAAATACCAAAGACATTCTTCTCAGATCTAGGAAAAATGATGCTGAAATTCAGCACAGGAGATCTTAAATAGCTAAAGGAATCTTATACAACAAAACAGAGCCAGTGGCATCATAATACCAGATTTTAAGACATAACTACAGGGCAGTTATAATCAAAACAAAACAGCATGGTACTGGTACAGAAACAGATGGGCATACCAATGGATCAGAATAAAAACACCAGAAATCAATCCAAACATCTACAACCAACTTACATATGATCAAAGAGCTAAAACCAATCCCTGGAGCAAGAACAGTCCAATCAACAAATGGTGCTTGGAAAACTGGATTTCCACATGCAGAAGTTTGAAGCAAGACCCCTACCTTACATCTTACACAAAAATCCACTCAACATGGATTAAAGATCTGAATCTACGACCCGACACCATCAAGTTACTAGAGAACATTGGAGAAGCCCTGCAAGATATAGGCACAGGCAAAGACTTCTTGGAAAAGACCCCGGAGGTACAGGCAGTCAAAGCCAAAATTAACATCTGGATTACATCAAATTGAAAAGTTTATGTACTGCAAAAGAAACAGTAAGGAAAGTGAAGAGGCAACCAACAGAATGAGAGAATTTATTTGTAAACTATGCAACTGATAAAGGATTAATAACCAGAATCTACAAAGAGATCAAGAAACTTCACAACAAAACAAACAACCCACTTAAGAGATGGGCCAAAGACTTAAACAGACATTTTTAAAAAGAGGAAATCCAAATGGCCAACAGACACATGAAAAAATATTCAGGATCACTAGCTGTCAGGGAAATGCAAATCAAAAGCACAATGAGGTTTCACCTCACCCAGGTTATAATGGTTTACATACAGAAATCAGCTAACAACAGATGCTGGCAAGGATGTGGGGAAAAAGGCACACTAATCCACTGTTGGTGGAAATACAAACTGGTAATACTACTATGAAAGACAGTTTGAAAATACCTCAGAAATCTGGACATAGTCCTGCCATATACCCAGGCATCCCATGCCTCAGAATTTACCCAAGGGAAATGAAATCAGCAAATATAAGAGTTATCTGCATCTCCGTGTTTACTGCAGCACAATTCACAATAGCTAAAACATGGAATCAACCTAAATGCCCATCAACAGAAGACTGGATAAAGAAATTATGGAATATGCACTCTATGGAATACCACACAGCAGTTTAAAAACAAAATGAAATCTGGTCATTTACAACAAAATGGATGAATCTGGAAAACATCATACTCAGTCACATAAGCCAGACCCAAAGGAATAAATACAATATGTTCTCCCTGATCTGTGACAACCAACAGAGGACCTAAAAGGAAACCTTTAGAAGTGAAATCGACACTTTGTGAAGCAATGACTTGAACAGCCCTTCTCTTGACTCGAGGAAAAATTTATTATTTTTATTATTCTTTTTCTACTTAATACCATTGGTCAAACTCTTAACAGAATTATTCATAGATATATAAATCCAATTGAAAATAGATCCCAGGAAAAAAAAAGAGTGGAATAAGAGAGGGAGGAGCTGTACAGTTTGGCACACATTCCCACTGACTTACCACTAACAGTAAAGCTAAAAACTTGCCATAGACTCCAAATCCCATTAAGCTGGGTAGTAATACATCTTACATGTTAAAGTGATCATATTAAGTGTGTAATTGATCATATAGATAGGATTAAGTGTCAAAGGGATTACATAAATAAAACCAAGTGTGTGGTAATAACAATAGATAGAAATAAAACAGAGAAAATGTTCTAACATGGGAAACAGTCCACACAGCAAACTCATAGAATGACAAATGTCCTAAACAGAACTCTGACCTCAGAATCAGCCCTGAAGGCATTCAGATCTGGCTGACAAGCCCATGAGAGCATTTCAGGCATGGAAAGACAAGAAACTGTGGCCAAAAAAATTATCTACATGAGTGATCTCTATAAGTGAGACCCCAGTGGAAAGAAGGGGATATCAAAAAAGGATGGACTTTCCTCTGAAGGGAGGAGAGAACTTCCACTTTGATGATGGCCCTGTCTAAATACTGACAGAGTTAGTGTGCTCAAAAGGCTTCCATAGCCTCGGCAGCTCATGACAAGAGCCTCAGGTGATCACTGACATCATAAATTAGAGTGACAATTGTTAAATCCACAACAGGAATCACTGTGCACTTACTCCTCATGCAGGACCTCTGTCCTTAATGAGTTGTTCTATGAGAATTAACTGTAGGCCGGTGCCGTGGCTCACTAGGCTAATCCTCCGCCTAGCTGCGCCGGCACACCGGGTTCTAGTCCCGGTCGGGGCGCCGGATTCTGTCCCGGTTGCCCCTCTTCCAGGCCAGCCCTCTGCTGTGGCCAGGGAGTGCAGTGGAGGATGGCCCAGGTGCTTGGGCCCTGCACCCCATGGGAGACCAGGAAAAGCACCTGGCTCCTGGCTCCTGCCATCGGATCAGCGCGGTGCGCCGGCCGCAGCGCGCCAGCCGCGGCGGCCATTGGAGGGTGAACCAACGACAAAGGAAGACCTTTCTCTCTGTCTCTCTCTCTCACTGTCCACTCTGCCTGTCAAAAAAAAAAAAAAAAAAAAAAAAAAGAATTAACTGTAAAACTCGTTTTCAAACAGTACTCTATACTCTGTGTGTCTGTGTTGGTGCAAATTGTGGGAATCTTACTGCAGAATTGGTCTTCTGTATATAAAGTAAATTAAAAACCAATCTTAATGAAGAATGGGATGGGAGAGGGAGTAGGAGGTGGGATGGGAGTTGGGGTGGAAGGGCGGGTATAGAGGTAAGAACTGCTATATTCCTAAAGCTGTACCTATGAAATTTGTATTCATTAAATAAAAGCTTTCTTTAAAAAAGGATACAAACACAGTGAATCCTGTGTCCCCTGTTATGGTGCACTGAGAAGGACTCTGTGGCATATCTCTTAAAACCGCATGACTTAAATTTAATAATAACCCAAGGGAAACCCAAATTAAGAGGCATTCTACTAATAGTTGGCCAGTAGTCTTCATAGATATCAAGACCACGAGGACCAAGGAAGACTCAAACAACTAACCACAAAGTGGGACCTGGGTTGGGCTCTTGGACAAATAAAAGGACATTAATGCAAAAACCATATGGAAACTTGAATAAAATCTATGGGCTAATGAAAAAAACTAAAAAAAGAAAAAATAAAAGGCTTAGGAGCCAATTTGTTTAGCATTCAGTGCCTGGTCATACTGTCTGCAGAATAAAATTCAGAGGTTTTACCCATAATCTGTTTTTTACCAAAAGTCTTTGTCTTCTTTTGTTTAAACTTCTAAAATATCTTAAAAGTTTTGTGATTTAGCAAAAACATTTTATTGAGGGCAAGTGCCCTTTGAAAATCCTTTTAGTAGAAATACATTCTGCCATTTTACTCTTGATAAGAGTTACAATATTGATAACATGTCAAAACCATTCTCGTCATTTATGCTTATTAAACTGAAAATGGCAGGTTTGACGTCAAATATCTGTTTGTGAATTCATTAGCTCAACCATTATAAACAAAGCACTTTTTTTTCCTTTGGTGATTCATTTTCCTATCCCTCTTCCTAAAACCTTTACTTGTTTTGGGTTTGGAGAGGGGAGACAGGCATTTTACTTGTTAGGTAAACTAGTAATTGGGTTTCACTTACGACTTCATTTAAAACAAACACAGCCTATTTCATTTCTTTTACTGTTCCTTATGGAGCTAGTTGCTAAAGTCCTTAACATTAAAATTCTAAAATCTAATATTTATAGCAATATTAAAATGTTACCCAGTTTTGTTGCTAACCTTTTAGTCTTCAGTTTTTATCTTTCTCCTAAGACAACAGAAATAAAACACCCTAATGGCTTTGGCTATTTCTTGTCTTACTTAATGACATGGAGAAATAATCCTCAAGCTTCTCTCTGCAAACCAGTTTCTATATTCCATTCTTATTTACTAGCCAAAGCATACTTTTCCTGTCCACAAATGACTGGCAGATCTAAGTATCAAGCATACAAGTTCCAATCTCTTCCCCAACTATACACAGGTAGACAACATCAGCCACTAAAACTAATCCCAAAGAAAACTTAGCTCTTCTTTCCTCAAACTCAGATATTTCTCTTGCTACCCATCCTGTCAGATGCACAAATCTCCAGGGTTTAGTTTTCATCACTTCTTATATCCCACAAAGCTTTTCTCTTCAGCCTGTCCAAGGGGTCTGTAGCATGCAGAACATCAACAGGGAGTTTATTAGAAATGTAGAATTTTGGGCCGGCACCATGGCATAGCGGATAAAGCCACCACCTGCAGTGCCAGCGTCCCATATGGGCACCAGTACAAGTCCTGGCTGCTCCACTTCCGATCCAGCTCTCTGCTATGGCTTGGGAAAGCAGTGGGAGATGGCCCAGGTCCTTGGGCCCCTGCACCCGCATGGGAGACCCCAAAGAAGCTCCTGGCTCCTGGCTTCGGATCGGCACAGCTCCAGCCATTGTGGCCAGTTGAGGAGTGAACCAGTGGATGTGAAGACCTCTCTCTCTCTCTCTGCCTCTCCTGCCTTGGAGTCTGCATTTCAACAAGATTCCCAGATGATTCCCGAGAAGCACCGCTAACTTAGAAGAGACTGCTGTGATGCCGTATGTTGAAATCCTAAGCCTTTGAGAGGTGACTAATCTTGAGGGTACAGCCCTCAAGAGTGGCATTACAATCCATATACAAGAGCCCCATGAACTTGTTGGTCTGTTTTACCATATGAGGACACAGTGGAAGCCAGCAGCCTGAAACCAAGAGGGCCCTCACCAGAACCCAATCATGCTGGCACCTTGAGCTTAGACTTCCCAGCCTTCATGTTTAATGAATCTGTATTGTTTACAAGATACCCAGTTGATTATATTTTGTTACAAAAACCCAAATGAAAGAGACAGGGGTTATCTCTCTTCTCCATCATGTTCAACATATTGTGGGTACTGAGGTCCTTACTCAATGTCTGCCTGCGTATATAGCTATTTCTTTTTTAATATAAATGTTTATTTTATTTATTTTCACTTTTTTATTTATTTGAAAGGCAAGGAGACAGAGATGGAGAGACAGAGCTCTTCCATCTGCTGGTTCACTCCCCAAATGCTTGCAAACAGCCAGAGCCGGGCCAGACCAAAGCCAGGAACCTGGAACCCAAACCAGATCTCCTACATGGGTGGCAAGGACCCAGCTACATGAGCCATCACCTCCTGCCTCCCAGGGAGTGCACCAGAAGGAAGGTGGAACCAGAAGCAGAGCCAGGACTCAAACCTAAGCACTTTGATACTGGATTTGGGGATCCTAAGTGTCATCTTAACCACTCTACCAAATGCCTCCTCTGTGTGTAGTTATTTCAACTGAATATCGATATACTTTGAAACTAGCCCTTTTGTCTTCTAAAGTCTTCCTGTTTTTGGTATCTTTTATCACTTCTGCATCAAAATATTTCTTCATGTACTGAGCATTCCCATCAGCATTCATATCTTACAAATGATTTCCCAGCTGTCATCAACAGAAACCAACAACCCTGGCTGATTGAAGCAAATGAACTCTTTAATAAAAGGCGTCACTGCAGCTGCCATCACCATCCTCTCTAGCACCAACTGGATGCCAAACTCTGCCCCAGAAACCCAATCTCAACTACAGCTACCCCTTGGCAAGGGCGCTCCCTCATTCCTGCTACACAGTCCCCATGTGACGGAGGAAGCCTGCACCACATGTCTGCACTTATCCCAATGGAAAGGCTGGAAAAGCAAGTACCTTGCATTTTCAGCTCGTACATTAGACAGCAGACTGCCTGGGGCCAGAATTACGGCATAGCAGGTAAAGCCACTGCCTGTGATGCTGACATCCCATATGGGTGCTGGTTTGTGCTTCAACTGCTCTGCTTCTGACCCAGTCCTCTGCTAATACCTGGGAAAAGCAGCAGAAGATGGTCCAAACGTTTGGGCCCCTGTCACCCACGTAGGAGACCCAGATGAAGCTCTTGATTCCTGGTTTAGCCTGGCCCAGCACTGGCCATTGCAGTCTTCTTGGGGAGTGAACCAGCCATGGGAAAAATCTCTGTCTTTTCCACCCTATCTCTAACACTTTCTTTTTTTTTTTTTTTTTTTTTTTTTTTTGACAGGCAGAGTGGACAGTGAGAGAGAGAGACAGAGAGAAAGGTCTTCCTTTGCCGTTGGTTCACCCTCCAATGGCCGCCATGGCCTGCGCACTGCGCTGATCCGATGGCAGGAGCCAGGTGCTTCTCCTGGTCTCCCATGGGGTGCAGGGCCCAAGCACTTGGGCCATCCTCCACTGCACTCCCTGGCCACAGCAGAGAGCTGGCCTGGAAGAGGGGCAACTGGGACAGAATCCGGCGCCCCGACCGGGACTAGAACCCAGTGTGCCGGCGCCGCAAGGCTGAGGATTAGCCTAGTGAGCCACGGCGCCGGCCTGAAGGCTGTTTTCATAGCACTATCCCTGCCTCTCGCATCCCTATTTCCTTAAATGTCCTCATTCAATCCAAGTCTTTCTTCTCTAAAATTCTGAAAGCTGATCATTCCTGCCTTAAAAAAATCCATAGATAGTAATTGCTTTGCTGAGCTTAATAGAGGAAGTGCATGTTGTTTGCTGAGAACGTTCTTACTTGTCTAGATTTATTGTATTCATTTTGAAAGGCAGAGGTAGAGAAAGTGAGAGATCTTCCATTTTCTGGTTCACTCCTCAAATGGCCAAGCCAGGAGCCAGGAGCTTCTTCCAGGTCTTTCAAGTGGGTGCAGGGGCCCAGGCACTTGGGCCATCTTCTGCTGCTTTTCCAGGCCATTAGCAGGGAGCTAGATTGGATGTGCAGCAGCCAGGACTCGAACCAGTGCCCATATGGGATGCTGCCGTCCCAGGTGGCAGCTTAACCCACTGCATCACAGCGCCAGTCCCCATAATGGAGTTTTGCATTTCCAACTACCTAGCTTAAACTTTAACTTGGATATCTAATGTACCTTTTAATTTCCCCATAAAGGAACTCCTAATTTCCTCTTAACTGAATTCTTCCAAAATCTAATTTTAGTAAACTGCTTCATCATTTACTCAGTATTGAAACCAAACCCCTAAGAACCATCTTTATGTTTTTCTTACTCTATTTATTGACAGGCCCTACATTTTCTACTTCCAACAAGCATTCCACATCCATTTATAGGTCTCTGTCTCCTGTTAGCATGGCCCTCCTCCAAGCTATCACCGTCTTTCCCTAGCGACCGTACTTCCATATGAACCAGCCCATTTCTTCCTCTCCAACCTCCTTTCAAAGTGCTTTCTCTTGTACCCCCACCACCGACCCCAGGACTTTGCTGCCACTGGCCTCCTTGTGATCTTCAAGAAAGCCAAGCTCTGCCGTCCCAAGATTTTGCTTTATGTCTGGCACTGCTTGAAGCAGTAATTCCCACGCAGCTCCTCCAAGTCTGACTCCACCTTATCTTTCAAGACTCCCTTCAGTTTTTGCCTTCCCTAAAGGAGCCTGCCACATACTCTTGCTTTTACTTTTTAATTCATCTTGCTTTCGCTTTTTAATTTGCTAATTAAGTTTACTTTTAATCATTTTGCATTTACTTTTTAATTCAAAACATTCTGTAAATTGCCTTATTTAACTGTTTGCCATTTTAGATTCTCCCCTTAATACAAGGTCAGCTCAGTCAAAGCGGAGACGATGTCTTTGTGGCACCTGACTATATCACTTGAACTAAAAAGAAGAGTGTCTGACATGTAGCCTGCATTCAATAAACATTTGGTAAATGACTGAATGGTGGGTAATTTGGTGAATGACCCATGCTGAATCCCAAGGAGATTCCCTAACCTTTTCATTTCTACCCCAGGGATTCATCTTTAGCCATCAGTGATAACTTGCTAGATACCCAGGGCACCATTTCATACTTTATTCATCTACTTTTGGTTCTGCCTTGGACTGTTGATCATTTTCATTAATAGCAATGACAAAAGTCTGGGGACAGCTAGTGGGAAAAGCTAAGGCAGTGATGCTGGGCCATTCAAAGGTCTCCTGGCTGATGTGATGGGTACCTAAACAGATGATGCCCACTCATCAATCATTCCTCTACTTCCTGCAACCCAATCTCCCCGGAGGCATCATCAGGTCCTCTCCTTCCTGAAGGTTGACAGGACGCCCCTGGGGACTCCCCATCTCTACTGCTGATGCACAGGGGTCCTTGCCCTAAGATGTTAAAAGCCTCAACTTCTGAACAAGATTAGAAAAGTCGCAGACAGCCTGATAGTTGTCGCAGCCTTCTGGGAGGGAGCAGAACATGAAGGTAAGTAAAGGTTTTGAATACTTGAGACTGTCAATGCTATTTCTTTAAAAAGCTTGACAGCCTTTTTTACCTACTCAGCAGTTTTCAGGCATACTTCGTGTGCTTTAAAAATAACCGTCACTTGTTTTTACTAAGAAAAAGAGAATCTGCTTACCCATTTTTTCATTGGGGTGGGGTACTGACAATATATTTGGAGTAATGTGTCTAAGTGGACTCTTTCTGGATTGACTGGAGAGTCGCCTGGGGACCCGTACTAAGTATTGAAGCAGCGAACAGGGAGAAGGGGGGTGTGGTTGTGCAGGGATCCGGAAGGAAGCGCAGGATCCTGTCTGCCTGGTTGATTGTTTGGTGCAGGGACTCGCAAGTCTGACAGCAGCGACCTTGGCTGTTTTCCTCGTATTTTCTTTCCTGGGGAACTCCAGCAGTGCTCCGCAGGTAACCCCGGGCAAGCAGGGCTCCGAACGCATGCCCGGCGCCCACTCTGCTCTTGGGTTCTCCTTTCTTAACCCACGACGGGGCTGCAAGGTTTTAGTAACCGCTCTGCTCTTCTACCCCCGCCCCCTCACCCCGGGTCCTAGAGACTGTTTGAGCGAAGGAACTGGACGCCACAAGCCATGCTCTACCTCAAGGGAGCACGTAAGTTCCAAGGGCTTTGCTCTTCCTGCAACAACAGCAGAAGACCCTTCAGGGTGCATGAGCCCCAGAACTGACGGACGCAGGGCTGCGGAGAGACCCAGAGCGCCCCTGTTCCCTTAAAGCACCGAGCCATCCAGGTCTCAGATCACCAAGATAAGGAGACCTGGTCTGCGAGGGCGGGCGAGGGCGGGGAGACTCCTCGACGTTTAAGAAACCCCCGACCCTGGACCAGCGGGCTGCAGGTTCCCGGCGCACCTGGGAAAGGCGCCCTGGCAGGTGTCGCCGCCACCCGCTGCAAAGCGCCCCCGAGGTGTCCGGGCCCGGGAGGGCGGCGCTGAGCCCTGCGTCTCGCCCTTTGCAGAGGGGCGCCGCTTCATCTCCGACCAGAGCCGGAGGAAGGACCTCTCGGACCGGCTGCCTCCAGGTGAGGGACCCGTGGAGCGGGCCCGGTGGGCAGGGCTCGCTCCAGCCCGGCGCGGGAGAAAGCGTCTCCCTGCGGAGAGTACTTTAAATAAAAGTCCCTGGAAAGTGGAATTACAAGACTTCTCTTTTGGTGGAAAAAAAAAAAAAAAAAAAAAAAAAGGTTTGAAATCCCCAAAAGTGTGTATTTTGGAAACATTATACATGGCTTTCAAACTTCGATTGCACTTGAATTTCAAAATAAGCTTACCTTTTAATTCCATTTTCCACACATGTTTGAAGTCTCCTTGTGCAAGCAGTCCTGGCCATGTCCAAGTTGGTCGCAGCGGCTGGAGCGGAGCGGGGAAGCCAGGGTCCGAGACTGCCGGGCGGCACTAACTGCCGCTCGGGCTGCCGAGGCGAGGCGGGCGTAGGCGTGGCGGGATGCACCTGCGCAGCCCGCCCTCCCGCTCAGGTGTGCGCGATCCGCAGGGAGTGAGCGAGCTCAGAACAAGCAAGGCCTGGGATTGCGCTCGGAGGAGAAGGAGCTACGTGCTGCTTCTGGAACTCAGCGCGCGTTGATGGCAGGATTTGCACTCAGTTTGTCTTCACTGTTCTTATGATGATTTTTATCATCATTATCGAAATAGCGACTTACCTAGGAACTCTAGGCTTCCGCCTGTATTGAAAAAGCCATCCGACGGTCCAAAGTCAAAAACAGTGAAGTACGGAACCACTAGGAATGCAACCAGGTCTAGGTGTTTTTCATGATAAAGTCTTCAGTGCCATTGGATTTTTTTAAATGCAATTAATTTTGGTCACATTTTAAATATTTAAATGCTAAAAATAAAGAGTAAACTTATCTAGAAAAATATCAAACACTGTGTTGAGCACACAGCAAGAGTTTAACAAATTTTTGTTCAGGTTCTTCAGCTTACAGTGTAATTAAACTAATTTATGAAGGTAGGCTGTGTTTTTCCACTTCGGGTGCCTACAAATTAAAAATTATGGTTGCTCTTGAATCATGGGGGTTTGTCATGTGTCAGCTTATCTTGTAAACAACCTTCACTATTTAACAGATATTTCTTCTGTGGAATAATTACCTTATATGTGGCCAAGAATGTTGCTTCTTATCCCAAACTGCTTTGTAAGGAGCTAGAGAGGAGAAAGCAGAGACTCCCAAGCGAATCACATCCAATGCTTTCTGCTGAGGCATCCTATTTTAAACGCTGAAGGGGAAACTTCTAGTGGGCTCTTTTCCCTAATCCTCCTGGCATTTCTGAAATTCTCTTCAGTAGATAGTTTAAGATTCTCTTCCATACCCTGTAGGTAAACACAATATCATCAATCATAAGCCATCTCCAAGGGAAAGGTGCAATGTTTCAACTTTTAAGTCAGTCTTCTGTATACGGAGCCCTTTGCCTAGGGATCAGCAGTCTATGTTTACAGAGATTTGCCTAGTGTTATATCATTTAGAATAGGCTTGGTCTACGTGACTATATAAATGCTGATAGAATCCGTATCTGTTGTGTTTCCCTCTACAGAAAGACGAAGCCCAAATGCCCAACTCCTGACTCTTCCAGAGGCGGTAGCACTCCTCCTGGCATCCTTGCGGAAACCGCAGGAAGGTACAGCTGCAGGACAGAGCAGCGTTCCTTACCTTTGCGATTCTGTGTTGATTGTAGTCACCTCTCCAGAAATGCAGAGATGGTCATGCCTTAAAGATCAGTGGATTTCTCATTAGCATGAGTCCCAAGAATATAAAAAAACATTTTCCTGTTGAAACTGGGGAATTGGGTACAGATTCACAAACCATACCCTACAGTAGCCTTTCTCTTGCAACTCTTAGTACTGAGTTCAGAGCCCAACTTCATTATTTTTTAGTTGAGAAGACTGAGACCAAGAAAAACTAAAATAATCATAAATCCAATGGTTAACCTACATGAAACTGCTGAAAGTCAACCATTTTTTTTTTTTACCGTACAAGCACAGTCATTTCATATGGTTCATGTTTCATATGGTTCATGGGCTGGGCCAGTTCTGAGTAATCATCAGTATGTTCTATAGCATGTTCTGTACCAGGATTAGATGCAGTCCTCAAATAGATGCACTCTTTCTACATGTCATTGCAAGTACTGCAGATGAAATAGCCTTTATCCAAAATGCTTCAGACCAGAAGTACTTCAGATTTCAAGCTCTTTAGATTTTGGAATATTTGCCTCAACTTTAGAGTTGGGCACCCCCTAATCTGAAAACCCAATAATCTAAAACATTTTGAGCGCTCAGAGACAACAACAATATAACAAACCTAGTTTTAAATCTTACTTTGCATTTTACTAGCTGGGTGATCCTGGGACTATCATTATCCACAAAGCAATAAAGCAGTGGAACCTGGGTGTGGGGTCTGTACAGGTAGAATTCCTATCACTAATAAGAAGTCATCAATGCTCAAAATATAAACCTAAAGCTGCAAATATTGTAATGGTGCCATGTTTATGACACAATTTAAGTTTTATTTTTTAAAAGATCTATTTATTTATTTGAAAGGCAGGATAACTGAAAGAGAGAGAGAGAGAGAGAGGGGAAGATGCACTGGTTCACTCCCCAGATGGCCACAGGGCTGGGCCAGGTCAAAGGCAGGAATCTGGAATTCCATTCAGGTCTGCATGTGATTGGCAGAGGCCCAAGCACTTGGGCCATCTTCTGCTGCCTATCTTCTGCTGCCTCCTCAAGCTCATTAGCACAAAGCTGGATAGGAAGCAGAGTAGCTGGAAATTGAACCAGTACTCTGATATGGGATGCAGGCGTCACAGGCAGTGGCTTAACCAGCTGTGCCACAACTCCAGTCTCCATAGTTTAAGTTTTAAAGTGTGTAAAATATATATATATGTATATGTGTGCATATATATGTATAAGTATATGTATATATGAATGAGTGGTTTGCTGGCCAAAGCACATATTTTCTCTGAAAAATACAGAATTCTTGGCCCAGAAATTCTGATTTTGTTCACTTTGAGAATCCAGAATCTGTGTCCTTATGAACTTTCCCCAGGTTGTTCTGATGGTTGCTTGAGTTGCTAAGAATAACTGAAAATTCAGAGCTAGCTAATAAATGTTGAAGCCGTGAACATGGAAATCTCTTGGAGGGCTTAGATACAGAAAGAGAGGGCAGATTTGCCTTGCAAAACATTCCAAAATCAAGGAAAAATAGTATTGGTGAAGGGACATTCAAAGGCAGACGTAGAAATATGAGAGAATCATTGAGTATTCCATAAGTCAAGGATAGAACATTTAAAGCAAGAAGTAATTAGAAGCATCAAGTATAGCAGAGTGGTCAGTGGAAATACAGAACTCAGGGCACCTTACACAGTGGTTCACAGGACCCCCTCGGCTCCCACCTGTGACCCAGCGTGCTGATACCAGGCCCTATCTTAAACTTTGCTTTGAGGGAATTTGGTACAAGAAAGCAGAGAAGTAGGTATAGGTGCGAGGTACTGAAGAGCTGACACAGCTCTCAGAACATTTACAATGAAAGGTGCGAAGTATCGGAATAACAGGTAGAAGAAGCTGCATCCAAGCTGATCTTTCCAAAACTCAAGATGTAGCACACTTACTGACTTTTGAAGTCCTGGAGGAAAGAACTTGAGTGGAAATTAGCTGATAATAAAGTTTTGAGCTTTCAAAATAGCATTCTGGGCTGGCATGGTGGCTCAATAGGCTAATCCTCGGCCTGCGGTGCCGGCACACCGGGTTCTAGTCCCGGTCGGGGCGCCGGATTGTGTCCTGGTTGCTCCTCTTCCAGTCCAGCTCTCTGCTGTGTCCAGGGAATACAGTGGAGGATGGCCCAAGTCCTTGGGCCCTGCACCCGCATGGGAGACCAGGAGAAGCAGCACTTGGGAGGTGAACCAACAGAAAAGGAAGACCTTTCTTTCTGTCTCTGTCTACTCTGCCTGTCAAAAAAAAAAAAAAAAATAGCATTCTGTTCTAAATATATGTTATTTGAAAAACAAGGACTCTGATATGGGATGTGGACATCCCAAGTAGCATCTTAACTGCTGTGCATATGGTGAAACTTTAGGCTTGATTGTTGGAGAGGCATGCTGATTCAGACAAGAGAACTAGGATGGACAAGGGAGGGCTGATTTTAAAGAGGAGGATGGCTATCTTCATCAGCGGTTTTGGATAAGGATGCAATTAAGAGTCCCTGCTTCAAGTCCTTTCTGGAAAATAAATACAGTTTTTTAATTATTGGAGTTTTCTGAATGGTTTATCTCTGAATATGAAATGAAGAAACAAAATTGTGTTAGTCTAAACTGATGGACAAGCTTTTGATTTTCATGACATATTAATCACCAGTCTCCTTTGATGTATTTAAATTCTCTACATATTACTTGGAAAGCTCGTATTTATTTGAAGGGTCTTCCAAAAAGTTTCTGGAAATGCATTTTTGACAAAACTATACATGAACTTCAAAAGGATTTGCATCAAAATAAACTTGTCTTTTCATTCTATTTTTTGACAAACTTTGTGAAGCACCCGGATATAGTGAAGTTTTATTTCAACAGAGTTGACAAAGGGACGTCCTTCTAGGTGATTTTCTTCTTCCCTTTAAAAAGCAGCCCATTGTCTGCAATATTTCAAAATGTGCTAGCAATGCAGGTTAAGATGGAACCCAGATTCTCAAACTGTATTGTAACTAAGGGAGAAAATGTATCTAAAGCTGATGGAAGAGAAAATTATGAGATGCATTTTGCCTCTAGCCACTCTTTCTTCCCATCCGTTATAGAAGGTTTGAATTCTGCCCTATTTATAGAGGCCCAGGAGTCTTCTGTCTGACTCCTCAGCTACTTGCAGCCCCAGATGGAAAGTTTTCCAGTCCCATCCAGCTAACAAAGATCCCTTCTTTTTGATCTCATTTCCTCCTCAGGACTCTAGATTACATAGTAAATAAATATTTGCCAATGTGTTCCTATATCATTTTTCCCAAGTAAGAAGCAAATTGTGAATTTCCCAGTGAGTTCCAAGCTAAGGGGAAAGTTTCCCAACTGAACAAATCAAAATCATTTTAAAATTTTCAGCAGCAGAGTCCAGGAGTTAACAGAGCTTAGAGGGCCATGTATTTGTTTCCTGCCGTTCTTTTTTGTCATATCTGTTCCTCTTCAAAACAGAGAATGAATGTTTCCCTAATGTGACTTTTCTTTACAGATGGAGAAGAAAACGTTGATCAGGCCAGATTCCTGGAAGACAGTGTGCTATACTGGTGAAAACGTGCCAGCTTGCATTTGTACTTAGTTCTGTCCTGGCGAAAAACACAAACCACACCCTTGAGACTCGTGGACCCTTTGCACTCCATGTGTGATCTTAGCAACTTGCACAGCTAGGTCTATTCCTTCAGAAGCCTCAGAAATGCAGACTTCTCCCAGAGCAGCGCTGCCTTCTCTCATCGCTTCCTGTCCTGTTGAGGTCAGCTAGTGTCTAACTCCGAGACTGAAGACTCTCAAGTATTCTTCTGTCTGTTACAGCCAGTGCCTGTGTGGATCTCATAATTCTTAGTTTTTTCATTCTGTTCTCTCTTGGATTTTATTATCACTCAGCAGCCATTCTTTTTCCCAAGAAGGGCAGGGAGGGAGGGAGGAAGGGATGGGAAAGAGAAGAGGATTGTCTTGCAGTGCCCCCAGGAAAAGTGCATTATGAAGAAAGGAGGTGGAAGAGGGTGACCAGGACAAGCTCTGTGATTAGAGCACCTGGGTGTGTGTGTCGAGGGAAGTGACAGTGAAGAAGGTGGCCCCAGAAGATGGGCTGAAGGTGGGGAACTCCCCATACGCTCTTTGTGTCTCCTTTTAGCCCCATTTAGAACCATGGGCCCCAGAATCACTGGGAACTAAGCAGGTGGAGCACACCCTGCTCGGGCGTTTACTTTATAGAGGGAACAGAGCAGTGTTTGAGGTGACCCATTTTCAGCAGCTAAGTCGATGCTGCAGAGTCCAGTTCTCTGCTGACTGTAATTGTCTGGAGCTCCAGGCTTTATTTGACAGCATAATATTACATAAAGGTGCCCTGATAACCACAGTGCATGGTAACGTGCCTCATTTACTCTTTTTCCAAGTCAACTTGAGTCCCATAGCATCTGAAAACACACATATACACACACGCACCCTTACAGCATGAGTAATGATTTATTAATTTGGAATTACAATGTGACCATCTTGTTAATTTTTAAGCTAATCAATTCAGAGTCATTACTGATAATATCATAAATAGAAAGTATTGTTAACTCTTATTGTCATCAATATATAGTTATTATTTAGTAGCTAAAGAAAATCTCTATGTGAATGTCTCTGTAACTTGGAATTGCAATTTCAATATGTTAAGTAATCAAAACCCTGCTTGTCTGTCTCCTGTTTCATAATGGGATAATGAAACTCTATGGTAGTTAATGTAACACTGATATCTGCCCCTTATGAAATAATTAAAGCAATCTATGTGACATCATCATAGTCATTAATGAGAACTTGATTTTACAGTGGATTTATGTCCAGTTCACCATGAAGTATTTGCTCATCAGACACAAATTTGAATGTTAAAAATAATTTGTATGTCCCAAGAACAGTTTTAACACCTGTCATATGGAATAAGTCTCTCCACAACTAACCACAACAATCTCAAGTTTTTCTTACAAGACAGAGCTTTAAAAAGCTCTGACCTATAGCTACTTAAACATAGCTACAAGCTACAAGTGTTTCAAGTTTTCAAATTTCTCACGTTCCACCAGACAGACAGACTTATTAATTACAAAGACCTCTCCAGCTTGCTATAACCTTCCAACTCTTTTAGTGGGGTTTTTTTGGTTCTCTTCCTATCTTTTTAAAAAATTAATTATTTTATTCATTTGAGAGGCAGAGAGAAGAGCATACTCCTGTTTACTCCCCAAATGTGTGAAATGGCCCCCCCCGCCCCACCCAGGGACAAAGCCAGAAGCTGGGGATTCAATCCAGGTCTCCCATGTGGGTGGCAGGGACCCACTCACTTGAGCCATCAGTGCTGCCTCCCCAGACCTTGTATTGGTCTGAAGCCAGAACCAGGTATAGAGATGTAGCACTCCAGTATGGAACACTGGTGTCTTAATCACTAAGCCAGATGAAACTCTGATTCCTACTCATGCTGCTCCAAAGCAGGAGTTTGCAACTCAGTTAATTTCTGTGTGTATTACCTATGTACATTTCTAATCATAGCATTATTCTTTCAGTGGACAAGAAGCACTTAAATTTTAAAGTTTTATATTGAATAGTAAAAAGATTTTACTGTGTTTTACACCAACCAATTACCAATCAAGAGTATCATTTGAATAACTGGGTTATGACATTTTACTAAGGGTACATTTCCATGGTTATTGAAACAATGAAATCCTCTTTTATAACGAGACTCTCATGCAATTTCAGCTAATGAGTCCATAATATGAAGATAATTCAAAAAGTTCATAAAAAATGGAAGTAAAGGATGGGTTTACTTTAGTGCAAAAATATTTTGAAATCCATACATAGTTGTCAATGTTCCATGAACTTTTTGAAGATCCTTTATATAAATCCATCTTACTCTTGAATTTTTTTCTTTTTCTTCAGAGCAATTTTTCAAACTGCTCTGTCAATGGTAGCTTAATTGGCATTCAAAGGACAGAGAGAGAAAGATTTCCTATTTGTTTGTTCAATTCTCCAGTGCTGGTACTGGGTCAGGCTGAAGCCAGGAGCTGGAAACTCAATCCAGGTCTCCCACATGGTTGGCTGGAGCCCAGGTATTTGAGCCAACACCTGCTGTCTTCCAGGTGCATCAGCAGGAAGCTGGAAGGCAGAGTGTAGCCAGATGTCAAACACAAACACTCAGAAATGGGATGTGGGTGTCCAAAGTCAAACCCAAACACTCAGAAATGGGATGTGGGTATCCAAAGTCAGACCCAAACACTCGGAAATGGGATGTGGGCGTCCAAAGCAGCTTAACTGCTGCACCAAATGCCCACTTATTATTTTTTGCCATTTAAATATAGTTATATTTAAAATGTAAATCTACTTAATTATATAGCCATCATTCAACTATGTCAGTAAGCACATCACAGAAGGTAGAGATATTATCATTATAATTAAGTACATGCTGTTTTTTGGGTTTTTTTTGTTTGTTTTTTTTTTTTTTTTTTTTGACAGGCAGAGTGGACAGTGAGAGAGAGAGACAGAGAGAGAAAGGTCTTCCTTTTGCCGTTGGTTCACCCTCCAATGGCCGCCGCTGCAGCCCGCGCACCGCACTGATCCGATGGCAGGAGCCAGGATCCAGGTGCTTTTCCTGGTCTCCCATGGGGTGCAGGGCCCAAGCACCTGGGCCATCCTCCACTGCACTCCCTGGCCATAGCAGAGAGCTGGCCTGGAAGAGGGGCAACCGGGACAGAATCCGGCACCCCGACCGGGACTAGAACCGGGTGTGCCGGCGCCGCAAGGTGGAGGATTAGCCTATTGAGCTACGGCGCCGGCCAATGTTTTTTTATCTTTTGCTAACTATTTTTTTAAAGTTTCATTAAACACCTTCATTAAACACTATTAATTGACAGGTTCTTTACATGATATTTTAATGCCAAACAATTTTTTTAAAAAACTATCAATAAAAAGTTAACCTTTAAAATTGCCATATTTATATGAGTCTAATAATTTATCATCTATGGGCTGGCGCCGCGGCTCACTAGGCTAATCCTCCGCCTAGCGGCGCCGGCACACCCAGTTCTAGTCCCGGTTGCCGCTCTTCCAGGCCAGCTCTCTGCTGTGGCCAGGGAGTGCAGTGGAGGATGGCCCAGGTGCTTGGGCCCTGCACCCCATGGGAGACCAGGAGAAGCACCTGGCTCCTGGCTCCTGCCATCGGATCAGCGCGGTGCGCCGGCCGCAGCGCGCTGGCCGCGGCGGCCATTGGAGGGTGAACCAACGGCAAAGGAAGACCTTTCTCTCTGTCTCTCTCACTGTCCACTCTGCCTGTCAAAAAAAAAAAATTTATCATCTATGGAAGATTAATCAATTTTTCACATTAATGAATTTTTTATCTATTGTTTAAATAGAAAATCATTGCAGTAGATGATATAGTACAGATGATAACATCTTTCTTTCATTATTTGAACATGAATTCTAGACTGCAGAAGTGATATTATAAATATGAATTAATATGCATTAAAATCCACAACTAGAATAAGTATTTTCTTAGGGATTTTGGTTCTCTACAATGCTAGATAAAAAATCATGACTTTGATAATGTGAGAATGAGGTCAGCAGACTTATTTATTTAATATATGTAAGTAGAACAGATTCAAAGTCAAAATCAGGATTCTTTAGGGGGAGAGGGGAGACTTGTTTGGTAAGGTATAGAAACTAAATCCTAGGCAAAGGAGTATGGTGGTGATAATTTTAAAATAAACACCAATAAGAAAACAATTTTACTGCTTAAATTAGTCATCTACAAAATACTTACTTAGGTCTAACCACTTTAACACCCTTCCTTCATTCCTAAATATACTGGGAACACAATAGGTGGAAAAATAATTTGGTTCTTATTCTAAATAGTAAAATGGCCATTTGCTGAATCTCCTCCACTTTTTAGCCAGAGAAGAAATTCCGTGGTACTAGAAGGAAATTAAAGCCCTGGCATATCCATTTTCTTCAGTAATCATCCCTTCTGTGTTCTTAGGAAACCAGTTCTGCCTAGCAGGTGTGGAGCTCAGTTCTTGTATTCACCGTGCAGCTTTTTCTTCCCACGAGGAACCTGCCTCAGAGACAATGGTGACTTGATATTCAGCCGGTCCCTTTCTGCCTCCTCTTCTTCGTTGTATCTCTCATCCTCATCCTCATCCTCATCTTCCACATCACTGCTCTGAGGACTGGAGGCCTGAGACCCCAAAGGAGAAGGTGGCACCGAGGAAGGCCTGGGGTACATAAACCCCTCCGTCTGCCAAAGACAAAAATACCACACAAGATGAGATGCACTTTCTTGGTGTTCAGTGATGTCAACACTTCACATGCACATGCAACAGAGACATTGTGAGATATCCTTTGTGGTCTGTCGGGTGCCGTTAAACTTTCATTCATTTTGATTCTGGTACCACCAAGCTCAAGAGAGATCATTGCATACACAGCTATCCTTTTTGTAAGCATTGAATTATGCCAGATGCTGTGTACATTTTACTTCATTGAATCATCTAACATTACAATGCACTTGTTCTTCCAATTCACAGAAGACTGAAGATTAGAGAGGCCAAATGGCCAAATGACTTGTCCAGGGCCATAGATCATTTGTCAAGGTCATACGTGGTAGAACAAAGATTTCTACCAGAGCTTTAATTCCAACTACTATGTTACACTGCTGATAGTCTGTGTCATCCTCCAGATTTGCTTAACAAAGTTGCAGGACACATGCAATCCAGACATGCCATGGGTAGCCACTCCCAGTAGGTATCCTAGAAGCTAGGACACTTATCTGACCCTGAAATTCCATTAATTACTGTCCTTGCAGTTACTGAGCAAATATTACTAGGCTTTAATCAAATTGTACTTCTACCTAAGATTTGCTTAGATAACTCATTTGATTAATGGACTGAACACCAACTACGTAACACAATGCCACCAAAGAAGTAACTTGAAAACCATGATCCCTGCCTTTGAGGAATGCATAGGTTTGAATGTGGAGACAAATGCATCAAAGTGTTACAGCACAAGTAGCTCTCTATTTCACCTTTTTATACATCATTTAGGTACAGTCATTTCAAGTTTTCGGTACCTGATTTGAAAGCAATATAAGAAAAAGCAATGACACCAAGTTCTGCATTTAGGACCTGGTTCAGAGTAGGTGTTCAATACTTAGTTGAATCAGTAGAAAAATGGATGAATACAGGTGAATTATCCTGAAGTGGAGTGACTGCCTCTAAATAAACTGAGAAGCCAACCCTGAATGCTAGAATTATCAACATAGGAGTTGCAATTTCTAGGTGGAGAGATTAAGAAAATACTTCTACTTTCTCTATGGGCAAAGTTCACCTGGGGATAACTTCCTAGATGTTTTTCCCCAGACACCTGATATAGATTGAATGCAAATTGTAGTATCTGGAAAAACTGTTTATGGTAGAAGTGACTTCTGATTGGTAAACTACATCTCAACTTGAAGGGTCTATCAATATTTGATTTTGGTAACCACAACTTTTGGAAACCTGTGAATGTGATGACTCTTGTATTTGAGTGCATACTTCACAAGGACTATGGAAGCTTGCTTGTCAAGATTTACATGAGATATTGGCCTTTGCAGGGGCATACTTGAAATATGTAGGTAGTACACACTGAAAGCTCACATCAGCATCCTAAGCTAAGCGAGGATGAATCTCAAATCCAGTGTTTTGAGTCTTTCCATCTTGGGCCTGAGTTGCCACCTGATGGAAAGGAGGCCAAAGAAGTGCAGCTTCTGGACTGCAGTGTAGACTACTGCAAGGACCAGTCTCACTAAAGACAATCACCTGTGCCACAGTGCCCTGCACTGCATTTCCTGTCTGTTGACACATGTGGCTATGGTGATCTCATGAACCTAAAAGTCCACTTAGCCTTTACAAGAAGCTCCCTGGTGGGTGCTGCTGAAGGGAACCTAATGCTCATCTGGTCCAAAGCACCCTGAGGAACTTGAATTAACTCTGTATGTACTCTCTCCAGGTGCTCAGCCTATTTTTATTCCTGGGCAATAAATTCATCTCCTATTAAAGCAGCCCAGTTTGTTTAGTTAACAACTCCCAAAAGAATGGAGGTCTAACAGAGGCAATTTAAGCATTGAGGCGTCAAGTTTTAATATGCGGCTCAATAGGCTAATCCTCTGCCTGCAGCGCCGGCACACCGGGTTCTGTCCCGGTTGCCCCTCTTCCAGTCCAGCTCTCTGCTGTGGCCCGGGAAGGCAGTGGAGGATGGCCCAAGTGCTTGGGCCCTGCACCTGCATGGAAGACCAGGAGAAGCTCTTAGCTCCTGGCTTTGGATCAGCATGGTGTGCCAGCTGCAGCGTGCTGGCCACAGTGGCCATTGGAGGGTGAACCAACGGTAAAGGAAGACCTTTCTCCCTGTCTCTCTCTCTCGCTCACTGTCCACTCTGCCTGTCAAAATAAATAAATAAATAAATAAATAAATAAATAAATAAATAAGAAAGTACATCAACAAGAACATGAATTAGCTACTCCTCCTGTACACAAGGCAAATTCTGAATTGAGAGCTTTGAGATACTCAGATTTGCAAGTTTCTCTATTCTTTGCTCTGGTTCAAGACTATAAAAAAGTAGAAGAACCTGTGTATTTGGCTACTTCGCAACTAAAACATATAGTTAGAAGTTACCATAAATAAAAACTTTAGCTTTCAAAACATGGACAATACATTAAATACTCACCGTTGGTGGTGATGTGGGTTGCATGTGGAATTTATCTGGAAAAGCTCTGCTTAATGTCAAGTGCCGGGCATGCTGGTAATACTATGGAAAGAAAGCCAATTCACAAGTTAAACAACAGAAGAGTTGGATACCTCAGTAACCATGTTGTCAAGCCCTATTATGCTAGCTCTGAAATATATGGGTCTTCTTAATGTTTATTATTTACTTTCATTTTATTTGACAGAGAGAAAAACAGAGAAACAGAAATAGAGAAAGTTCTTCCATCTGCTGGTTCTTTCTCCCAAATTTCTACAACAGCTAGAGGTGGGTCAAGCGGAAGCCAGAAGCCTGGGACTCAGTTTAGGTCTTGCACGTGGCTGGCAGGGACCCAAATACTTGAACCATCACTGCTGTCTCTCAGGATGTGCATGAACAGGAAACTAGAAGCACAGCCTGGACTCGAACCCCGGCACTGCAGTATGTGATGCTGACATCCCAAGCAGCTTCTTAACCACTGTGTCAAATGCCTGCCTCTGATATACATGTTTTTAAAGTGGCAGAATCTTTTCACCCTCAGGAATGAGAGAGACAGGAAATAAATGACAGTATTCAATTTAATCATTTTTCGGTGCATAGGCCAAGAAATACCACAAAAAAGTTGGGGAAAACATCGATACTGGATATTCTGAGCCCTACATTGAGCACCAAGGTGACTAAAAACATGGGTTTCGTTCCAGAGAGAAGCAGAACGGCATGGAAAAAGACGAGGCCTCAATGGACAGAGGACATGAAAATCCTGCCTCAGAATTTAGGAGAGAGCCTTATCTTTCTGTTTTCACTATAAAGGTGGAGACAGGAAAATTAGCCACCGAGGATGCAATGGGCATTGGCCTGAATGTGCGTAGACAGATGCTGAGCGAGTCACGGCATGCATCAGTTGGCCTGGAGAGTCAGCAGCACACAAGCAGATACATCATGAGATGCCAATTTGTTAATTATTCAGTCATCCAATGCTAAGCCAGGTGAACACCTGGGTGTTTGTAAACCTATCACGTGATTGGACGGAGGTATTTCCTGCACGTATCATTTTGTAATCAAATTAGAAGACCTTTAAAAAGTTTGTGGAAAATGCAAATTCTGAACAAAACTATGTGAGAATTTCAAAAATACTTGTCCCAAAATAAAGATTTATTTTTCATTTTTATTTTCTGTGAAATGTTTGCAGTATCTGCTCCCTGTTGTAGTGGAGGAGGGTAGCCACATTATCTCTTCGATGAAACACAGCGGGGACTTTCCTCCTGACACTTTCCTCATCTTCATGGAATGGTTCTGCATACAAACTACGCTCTGATAATAGACTGACTAGCTGTATCCTGAAGGATGTGCTATTAAGGACGCAAACTCGATGTGAAGGTTTGGAGTTCAGACTTCAAGAACTCATATTAAGGTTAAAAAGTATGTGAAACTTTCATTGAAACTTTAACAATTATATTAAACTGGCTTTATGAATTATGACTAGAATCAATGCTTTCATTGTCCAATGGAATTTTCTAAAGATGTATTTTATTTGCTTGGCAGACAGAGTTACAGGGAGAGCGCGCGCGAGAGAGAGAATCTTCCATCCACTGATTCACTCCCCAGATGGCTGCAATGGCTAGGGCTGGGCCAAGCCAAAGTTAGGAGCCTGAAACTTCATCTGGGTTCCCACAGATGGGAGACAGGAGCTCAGGTACTTGGGCCATCTTCTATTGCTGTCCCAGGTATGTTAGCAGGAACAGTCATTCAAACAGGCACTCATATGGGATCCTAGCATTGCAGGTAGCAGCTTAACCCACCTCCTTAACAACACCAGCCTTCTAATGCAATTTTTAAAATTTATTTCTTTTTTTTTAACTTTTATTTAATGAATATTAAAATTTATTTCTTAGAGAGGGAGAAAGAATTCCAATTTGTTAATTCACTACCCAAATATCTGCAATGGCTGGGAGCCAGAGCCGAGAGTCTTGAAGTCAATGTGCATCTCACACATGGGCTGCAGGAACCTAACCGTTTAAGCCATGGCCACTGCCATCCAGGGTCTGCATCAACAGGAAGCTGGAGTCAGCAGCCAGAGCCAGGTGTCAAACCCAGGCATTCAGATGTAGTGCCCAGGTATCTCAACCTCTAAGCCAAAGTCCGCCCCCCAGTGGAATTTTTACACTGGTGACCCTCAGTGTTTATAAAAATCCTGCTTACTCTCCCTAAGTATCTCCAGTCCAGAAGATCTGACAGCCTCTCTGTTCGGTTCCTCTGGATAATTCTCTGGCGGCGTGACTGTTTGCAAAATCCATAGAGAAACTGAGTCAGCTGATTGCACGAGTCATCTGGAGAACGGAACCGCCTGTCCACGATGTATATACCTGATGAGCACAAACCAAAGCACAGGTAAAAGTCAGGTTGGCCTTAAAACCCCTCTTCCCCATTTTGATTCTATCTTTGAATCAAAGACCAACTGTATCAACCACTCCTTGACTCTGCCCTTGCCGCCACTTGATCGCTTCCCTCCTAAGACTGATCTCTTCCTAATGGTTTGCAGCTGTTACCAACACAGAGCCAACAAAGGGGATCTTCCTGCAAAGAACTCTGACAGTCTAGGGATGTGTGGAATCAACTGTATTCCAGAATTCGCAGGGTGGAACCTGGGTGCCAGTTTTTCTAGGCTCCCTGATGTTCCCAGGATGTAACCAGGGCTGAGATCCGCTGCTCTAGTCTGGGTAAAGAGAACAGCTCCTATACAGCTGTCGAAGACCCATGGGATTGGCAAGGTGTGGGCATCCATCCCATTCTAACTTCCCTATCGGACAACACAACTGATAGAAGATAGATAGATAGATACATACATACATACATACATACATACATATGTAGATACGTAGATACATAATAGAGATAGATAGATGATAGATAGATGGACTGATTGATAGATTTATGGTGATGAGTAAATTCCCAGGCCACAATTTAAGTGAGTCATGCTGATTTGACAATGACCTTTAAAATAATAATCATACGCTGCAGTGCTGGCATCCCATATGGGTGTCAGTTTGAGTCCCGGCTGCTCCACTTCCTATCCAGCTCCCTGCGAATGTGCCTGGGAAAGCAGCAGAGGATGGCTCAAGTCCTTGGCCCTCTGCACCCATGTGGGAGACCCAGAAGAAGCTTCTGGCTCCTGGCTTCAGCCTGGCCAGCTCAGCCCTGGCGGTTGCAGCTATCTGGGGAGTGAACCTGCAGATGGAAGGTCTTCCCTTCTCTCTCTGCCTCTGACTCACTCTGTAACTCTTTCAAGTAAATAAAATAAATCTTTAAAAAATATAATCATATGTGTTGTTCAGCATAGTGACCAAGATAAGTACCCTAAGACGCTGTTTTTTATCACTTTTTTTTTTTATCACTTCTAGGAAACAGAGTTTAGAAAAGGAAAGAATATGATCGACAAGTGTTGCCCAGGTTTCTCACTTCTTTTGCAGCTTGTTTTTAGGGCAATATGTTGAATATCAAAAGTATTCTGATCTGTGAACCCCATAATCAAATCTACGTTTAATTAAACAACAAGTATAAACATGAATTTAATGATCGGGATAGCTTTACAGGGAGGTTCTTCAAAGTCCTTGCTTGGTTAGGGGGGGCACGTCTCCTGGGTAAGGATCATGACGAAAAGCCTCACCATAAGCAGTCGGGTCAGCCACGTGCTCCTGCATGAAGCAGCCAAAGCCGGAGAGGTTTGTGGTCACACTGGGGATGCCCATCACGGTGCACTCGGCTGCCGGAGGAAACAAAGACTTGGCTTCAGACCGACGCCCATAACCTCATGCGTATGCAGCAGAGAACAATGTCCTTGTCGTCCCACTCACAACAGTGTCCACTTTGTGCCACCTGTGCTACCATATCTGTGCTTAGCTCCTTTAATCTTCCCACAAGCCTGAGACATGGGGCGATCACCATCCCAGTCTCAACAGCAAACAAACTGAAGCACAGCAAAGTCAAACAATCTGGCCAACCTCACAAAGCCAGAGGATGTGACAGAACTACAATCTGAAGCCAGGGCCCAGCTCCAAACCACCCCACACTACTGCCTGTCTAACCCAAACTGTGGTTAGACATGGTTTTTGCTCCATTCTAACCTTGTATCTCTAAGCACCTGGCAAGATTGTGGGAACGGCTGGATGTGACTTCAACATGACTGAGTCTCTGCTCATAGAAATTTCACTTGGCACAAATCCCTGCTACTTTCTTCGGAGTTCAGAGAACTGATGATGTCCCAGGCCTCCTTCATCTTTTGGTTAAAACCTGAAGTTCTTGGGGCCAAGATTTCGCACAATGCTTAAGATGCCAGTCTGGGGGGTGGGGAGCACAGCACTGTGGCATAGCAGGTAAAGCCACTACCTGCAGTGCCAGCATCCCACATGGGCACTGGTTTGAGTCCCGGCTGCTCCACTTCCTATCCAGCTCTCTGCTATGGCCTGGGAAAGCAGTGAAAGATGTCCCAAGTCTTTGGGCCCCTGCACCCACGTGGGAGACCCAGAAGAAGCTCCTGGCTCCTGGCTTTGGATCGGTGCAGCTCTGGTGGTTGTGGCCAAGTGGAGAGTGAACCAGCGGGTGAAAGACCTCTCTTTCTCTCTCTCTGCCTTTCCTCCCTCTGTGTAACTCTGACTTTCAAATAAATAAATAAATCTTTAAAAAAATAAGATGCCAGTGGGGAAGCCTATATCCTTTATCCTATATCCTGAGTTTGAATCACAGCCGTGCTCCCAGTTCCAGCTTTCTGTTGGTGCATTTGTTGAGAGGAAGCAGGTGAAGACTTGGGTTCCTGTCACTCATGTAGGAGACTCAGACTGAGTACCTGGCTCCTGGCCTTGGCCTGGCCCAGCCCAGCTGTTGCAGACATTTGGGGCACTAACCAGTACATCGAAGACCTCTCTGTGTCTGTCTGCCTTTCAGAATGAAAAAAAAAATTGTTCTCAGGACACTTGCATTTTTAATGAGGAATTCACATTTCATTATGGAATGACTCTTGGTTGGTAAAAGGAAGCTACCATTACTCCGTGAAGTGATACAATTTAGACAGCGGCCTTACCTCCTGCTCTACAAGCATTTCCTCATGGTTTTAGTTCTATAGCTTGAGAACAGTGCTTCTCTGAGTTTTTGGAGGTGGGAGATGGGAGGAATCTGGGATGGGGATTATCAACTCTTTTGAGAATATTATGAAAATTCTAGGATTTATTTCTGGAAAAATTGTCTTACATACTCATATGTATGCACACACAGAATTTTGCCCACAATTCCAGGGAGGCTCACAGATCCTTATTTTTAAATTAAATATGCATACACTATCAGTACACAAGGTAGTAAAAGGCCAGGTCCCCATGTTAGCTCAGTACGTGTTCATTGAACGAATTTAATGAAATAACTGCTTGCTCTCCTAGTCATTAACTTTCCTCAAAACTCAGAACAAGCTTTAAGGAATGCTTTCCAGGGTGAGTTAGACCTAGTATCACATATAGAAAGATGATTTTTATAGTGAAGAGCTAGCTGATATGCCAATGCTAAATTTATACCACTAGAAATCTCGTTCTTTCTGTAACTATGGTTTAAGTGAGGAGCAACCAATTCCCTTTGGTTAATTTCAAACATCAAATGACTCATTTATTAATTATCTTTGACTAAAAACTTTTAACTACTTTATCTGAAAAGCCAAAAGAGAAAGAGAGATGAGAGACAAAGAAAGATTGAGATCTTCTCTCTACAGTTTCATTTCCCAAATGCCTACAACAGACAGGGCTGAGCCAGGCCAGTGCCAGGATCTGGGGACTAAATACAGGTCTCTCACCTAAGCCATCACTTCCTACCTACCAGGGTGCTTATTGGCAGGAAGTTATAAGAAGAAACAGAATTTAGGCTGGCGCCGTGGCTCAATAGGCTAATCCTCTGCCTTGCGGCGCTGGCACACCGGGTTCTAGTCTTGGTCGGGGCGCCAGATTCTGTCCCAGTTGCCCCTCTTCCAGGTCAGCTCTCTGCTGTGGCCCGGGAGGGCAGTGGAGGATGGCCCAAGTGCTTGGGCCCTGCACCCCATGGGAGACCAGGAGAAGCACCTGGCTCCTGCCTTTGGATCAGCACGGTGCGCCGGCTGCAGAGCGCTGGCCGCAGTGGCCATTGGAGGGTGAACCAACGGCAAAGGAATACCTTTCTCTCTGTCTCTCTCTCTCACTGTCCACTCTGCCTGTCAAAAAAAAAAAAAAAAAAAGAGAGAAGAAGAAGAAGAAAGAGAATTTAGACTCTAACCTAGGCACTACGATGTGGCATATGGTATCGCTAGTGTTGGCTTAACAAGTGTGCAAGGGCCTGCTTCTCTATCTCTTGTACCATTTTCTCAGGTCTTTATATTAGAACATTCTATCTCTATCTCCCTATCATTTTAGGTTATTAAGATTAACTGTCTATAGAAGGCTGTTTTGGTGGGAAGTCAGCTTAGTTACAGGACTGGTCTTTTCCCAGCGGCTTCCCTCATTCCATCACTCATGCACTCATGATTTCTGCTGCCCTGTATGTGACCCTTCCAATATTAAACTGCAATATTTATTAGAAATAACAGAAACAAGGGTCAATAACAGTGTGTTAATTTCAGCAGTGAAATGTGTCTTTTCCTTATCTCACAAGATACTGCATCATAAACAATTTGAGATATTTGTGTGTACATTTTATAAAAAGGCACCATTTTCATACAAGTGGGACTGATGTCAGTAGCAAGTTCTAGAACTACCAGGAGAGCTGGCTAGAGGAGTTAGATACGTTTTCCATGTCATGGTCTGAGTAGTGACTGAGAGCAAATTATTCTTGAAAGACTCTAGAATAAGACTCAGACCTTCGGACGGTCATGTGTTGCTCCTGTTGAAAAGGATCCTACGGGATCCCATTTTTATAGAATTTTAAGTTCTATTTTTAAAATATAGGACCATAACACAAATGTTTAGAAAGTTTCTCCTCTCTAATTCAGCCTACTATTTTTCTTTACCACCTTGGCCTCTGTTGTCCCTCACATGAGCTTTAAATAAGTGATGACAGGGATGGCAAGGTGGCTTAGCAGGTAAAGCCCCCACCTGCAGTGTCAGCATCCCATATAGGCACCAGTTCCAGTCCTGGCTGCTCCACCTCCTATCCAACTCTAGCTATGGCCTGGGAAATTAGTGGAAGATGGCCCACGTCCTTGGGTCCCTGTGCCTGCATGGGAGACCTAGAGGAGGCTCCTGGCTCCTGGCTTCAGATCAGAGCAGCTCTGGCCATTGCAGCCATTTGGGGAGTGAACCAGTGGATGGAGGGCCTCTCTCTTTGCCTCTGCCTCTCTATAACTCTGCCTTTCAAATAAGAAATAAATAAATCTTTAAAAAAATCAGTGATGACATTCAGAGGCAGAATGCAAAATTTCCTCTCTTATTTGTAAGTAAAATATTTTCTGTGCCTTCTCTTTAAAAAAAAAAATATACAAAGAACTGTGCCTAAATCAGATACATACTCTCTGCTTACCAATAGAGATGGAAATGTCATTATTGTATTCTTTTACATTGACATGTGTTTAAAGTATCTGTTTCACTCTGAAGTTGGCATTTTGGTAGGAAAAAGAATCAAATCCTCTTGATGGACATGGCAACAATGCTAGTAGAGACAAGGTAAGAAAAAGAAATTGTGCATCTGAGAATCCACATCTATAAAATGGAGTGGGGAGAGGACGGAAGAAGGGAGGAGCTAATTTGATATCATAGCCAGCATTGTGACTTGGTTGGTTAAGCTGCTGCTGGCAACCCTGATCAGAGTACCAGTTCAAGTCCCAGCTGCTCCACTTTCAATCCAGCATTCCTGTTAATTCCCCTGGGAAGGAAATGGGAGGTGATGCAAGTATTGGGTCCCAGACACCCATAGGGGAGGTCAGAATAGAGTTCCTGTCTTCTGGCTTTGGTCTGGCCCAGAACTGGTTGTTGTAGTCATTTGTGGAGTGAACCAGTGGGTACAAGATTTCTCCCCTCCATCTCTGTCACTCAGCCTTTCCAATAAATAAATCTTTAAATCACAGGTCATTTTTACAAACATTCTTTCTTTTTGGAAATGAGGCAATAACTCAACAATGAGTGTCCCCAGCTGCACCAGGGTATACTTCCACAATTCTGTGACCTGATTCTTAGGTCAGGATCTACAAAGCAGAAAGCAGATCCCTGAGACAGATGCAACCAAAATCATCTTCCAAACAAACTAAAAAATCAAGACTTCAGTGGGAATTATTTACCAACTTTGAATATTATATTCATGTACTTAAAATAATACACTAACAAGATAAAAAGTATTGTGTAACTTGTACATGTCACCTACCTGGGGTATAACCCCAGGGTTCATAGTAAGATGGAAATACTCCAAGATGACAACCTCGCACGAACTCTTCATAATCCATGGGTAATAAGGGGCTGGTGGAAGATAGAAACTCTGGGTGTAAGATCACCTGAAATAACAAAAAGGAAAATTCTAATGAGAAAAAGGAAAAAGCAAAGCCAAAAAATGTCTACAACTTGGTTATTTAGAAATTATTTATGTAGCTGGTGTAGCACCACCTGAGGTGCTGGCATCCCATATGGGTGCCGGTTCAAGTCCCAGCTGCTACTTTTTTTTTTTTTTAACAGGCAGAGTGGACAGTGAGAGAGAGAGACAGAGAGAAAGGTCTTCCTTTGCCGTTGGTTCACCCTCCAACGGCCGCCGTGCTGTAACCAGTGCACCGCGCTGATCCAAAGGCAGGAGCCAGGTGCTTCTCCTGGTCTCCCATGGGGTGTAGGGCCCAAGTACTTGGGCCATCCTCCACTGCACTCCTGGGCCACAGCAGAGAGCTGACCTGGAAGAGGGGCAACCGGGACAGAATCTGGCATCCCGACTGGGACTAGAACCCGGCGTACCAGCGCTGCAGGCGGAGGATTAGCCTAGTGAGCCGCAGCACCGGCCATCAGCTGCTACTTTTCTAATCCAGCTCTCCACTATGGCCTGGGAAAGCAGTAGAAGATGGCCCAATTCCTTGGGCCCCTGCAGCTTTGTGGGAGACCAGGAAGAATCTCCTGTCTCCTGGCTTCAGATCAGCCCAGCTCTGGCAGTTGCAGCCATCTGAGGAGTGAACCAGCAGATGGAAGACCTCTCTCTCTGTCTCTCTCCCTGTGTCTGTAACTCTATCTCACAAATAAATAAAATCTTTTAGAAAATTATTTATGTTCTTGATAGTTTGATAGAGAGAGAGAGAGAAAGGGAGAAAGGGAGAGAGAGATAAAGGGAGAAAGGGAGAGAGAGAGGGAGAGAGAGGGAGGGAGAGAGAGAGAGGGAGAGGGAGAGGGGGAGAGGGAGAGGGAGAGGGAGGGAGGGAGGGAGGGAGGGAGAGAGAGAGAGAGAGAGAGACTGACTCTCATTCCCTGTTCACTCCCCAAATGCCTGCAGCAGCCAGGACTCTGCTGAGGCTGAAGCCAGGAGTCAAGAACTTGAACTCAATCCAAGTCTCCCAAGTGGGTGGCAGCAACTCAATTATCCAAGCTGGAGGGAGAGGCAGGAGCTGAGAATTGAAATCAAGGTACACAGAAGTGGGACACAAACATCTCAACTAACAATGTAACCACTAGGTCAAATGTCTACCCCACTTTAACTATTTTAATGTTATGTTCCATTGAGAGAGAGAGAGAGAGAGAGAGAGAGAGAGAGAGAGAGAGAGAGAGAGAAGCCTGGGTGCTGGGTGGTGTTTTCTCCTCTGTTCTGCAGTCCTAACTTTTGCTCAGGTCCCAGATCTCAGACTGGAGGTTGGAGGGTTGTCTGGCTCAGCTTTGCTCCTTTGCTTTCATACTAAACACCATTTCCTGCCTAGCCTTGATCTATATATAATAAAGGATATATTCGGTTCCCTAACTGAAGACTCCTGTCGTATCTGTCAATTTTTCCCTACTCAACCAGGACAGAAATTTCACTGCACTCTGGCTCTGACACCAGCTTCCGGCTTCCCCCTCTGAGAGGACCTTTCTCGCCCTGCTTGGGCTCTGAAGTGATTCTCTTCACTTCTGTGCACCCGCCCCAGTCTCCTGCAGTTACCACCTGCTGTGGCTTCAGCTAACAGCTTTACAAGAGTTGCTCTAGAAGGAAAGCCAAAGACAAAGAAGGAAAGGACAAAAACTTTTTTTTAGGAAGCATTCTACATTTTTCCTTTCTGGAGTAAGCAAGCATTCTTCAAAAGAGATTACTCTGAAGAAAAACACAACTTTGGATATGTTACAATGATCATAACAACATTTGCATAGCTTTGCATATACTATAAATAATTTTCACATATGTTAACTCATTAAATTATAGCAACATTGTGTGATGTGTAGAATAGACAATCTCATTATCTTGATTTTAGACATAAAGAAATTAAGACATAAAAAGCCATGGAATTATTAATGTTACATTTATTTTATCACTTTACAATTGCATCATCTTCCAAGGATTAAAGTAAAAGATAATCTGAAAACTTCGTTTTGACGGAATGGGGATGTTATAGGCATTAATTATATCTCAGTAGTTCCACAAATAGAAGATCAGTTAAATTTAAAAAGAAAAAAAAATGGAAAAATGTCCCAAGCCAGACTCTAAAAATAGTTTATTCAATCACAAGAATCACAAAGCAGCAAAGTGGAAGTAGGTAAAATATTTTCCTCCACTGAGCATGATTTGCATTCCTTTTCTGTAAAGGGCACTGCACACCAGAGAAAGAGACATTGAGAGAAACTGTATCTGAGCAATTGCAAATCAGCAACCTGTTGTCAGAGAACTTAGAAACATCGCGCCTACTTTGGCATTTCCAAAGTTAGGAAATGTTGCATTCTCCAAAACCCATTTTGGAACAGAAAACACCATGGCTCATTCCCTGCGCTCCCAGCCAAACAGAATGGCAGCCCAAAAGCCCAACAGCCCGACTAAAATAAGAAAACAGCTGCTCATCCCTAAAACAGCCAATTGCAGGAACTTGGGGCTGTGGAAATGATATTAGAGGCCAGGGAAAATTAGCGAGGGAATGAAACATGATCCATGATCCCGTAGGCTCAGCTGACAGCAGGCTCTACATCCACCAGAAAAAAAAACAAAACAAAACAAAATGAAAACAAAAATTTGCCCATTTTCCCATTTCTGTTTAATCCCACAAGGGAAGTAAGATCCCAGGAATTTTTTTACTTTCAAAGAGAGGGCAGACCAGCCTGAGACTTGAAACCTGTAGTCTGAACATTTCTCACCATACATGGGGCCAGGGCAGGATAAATGAGTAATACACCAAGTTCAAATTGATTTGCAACATTTGCTGAATCAAATGCTGATATTCATATTCAAAACCTACCACTCCATTGACAAAACTACAATCCACTCTATAGAGTTGTATAAACAGGTGATTCGATAGCTACTCGTATTAGCACAGGCAAATAATTCTGTTAATAAAATAAAATACCTAATTCTGAACTGACGGAAGTTTCCTGCCATGCCTCGAGTGTACATGAAATGTCAGGAATGTGCTGCCCTTTTATTTCTTCTGTGTGTATGCAGTTGCCTTATGACACTAGGAAGTGGATATCTCGCATGAGTTCAACTGTGAAATGTAACTTTAAGGAGATAGATTTCTATCTCCATTCAGCCTAGTGTTTGTATATCCTTGTGCCTTTTCATCCACTTTTCCCTCTGCCCTCATGTTATTTGCGTAAGGAACTCCTGCTCATCTGTCAAATCCAGCTAACACGGCCTCTCTTTTATAAAACATCCCATCAGATCCTGCAGGCAGATAACTGCACTTTCTTCTAGTCTCAGAGAACTCTGTTCACACCTTTCTTCTGAAACTCTTTGAGGAGGTAGGTGTCTGGTCTACCAGTTAATGCGCCTCTGTTTCATTTTTCTTTCTTTTTTTTTTTTTTTTTTTTTGACAGGCAGAGTGGACAGTGAGAGAGAGAGAGAGACAGAGAGAAAGGTCTTCCTTTTTGCCGTTGGTTCACACTCCAATGGCCACTGAGGCCAGCGCGCTGCGGCCGGCGCACCGGGCTGATCCGATGGCAGGAGCCAGGAGCCAGGTACTTATCCTGGTCTCCCATGGGGTGCAGGGCCCAAGCACTTGGGCCATCCTCCACTGTACTCCCTGGCCACAGCAGAGAGCTGACCTGGAAGAGGACAACCAGGAAGGACAACCAGGACAGAATCCGGCACCCCGACCGGGACTAGAACCCGGTGTGCTGGCGCCGCAAGGTGGAGGATTAGCCTATTGAGCTGCAGCACTGGCCGCCTCTGTTTCTTATCAGAGTGCCTGGATCTGACACCTGGCTCCAGCTTCTGACTCCAGCTTCCTGCTAATGTGTAAGGCAGCAGGTGATGGTCCAGTGATTGGGTTCCTGCCATAATATGAGGGACCTGGATTAGGTTCCCAGCTCAGAGCATCTACTCTCACAAAATCGCTCCCACTTCTCTTTTAAAGGTCCTGATTGTTGTGGGCATTTGGAGAGTGAATCAGCAGATAGGATCTCTCTCTCTCTCTCTCTCTCTCTCTCTCTCTCTGTGTGTGTGTGTGTGTGTGTGTGTGTGTGGTCTGCCTCCCTCCTTCCCTTCTCACTCTCAAAAAAATTTTAAATTAAAAAGGAAAATTATTGATTATTCATCATGCGTCTGATACTGGACTAAGCATTAATAAATGCAATTAGTTTATGCATTTACTATGTGCCGGGGACTATGTTAAATACAACACCTATTCATATTTAATCCTCACACTTTTATGCATAGGGAGCTATTTTGTCACGGTTTTACAGATGAGAAGACTGAGGTATAATCAGATTAAGTGCTTTTACAAATTGGATCAGTAGTAGGGATTTAAAGCCAGACAGTGTCATCATGGTCTTTAAGGACTTAGCCTACTGCCTTCTTTATAGATGTGGCGCCTTGGAAAGAGAGCTCAGATTCCCTTCACAAGATCCTTGCACAAGGATCTTGATGGACAATCTCAGCTGCTCTCAGCCTGGAACAGGTACAGGGATGAGTGTGAGTGCTGACCCATTTCTTTCTAGTGGTGATCCCATTAATGGGCACCTCTGGCTTGGCAAATTCCCCCCATCTATTAATAGGAATCTCTGGAACCATCACTCTGAACTGCTCGTAGAATAAGGCACCCATCTGTCTGCCAGCTAAGATGTTTTGGTACATGGAAGGCACACATGAGGAAAGGTTGCTAAATGCAGTGGAAAACTGTATATAGTAACATTAGTATATTTTTAAAAGGTCCACAGTAACCAGTTATACACACACACACACACACACACAAATGGACATCTTTGTATTAAGGAAGAAACATTATCAAATGATTCTGAACCTGCATTGGCTATAGATTGTGCTGTGAAAAACTATTTTTATTTTTGTGTGCTTCCACGTGCATATGTGTGTGTGTGTGCGCGTGCGCATGTGTGCACTGAGCTTTTTTTTCCTTCAACTGAGAAGCCACTAGGAGTGGTCTTGAACTCCTGCATTTCCCCTTTGTGAGTCATGACAAGTTACTGCTGCTGTATATGTATCTTTTAGTATACTGTTTGTTTTTTGTCAATTATACTTTTTAAGAAAAGTTTTATTTATTTATTTGAAAGGCAAAGTTAGAGAGACAGAGAGAGAGAAAGAGAGATCTTCCATCTACTAGTTTACTCCTCAGATGGCTACTACAGCCAGGGCTTGGCCAGGCTGAAGCCAGGAGCCAGGAGCTTCATCCAGGTCTCTTATGTGGGTGCAGGGCCCCAGGGACTTGGGCCATCTTCCATTGCTTTTCCCAGGCACATTAGCAGGGAGCTGGATCAGGAGTGGAGCAGCCGGGACTTGAACCGGTGCTCATGTGGGATGTCTGTATCTCAGGTGTCAGCTTAACCCATTATGACAGAACTCTGGCCCTGATTCTAGGTTTGGTTTTTTTTTTTTTATCAAACACATTTGAACTTCCTTTCTAGAAAGAACAGAGAGAGGGGCCAGCATTGTGCTGTAGCAGATAAGGATGCCTCCTGCAACACCAATATCCCATGGGCACTGGTTCAAGTCCTGGCTGCTCTGCTTCCATTTCAGTTCCCTGATGATGGGCCTGGGAAAGCAGTGGAGGATGGCCCAGGTGCGTGAGCCACTGCACCCACATGGGAAACCAGGAGGAGGCTCCTGGCTCCCGGCTTCAGCCAGGCCCAGCCTTGGCCATTGCAACCATTTGGGGAGTGAACCAATGAATGGAGGACCTCTCTGTGTCTCTCTTTCTCTCTCTGTAACTCTGCCTTTCAAACAAATAAAACGTAAATCTAAAATAATAAAAAGAATGAAAGATGGAGAAAGCAAGAGAGCAAATTTGAGGTGTTATTTTGAAAATTTATTTTGAAAACAGAGAGATAGAAACAGAGACAAAGAGAGATCTCCCATCCACTGGTACACCACAAACAGCTGGGACTGGGCCAGGCTGAAGCCAAGAGCCCAGAACTCAATCCAGATCTTCCATGTGAGTGACAGGGACCAGCTACTGGAGCCATCACCTGTTGCCTCCCAAGGCATGGATAAGAGAAAGCTGGAATTGAAAGCAGAGCAAGAACTTGTACTTAGGTCCTCTGACATGGGATGCAGCATCTCAAAGGATGTATTATTAACAGCTGCACCAAACGTCCACCACAGTGTTTTGCATGTCTGAGCCTGCTTTGGTCCTTCCGAGAGGATCCAAACTGAGACAGTGTGTATGAGACATGATCACCACTTCAAAGAACTCATAGCCTCTCTTGAGAAATGAACACATACATTTTTTTAAAAATAAAATTTAATATGAGAATTCCTATACTTGCAGTGGATGTATAAGTATCTTGAGGTTGCAAATAAGGAAATACCTGTTCCTGTCTGGAACAGTGGAATGCACGTTAAAGAAAAGTTCAAGGGAGAGAGGAGTTTTAGATCATATCCCAAAGTGTTAGAATGACTTTTTCAGAAAGATATAATAGCATCAGCAAAGACACACAGCCATGAAAGTGTTCAATAGGCCTAGAAAATAAAGATACTGTGCACTCTTGGAAAATTGTTCCACTGACACAAAAAAGAAACTTTTGGACACAGCAAGGCATTCTTTAATCAGAGTTCCCACTTTCAGGACCTTGCAGCCTCAGTCCTTCCAAGAGCAGGGGAAGCATGAACCATTGCCAGTCCAATGACTCCATCCCTCCCTTTGTGTACGTGTGTGTGTGTGTGTGTGTGTGTGTGTAAGTTCCTGAAATCCATTATAGAGCCAGGGAAGAGACCAGATTCAGGTATTTATTTATTTGAAACACACAGTATGCACAGAGACTGACAGTTTCCATCTGCTGATTGACTCTCCAAATGCCTACCCTGGCCCTGGCTGGGGGTGAAGCTGGGTGCCAGGAAACCAACCACTTGAGACTTGACTGCTGCCTCCCAGGGTCTGCATTAGCAGGAAGCTGGAGTCAGGAGCAGGAGCTGGATAAGACTATATAGAGACATACATATACATACATGGGACTCCAACATCTTAACCTCTAGGCCAATTGCCTGCCCTTTGCACCAGTATTTATTGTTCATAATAGGTGCCAGGCAGATATACAGAATATGACCCACACAATCAGGTAAATGTCAGAAAAAAAAAAAAAACCAGAAAAGCACTGGAAAATAAGTGGATTTCCTAATGTCTATTATTTCTTTTCACCTTTAAAGGTAAAAATTGTGAAGGATAAGTCTCCAGTAAATTACATGAGAATGAGATCAAATTAGTTCTGATACATTCTGGGGTCCAATGCAGATCAAAAATACAAAGGATGGTATTTGATACATCTGGATAAATAGATCCCTAGAGTCACAAGGATGTAGCTTGCTGACTGTAAAATTTGGGTTAGGTGAAGAAGTTTCAGAAATGCAAAAACAAACAAAAAATATTAGTCACTCATAATTCTATGGCATACAGCCACATATTGTGCATGTGTGTATGTGTAGACACAAATGTGTGTATGAGTATGTGTGGATGCTTGTGCATGTGTGTGTATTTGAAATGAATGGGATAAAATGGTATGCAACATTTTATAAACTTGTTTATATTTAAACTCAGTACTACACACTACGAACTCTTCCTACCATTATGAAAATTTCTCCCATTTTTCTCCCACTGTTTTTTCTCTTCTAATTTTCTACTTCTTTATTTCCTTTTCTATCTCTGTATTTTTTTCTTTTAAATCGTGAGGATTTCCAGGGTCCGCACTCTTCTTCACTTATTCAGCCTCATCTTTGAGGCCGTTATTCCTATGGCTCTCTTTTTGTTTTCTAAGTGCCTGTTACCCATCTCAATTTGTGTATCTCATTTGCAACTCAAACTATCCAAAACTGAACCCTGTTTGTGACGTAGTCTTCAAATCAGCTTCTGCTATAGCCTTTCCGAAGCTTGTAGAAAGCACTGGTTTGATACAGAAACCAGGAAGCTATTCATTTGGCCACCTCCCTCTTCCTCACTCCCATCATCCATGGGTCATTCAGTTAGGTCATATCCATGGCAACCATTTCTCCTTTTGTTCTTTTTCCTGCACTTTTGGTGTGGCTATGCTAAGAGGCCCTCAGCATCTCTCACCTGTGTTGTTGCAGCAAGTTCTTAATTTGTCTTCCTTTTCCATGTTCACTTATGCCTACATCAAGCAGTAAACAGAAGATGAGAAATGAGTTTTAACCATAGAACTCTTTGTTCCGAGAAGTTTTGCAGAAAAGAATGAGAAATAAGAAATATTTTAAAATATCAAGGGGAAATAGGGTAAAGGAAAAGTTTACTCTGTAATGTGGAGAAATGTAATGAACATTTGTAAATAGCAAAGGAAGGAGCTATAAGTAAAGGAGTAAATCTACAATATCAGAGAGAGCAAACAGGGCAAGTTCCCTATTAATGTAGGAGATGATGAAATTGAAGAAAGCCTCAGAGCTCAAAGGAAAATAAGAATAGGTTAAAATTTACATTGTACGCCAGTGTGGCGGGACATTGAAATGGTTCATTACTCACTGAATTCTCAGGGAACTCTCCTGCTAAAAGGTAAAGAAAGAAGTGAAAGTAGGAAATCTTGGAAAGTTTGATGAAAGCTTGTGGCATGGAATGAGTAATTATCTGTTTACATGCCTACCACTGTTGCTAACACCTAGCACCATGTCTGTAATGCAGCCAATCTTCATAGATTTCATAGACACAAAGCTCCCTGGTGGCAGAAACCAGGTCTTAAATTCACATAAATACTCTCAGCAGTGGCCAGCACTATGGCATAGTAGGTTAAGCCTTTGGCCATGGCACCTGCATCCCATATGGGCACCGGTTCTAGTTCTGGTTGCGCTACTTCTGATTCAGCTCCCTGCTAATAGCCTGGGAAAGCAGTGGAAGATGCCCAAGTCCTTGGGCTCCTGCACCCACCTGGGAGGCCTGGAAGAAGCTCCTGGCTCCTGGCTTTGGATTGGCCCAGTTGGGAAGTTACCCAACAGATGGAAGACCTCTGTCTCCGTCTCTCTGTCTCTGTCTCTCTCTCTCTCTGTGTGTGTGTCTCTCTGTCTCTAACTCTGCCTCTCAAATAAATAAATCTTAAAAGAATAATACCCTCAGCAAGCACCATCCCTGGGCCCAGTCATTGTAGAAACTCAAGTCAAAAGAATGATTCTTCAACAGAAAACCACAGAAAAACATTTTTAGTCACAGTCTTTAAAGTGGAGACTCATATTGTCTTCTTAAATTGAACTTTTCTTTTAAAAGTATTTTAATGACAGAGAGAAAAAGAGAGAGAGAGTCCCCCATCTGCTGGTTCATGCCTCAAACATCCATAGCCGCTAGGGATCAATCAGCCAAAAGCCAGTAATAAGCCAACACAATTTATGTTAATATTAGAGAGTCTACCATTAAATTAATTCTTAGACTATATTGACATCATTACAAATTAAGCAATTTCCCTATACTTATTGATGGTATTACACAATGAAAATAAATGCTAGAATTCTAGCTCAAAACCATGAATATGTATTAGCTTTTAAGGATGTTGCCAAAATATTCATTATACTGCACTCAAGAAACAGAATCCATTTTCTTGGGAAATGTTTACAAGTATCTCAGGTTGGTGTTAAAAACAATGAAGTGAGGCTTCTGGTACCTGCACACAAAAGGGATGAGTTTTACCTTGACCCTGTCTGGGCGGTTGTTGAAAAGCCCGATCCGTCTGATTGTGCTAAGGATGGGATCGGTGGAGTCTTCGATCATGTTGTGAGTGGTGACCGGGGGCAAAGACTGCCGCTGAAGTCAGAGCGGGGAGAAAACATCAATTGTGCAAAGCACGAAATCACAATGCCACTTCCAACAACACATCACTGGCATTTCATCTGACCTGTATGCCTTCGGCTTTTGAGATGACACTAACGATGATGACTGCGTGCCTGTATGGGTTCGGAAGCTTTGTCTTACTGTGCACACGTAAAGCCTCTGTTTTTCCTCCTGTGGCCACCATATGAAAGCCCTGGATTTCGCTACTCTTGTGGGCCTTGCTTGGATCGTGAAGGTGTCCTGAAATCTGCACTAGCTTTTTCTAGGGGGGCTGTGTGCCAGGACTTGAGGAGTCGTTAAGACCACTCATGAAAGAACACACAAAGTGACTCCCACAAAGGGACTATGTAAGAATGTCTTCTCTGTCAGTTCTAAATATTCCCAAATCAGCTCATGCCAATAAATCAAAATATTGATTTATATGGATTTTGATAATTATAGGAAATGGTGGTCACCTTTTATTACCTGTGTTGAAAAGATGGCTCTTTTCATAATTGTTAGATCATCGCGATCCAAAATATTAGCCATGTCAGGAATTTCTCCTCTATGGGGAAAACAGAGTTGCTAATAAAAATGAAAACAGCCAGCACTAATTAACTGCTTCCTAAGTGCTAGATATATAGATTACATACCTTGTTTAATATTTGTTAAACCAATTGGTAATATAGGTTTCATATTAAGTACATCTGTTTAATATATATCAAGCCAACGTGTATTGTGACTTTAGATCTCCTTCAGCTTCAGATTGACACATTAATCATAATAAGTTCTCCATCCAATTAGAACTTGTCTGCCCACACAAATGTGCTCTCATCCATACACTCTGTATACAAGTGTTTGTCAAATGAAGAATACAACATTGCTCACAGGATACACCAGATCTGAATGGGCTATTGATCATTTTATATTTAGAACAAAATAACTATAATGCAGTGTCCAAATTGATCAGTTTAGTGAATGTTTGAAGAGTTAGTTTTCCAAGCACATACCTTAATAATGAATTATAGAGTTTCTTTCCAAACTTTTCTTTCATGCAATGTACAGTGTCCCTGTTTGAAATAGAAAGGTCGATCATCTAAACAGTATAACTTTTACTCTGCTTGTCAAGACAGCGTTGTTGTTGCATCAACATTCTTTGAAGTTACAGGTCTTCTGTACAACCTCCTCTATTATTTTCCTATTTGACAATTTATCTTGGGTTGGAACATCCAAAAATTAGGCAACAAAATGCCCTGACAGCTCAGAGAGCTTCAATTTTTATTTATTTCTTGATAATAATTAGGGAAGGCTAGAGGTAGAGGGTAGGGAACATAAATGGATGGAGGTATAAATGTAACAAGACTGGGAATTAGTTGATTATTTCCAAGTATGGAATATAGAGTCATTTTACTAATCACTTTACTTTGGTATATGTTTTTAAATTTCCACAAGAGCTCTCTCTCTAAATTTTTAAAAACTAAAAGAAAGGATCTTGAATGTTTTCACCGTAAAGGAAAGCTATGTGTCTGAGGATATATATGTTTACTCTAATTTAAACATTATACCATATATTATACATTATACCATATACATTTACATGTACACATGTATTAAGACATCACATGGCATCCTATAAATATGTACAAATTGTATGCGTCAACTACAAATAAAAAAAATAAAGTTTTTACACTTGATGCTTGGGAACATTCACAAGAAGTGAGATTACCATAGCTGTTTACGCACTGCCTGTCCCTTCAGAGTTTCCACATTGAAGTTATTTGTCTTGGCAGGCATAATGAAAAACACCACCACTGTGACGTCACTCTTATGCATCTGACAAGGGATTAGAAAACAGCAGAGTCAACTACCAAAGATTAAAAGGCACGTGATAGATGGACCAAAAGCTTTAAAAAGCAGTGTTTTAAAACATCATTAAATAAAAAAGGATACTTATTGGTGGTTCACAGATGAATTATTTTCACCTTCCTGAGATGTTTCTAAAACTGTTCATTTAAATCTGGCTTTTAATCAAGATTTATCAGTTAACAGCTTGAAAGTTCAGACAAAAGGCTTTTTCGTGGCATTGATCCTCCAAATTATATAACAATTGCTATTGATATCGTGGTGCCTTCCCATGGCTAAAAAATAACTAACAGGTGAGCTTTCTACAAGGCCAAAATTAGTTCTTTAAAACTTCAGGGATGGTTGTTTGGCATTGAGATTAAGTCACCACTTGGGACACCCATACCCCATATTATAGTACCTGGTTTGAATTTTGACTTCTCTGCCTCTAATTGCAGCTTCCTGCTGATGTGCACCCAGGGAAGTAGCAGGTGGTAGTTTAAACACCTGGGTCCCTGTCACCCACTTGATAGCCCCAGATTGAACTCCAGGTTCCTGGCTTCAGCCTGGCCAGCCCTAAATGTTGTAGGCACATGGAGAGTGAACCAGCAGATGGAAGATCTTTCTCCATCTGTCTCTCTGTCTCTGCCTTTCAAATAAAATGAAAATCAGTAAAAAGAAAATATCTTTAAAAATCACTACTAAATAAAATTTCAGATTGAAAATTTAATCAAGAATTAATTATGGTGTATTCATTTATTTTAGCTCATTCATGTTGATGTGAACAAATAGATAATTTACAGTTTTCTGCTACTTGTCCACTCTCATAGTGTGGTAGTATGGCTGTTAGCCCCCAATAAAGGAATAAATGCATACCTAGCACTTTTGGTGTAGCAGGCACTGTACTGGTATGCTTTTTTTTTTTTTTTTAAAAAAAGATTCCTTTATTTATTTGAAAGGCAGAGTTACAGAGGGGCAGAGGCAGAGAGAAAGAGAGAGAGAGAGAGATACAGAGACAGAGAGAAGGTCTTCCATCTGCTGGTTCACTCTCTAAATGGCCACAATGGCCAGAGCTACACTGATCCAAAGCCAGGAGCTTCTTCTGGGTCTCCCACATGAGTGCAGGGGCCCAAAGACTTGGGCCATCCTCTGCTGCTTTCCCAGGCCATAGCAGAGAGCTGGATTGGAAGTGGAGCAGCCAGGACTCAAACTAGTATCCATATGGGATACTGGCACTGCAGGCAGCGGCTTTACCGGCTGTGCCACAGTGCCCGCCCTGGTATGCTTTAAATACATAATTTAACCCAATCATGTACAATAGATAGCATTATCCTCATTTTATTAACATCAAAAGAGAGGCATGAATGATTAAATATTTTGCTTGAGTTCCTATAACAGGTTAGTGGCAGAGCTGGGATTTTAGTTGGTGTTTTTCAATTCACAAATGTGTTTTCTTTTCCTATAGAAGCTATGGAACAGGAACTTTACCCCAAGAGTAGAAAACACACTGTCAAAGAATAAATGTATATGTGGAAAGAGATCGTCTCCTGTGGGGAGCAACTGGGAGCAACTCGGACTAGACTGTTACTCGAATTAAGACTTATTCTATGCATCTGCTCTCCCACAATATGGCGCTGGGAGAGGAGTAAACAGCTTCTACCCAGCTGCCTCTCACCAACTTGACAAGCTGTAGGAGCTGCTCCTGATTGGAGGAGAGCAGCGTACTCGGCGTGTGGGTAGCAGAGTTGGGATTGGTGGAAGAGGACTATAAAGGAGGAGAGAGACAACATGCACCAGGAACATCTAAGAGGAACATCTATCTGAAGGAACACCTGTGCAGCCCCCGAGAGAGCCGGCCGGCGGTGTGCCGCTCCCCCGCGTAAGTGGGGAAAATGGCAGGGGGAACCGCCCTTCCACGGAGGTGGAAGGGTCGGTAGCCAACCCGGGAAGAACCAGCAGCAAACCCGGGGAGGGCCGAGCAGACAAAAGAACAACGCAGGGTCCTGTGTCGTTCCTCCATGAAGACGGGGAGCGACAGTCTCCTTCTTACTTTTCCAAGTGTGGTAACCATCTTTTTTTTTTTTTTTTAAGTGATCTGTTTATTTGGAAGTAGAGTGACAGAGAGAGGTGGAGAGAGACAGATCTTCCATTCACTAGTTCCTTTTCCAAATGCCCACAATAGACAGGGATGGACCAGGGCAAAGCTGGGAGCTGGGAACTCCATGCAGGTGCCCCACGTGAGTGACAGGGGCCCGACCACCTGAGCCATAATCCCTGTCTCCCAGGATGCAGCAGCAGGAAGCTCTCCTGGAAGCCCAGGAGCCAGGGCTCCACTGGCCTTCTGTATGGGATGGGAGTGTTCCAAACGATGCCTTAATTCACTACCACAACTCTCAAACTGGTAATAGTCTTCAATGTGTAATACAACAGCAAGAAATTTATTTCTTCACATCTAAAAACATAATGAATATTTAATAACTGAATGGATACATTTAATAATAATGGCACTAAACATGATGTGTACTGGATATAGTTGTGAGTGCATTCATACAGTCTGTTGAACAGACGCATACTAGGAAACATTATTCCAGAATAATCTTTATAGTCTTCAGTTCTATTGCTGACTTATGTTCTTATTGACATATAACTTACTTATTGAGATTTCAGAAAATCTTTCAACATACTTGATACAACATCTTCTCTAAGGAAAAGATCCTAAGTCCAAGAAACAGTTTAACCACAGCATAGTACAGGGCTCAGGACAATATAGATTATCTTGGTATCTCACCAAGAGAATTTTACACTGGTCTCCTGAGAGTATCTTCCAGATATTTATTCTGTATTTTTATGTGCTGGGATTGGAATATAAGCTAATAACATCAGTTAATAATTTTAACATGGTATCATTGTCTATAGCTACTTCAATTGCTAAATGTTTCTAATTACTGAATTAGTTGGAAAACTGAGCAAAAATGATTCCATATCGTTGGGAGTAAGAATTTCCTTTTCCCCAGCCGGCGCCATGGCTCAATAGGCTAATCCTCCGCCTAGCGGTGCTGGCACACCAGGTTCTAGTCCTGGTCGGGGCGCCGGATTCTGTCCCGGTTGCCCCTCTTCCAGGCCAGCTCTCTCCTGTGGCCCGGGAGTGCAGTGGAGGATGGCCCAAGTGCTTGGGCCCTGCACCCCATGGGAGACCAGGAGAAACACCTGGCTCCTGCCTTCGGATAGGCGCGGTGTGCCGGCCTTAGCGCGCTGGCCGCGGCGGCCATTGGAAGGTGAACAAACGGCAAAAGGAAGACCTTTCTCTCTCTCTCTCTTTCTCTCTCTCTCTCTCTCACTGTCCACTCTGCCTGTAAAAAAAAATAAATAAAATAAAAAAATAATAAAAAAAAATTTCCTTTTCCCATCTGTATTTCCATATGGTGAGACATCTCTTAGTTGAATACTTTGAACGCTCAGTCTCAGGGAGGAGGCAGGGCTGGGAGTTGGAAAGGAACCAAGACTGTGTCTGCCATGCCCAACAGAGAGCTGGGATTGTAGTTCTTGATCATGAGCCACTGCTTCTCTGAAGGCTTTACTCAACTGAGGGGGGCAACTATGACCAGAGCTGCCTGTGATGGGACAGTTTGGGTAACACCAAGGTTCGTCATTAGTACATCTGTTTTCACATACCCAAGCCACTTCCTCTTGCTGTTATAAATCCAAGCCAATCTTCATTGATTTAAAAAGATGATATTTTGCTCTTCACTTACTTAATTTGTGGATATTTATCTTTCAATTGGTTACAAACTCATGTAAGGGGAAATAATGTTATAATGGCTTCATAAGACCTGATACATAAAATGTGACAAGTTTGAGTGTTTGTTAGAAAAATATACTTGAAAACATAGACCAATACATGTGTGCAGGAAGTAATAACTCCAGTATGTGAACTAGAAGGGTTGAAGTCATTTTTAGAATAAGGTTATCATTTGAAGTCTTCAAAGTTGTATGTTCTCTTGAAAACTATTTCAGAAGCCAAAAAGTTCTGTACCTCCCATTGGAAGTCTTTCCCACAATAGCAATATATCATGTCATAAAAGTTTCTTACCCGCAGCAGGAAATTTAGCCTGGATAAGGATTCTAGGAAGATGTCTGCTCCTTTGTTTGAGAACTCATACCTTCCAGCGATGAAAAAAAATAAGGTCTTTTCAAGGTCAAAGTCAAGATGACTAAAACAAAACAAAACCGATTTGGATGAAATAAAGCAACAGTAACAAAATGCACCCATGAATTCTGCTGAAGGAAAAGGAGGCCAGGAAGACAGACACTTACTCTAACAATCCTGTTTTCTTGCTACAAAGATCCTTAAAAATCACTTGCTAATTTTTTTGAAATGAAGAAAAGCATATGGGCCAGTATTTGGCTCTGTGGTTAAGATACCACTTGGGATGCTGTCATGTCACATTGGAGTGCCTGGCTTCATGTTCTGACTCAACTTCCCATTCCAATTCCAGCTCCCTGCTAAAGCACACTCTGGGAGCCATCAGATGATGGATGTAGGACTTGGGTCTCCGCCACCCACATGGAGGATCCAAATGGAGTTTTGGCTCCTGTCTTCAGCCTGGCCCAGCCTGGATGTTGTGGCTATTTGGGGAGTGAACCAGCAGATGGAGGATCTCTCTCTGTGTCTCTCTTCTCTCTTTTCTCTCTCTCTCTCTCTCTCTCTCTCTCTCTCTCTCTCTCTCTCTCTCTTTTCTCTCTGCCCCTCCCTTTCAAATGAAAATAAATAAATACATACATACATACATGCAACATACATACATAATTTTTAAAAAGAAAAGAAAGCCATACCCATAGAAATGACCTCGAACAAAATCTTGGATCCTAGCTTTGTTCATGGCATGGAGATTTTGAAACTCGTGCACTGCTGAAAACTTCTTAACATTCAATCCATTTGGAGTAATCACATCTGAAAACAAAACAAAATCATGAAGCTTCCCCTTTGAGAGAGGGCACCATTGCAGAAGAAGACATACTTTTAAATAAATGAAGTCAGACAACCACTAACATGGCTAGTTTCTGACTACAATTTGATTTAAGATTCATAAAATCTCAGAACCTCATCTCCTGGTTGAGGGAGGAAATCAGGAGACTCTGACTACAATCCTAATGAGTAATGGGTACCATGGGCAAAGTAGTGATACTATTACATCGTTCATGTATTGATTTCTCACTGGGCACCACCCACGGTTCTCAAAGGTATATGACGTGACTCAGATACTCATTGCAACAACAGAGAGCACGGGTACTGTTCTCTGCATTTTCAGGGACAGAGACTGAAGCACAGAGGATCAGCAACTGTGTCCAAGAACATGCAGGCGAGTGGAAGCAGAACCAAGAGAGTCTTCCTCGGGCCAGCGCTGTGGCTCTCTAGGTTAATCCTCCGCCTGTGGCACCGGCATCCCATATGGGCACTGGGTTCTAGTCTCGGCTGCTCCTCTTCCAGTCCACCTCTCTGCTGTGGCCCAGGAAGGCAGTGGAGGATGGCCCAAGTGCTTGGGCCCTGCACCCGCATGGGAGACCAGGAGCAAACACCTGGCTCCTGGCTTCAGATCAGTGCAGTGCTGGCCGTAGCGGCCATTTCGAGGGTGAACCAATGGAAGGAAGACCTTTCTCTTTCTCTCTCTCTCTCTCTCTCTCTCTCTCACTGTCTGACTCTGTCAAATAAAAAAATAATAAAAAAAAGAGAATCTTCCTCAAGTGCTGTGTTTCTAACCACTGTATTATGCTACCTCTTGCCATCTTGGTTTGGCCAAGCACATGGGAAATCTATCCTTTGGGAAAACAGAAAAATAGTCCCCTATTTCTGATTTCAATTTTTTAGAGTATTACATTTTAAAATTCATTTATTTTTATTTATTCAAAGGCAGAGAGATGGAGACATCTCTCATCCACTGGTTCACCCCCCAAGTGTCTGCAATAGCTGGGGCTGAGCCAGATCAAAGCCAGAAGCTAGGAACTCAATCCAGGTCTCCCATGTGGATGGCAGCAACCCAACTACCTCAGCCATTACTGCTACCTCCTACCATGTGCATGAGAATGAAGCTGGGATTAGAAGCAGAACTGTGATTGAACCCAGGTACTCTGAATGGGCATGGGGGAGTCCCAAGCTGTGTCTTGACCACCAGGCCAAGCGTCCACCCCTCTAATTTCTATTTTTTTTATTCTAACATAACTGATATGTTCTCAGGAGATTTGATTGCTCAGGTAGGTATATATTCTTGGGTTTCCAGAATACATCTTTATGACAAGAAAGAAAGAGTACTCAGATTATGGGATGAGAACCACCTACCAAGTTGAACACATTTAATAGCAGTTTAAAAAAAGGCAAGGAAAAAGAAGTGATGTCAAAGAAGTTAGGAGGTGGCAGTGGAGTGTGAGCTACAATTATAATCATGTCACATCATTTTGAAGGTGCTTTTAGTTAATGGGCTGTTCTCTTGAAATGGTTTCAGAAAATCAACACAGGTTTCTTGGTCACTTCTTAAGAAAAAAAATTGGTGTTTGTGAGTTTTTATTAAATAATCAGGCACTTGCTATGCAATTACTCCCCAAGATCCACAGGGGATTGGTTACAGGACCCTCCACCCCCAACCCCATAGATAACGAGATCTGAGGATGCTCACATTCCTTATATGAGCATAAAATTGCATGGTGTTTTTCATATAGCATGTGCACATCCTCCCATGTACTCTAACTAATCTCTAGACTACTTACAATGCCCAGTGCAAGGCAAATACCATGTGAATAGCTGTTCTATAGTATTGTTTAGGGGATAATGACAAGGACAAAAAGCCATACATGTTCAGTACAGATATAATTTTTTTAGAATTTTTAAAAAGACTTATTTATTTTATTTGAAAGGCAGAGTTAAAGACGCAGAGAGAGAGAGAGAGAGAGAGGTCTTTCCATCTGCTAGTTCACTCCCCAGATGGCCTCAACAGCTGGAACTGTGCCGATCAGAAACCTGGAGCCAGGAGCTTCTTATGGGTTTCCCACATGCGTACAGGGGCCCAAGCCTGTGGACCATCTTCTATGGCTTTCCCAGGCCACAGCAGAGAGCTGGATCAGAAATGGAGCAGCTGGGACTCTAACCAGCACCCATATGGGATGCCAGCACAGCAGGCAGCAGCTTTATCTGCTATGCTACTGTGCCGGCCCCAGAATATTTTCAATATAGGATTTTAATCAGTGATGCAGAATCAATGAAGATGGAGGGCTGCATATATCCCTTTACACACTGCCACAGCAAAGTCAAATTTAGGCTGCCATGATTTCCAGTGAAACTTTTCATGAGAACAATCCCTAGATGAACTCTGCAACACGATTAGGATAGGATGACAATTACCTCTCAAAATGCTTTACCCTTCATGGTATCCTTCGTAGGGCTTCCTCTGTGTTTAGTAGCTTAAAGACTTAGGCCAATGAGATCTTCTGTTAGTATTTGTATGACAGAATAATCTCACACACACAAGCCCATGTGCAGTGGTATGCTGGTATAGTCTGACAAACAGCTCTGAGAGAGAGAGACAGAGAGACAGAGAGACAGAGACAGGGCTTTGTTTACAGTGTTTTGCGTATTTCTGTAGTTGTAAATACGTCTATCATGTCTTATGGCTACTAATGTGAATGCAGAGATGGAAGAGATTTGCATTAATGCCGTTAATATGATTAAATACCATAGTATTTAAACCATACAAAAGATACACACACTGTGGCTCATCTGGCAAAGCTGCTGCCTGCAGTGCCAGCATCCCATATGGGCACCAGTTTGAGTCCCAGCTGCTCTGCTTCCAGCTCTCTGCTATGGCCTGGGAAAACAGTAGAGGATGGCCCAAGCCCTTGGGCCCCTGCATCCACGTGGGAGACCTGGAAGAGGCTCCTGGCTCCTGGCTTTGGATTGGCCCAATTCTGGCCCTTGTGGCCATTTGGGGAGTGAACCAGTGGATGGAAGATTTCTCCTCTTTCTCTCTGCTCTTGCCTTTCTGTAAGTCTGCCTTTCAAATAAGTAAGTAAGTTTTTAAAGAAAAAAAGATACACATACACACATACAAAGGGACTTTGAAAAGCTCATGGAAAATGCAATTAAAGGATGTTTATATGAGTGCCAAATTTTTTGAAATTCATGTGTAATTTTTTTTTTTGACAGGCAGAGTTAGACAGTGAGTGAGAGAGAGAGAGAGAGACAGAAAGACAGGTCTTCCTTCCGTTGGTTCACCCCCCAAATGGCCACTACGGCGGGCACACTGCGCCGATCCAAAGCCAGGAGCCAGGTGCTTCCTCCTGGTCTCCCATGCGGATGCAGGGCCCAAGCACCTGGGCCATCCTCCACTGCCCTCCCGGGCCACAGCAGAGAGCTGGACTGGAAGAGGAGCAACCAGGACAGAATCCGGCGCCCCGACCGGGACTAGAACCCAGGGTGCCAGCGCCACAGGCAGAGGATTAGTCTATTGAGCCGTGGCACCAGCCCATGCATAATTTTTTTTTACAATATTCACTTTTTATGAGCTTTCCCCCTTTATTTGATATTTGCAAAATTTTGACCAACAAGTAATAACTTGTATTCACTGATGGCGCACAGTGCAGAATTTCAAAAGATGCACACAGTGTCCACTGAGCAAACTGAGCCATCAGCACCCCCATTCCCACCTTCCCTCGGTGTTTAGAGAGCACTTAGAGCTGCACTCAGAGCAGTTCTTCCCATTCCTTACACAGCATACGATGCACTGCGCTGAACTACAGCTGCCTCACTGTGCTAAGGAACACCAGGACTGATGAACTCCTCTCTGAGTGTGCTTTGATGCCTTTTATCCTACCTCCCAGTTTTCCCCCTCATCCTTTCCAATTCCTGGTAATTGTTATTCCACATTCAGAATAACTTTTCCTCCCCTACCTTCCACATATGAGAAAAAATATGCAGTATTTGTCTTTTTGTGTCTAATTTTTTCACTTAACATGATGATCTCCAATTTCACCTATTCTACTGTAAATGCCAGGATTTTATTTTTTTTAATGGCAGAATAGTATTCCTTGTGCTAAGAAATACATGGGGAAGGCCGGCGCCGCGGCTCACTAGGCTAATCCTCCGCCTAGCGGCGCCGGCACACCGGGTTCTAGTCCCGGTCGGGGCGCCGGATTCTGTCCCGGTTGCCCCTCTTCCAGGCCAGCCCTCTGCTGTGGCCCGGGAGTGCAGTGGAGGATGGCCCAGGTGCTTGGGCCCTGCACCCCATGGGAGACCAGGAAAAGCACCTGGCTCCTGGCTCCTGCCATCGGATCAGCGCGGTGCGCCGGCCGCAGCGCGCTGGCCGCGGCGGCCATTGGAGGGTGAACCAACGGCAAAGGAAGACCTTTCTCTCTGTCTCTCTCTCTCTCACTGTCCACTCTGCTGTCGGAAGAAACAAAAGATATACCAAAAAACAAAAAAAGAAATACATGGGGAAATGATCAATATCATTGCCTCCGGGAAATGCAAATCAAAAGCATAATGAAGTCTGTCTCATTATGTGGCTATTATCAAAAAGATAAAAGATAACAAATGCTGGCAAGGATATGGAGAAAAGGAAACACTTATATGCTGTTGATCAGAAGGCAAATTAGTACAACCATTACAGAGAAGCATGTAGCTTCCAAAAAAAAACTAAACATGGATCTGCCATGTGACTCAGTAATCCCATTTCTGTGTATAACAGAGTGGAATGCATACAGCGTATCAAAGAGATACCTGCTCCCCCATATTCATTGCAGGTTAGTCACATTAGCCCAGATAAGAAATCCACCCATGCATCTCAATGGATACAGAACGTGTAGTACATAATCACAGTGGAATATTAGCAACAAACTTTCTGAAGTCTCCTCTATATAAGCATTTAAAAAGCTTATTGCACCAAAATAAACTTATTTTTAAGGGCCAGTGTTTACAGCATAGCAGGTTAAACTGTTGCTTGCAATGCCAGCATCCCATATCAGAAGGCTGGTCCAAGTCCCAGCTATTCCACTTCTGACACAGTTTTCTTGCTAATGTGCCTGGGAAGGCAGAAGATGGGGATCCAAGTGCTTGGGCCGCTGCCATCCATGTAAAAGGCCCAGATGGATTTCCAGGCTCCTGGCTACAGCCTGACCCAGTTCTAGCTTTTGAGGCCGTTTAGGGGGTGAATCAGTATTTAGAAAATCTCTCTGCCTCTCATTGGGCCAGGCCAAAGCCAGGAGCCAGGAGATTCATTCAGGTCTCCTACATAGGTGTCAGGGTCCAAGCACATGAGACATCTTCTGCTGCTTTCCCCGGCACACTAGCAGGGAGCTGGATTGGAAATGGAACAGTGGGGACTTAAATCAGCATCCATATGGGATGCCAGTGTTGCAGGTTGTAGCTTAACCTGCTATGCCACGATGCTAGCCCATTATTTATTGTTTTTAAAGATTTATTTATTTATTTGAAAGGCAGAGTTACAGAGAGGCAGAGGCAGAGAGAGAGGTCTTCCATCTGCTGGTTCACTCCCCAGATGGCTGCAACGGCAGGAGCTGTGCCCATCCAAAGCCAGGAGTTTTTCTAGGTCTCCCACGTGAGTACAGGGACCCAAGCACTTGGACCATCTTGTACTGCTTTCTCAGGCCATAGCAGAGAGCTGGATTGGAAGTGGAGCAGCCGGGGTTTGAACCAGAGCCCATATGGGATGTTGGCACTACAAGTGGTGGCTTTACCCATTACACCGCAGCAGTGGCCCCCAGCCCCTCATTTAAATCTAAAATATATATGCCTTGAAAAGTCTCCCACTTCAGTCCCTCAATTACTTCTTCTTCCTGGAAGCAATATTGGTTTTAAATTTCTTGTTATAGTCCCCAAATAGAAAGCAACACCAGTGTCATTCACCTCTCTAAATTTAGGCAATGTTAACACAAGTGAAAAATGTTGACTAAAAAAAGGTATTGAAAGTTCACAATAAGCTATTAATATGGGCCTGAAAATCAGTACTTGTAAGGTTATTAATAACTCTATTAAGAGGCAAATGACAAACTGGAATAAAGCAATATATGATACTGATTGTATATGTGGTATTCAATTGTGTACTAGTAATCAGAAAATGTACAATTTTGCCTTGTTTCCAATACTTCAGATAAAATAACATCTTCATGATCTCAGACATTATTTTGGGTGCTGGCGCTGTTGCGTAGTGGGTTAAGTCACTGCCTGTGAAGCCACATCCCGCATAGATAGTGGTTCTTGTCCTGCCCACTCCACTTCCCATTCAGCTCCCTGCTAACACATCTGGGAAAGCAGCAGCAGATGGCCCAAGTGCTTCTGCCCCTGCTACCTATATGGGAGATCCGGAAGACGCTCCTGGTTCCTGGCTTTGGCCTGGCCCAGACCTGGCCATTGCGGCTGTTTGGGGAGTGAACGGATGGATGGAAGATCTCTATGGCTCTCCTTCTCTCTTTAACTCTGTATTTCAAATAAATAAATAAATAAATCTTTAAAATTATTTTGACTTAGAGTTATGGCAAAGGTGTAATAATACAGGAATAAATAGGCCCTTGCTAAATAGTATATGGTGATATTCTTACAAATATCTGGTCCCATGTAAGTTTTTTTCTAGGATTTATTTATTTATTTGAAAATCAGAGATAACACAAAGAGAGAAGGAGAGACAGAGAGAGAGAGAAGTCTTCCATCCAACAGTTCACTCCCCAATTAGCCGCAATGGCCGGAGCTGTGCCCATCTGAAGCTAGGAGCCAGGAGCTTCTTCCAGGCTTTCCACAGGGGTACAGGAGCCCAAGGACTTGGGGCATCTTCTACTGCTTTCCCAGGCCATAGCAGAGAGCTGGATTGGAAGTGGAGCAGCTGGCTCTCAAACTGGCACCCCAATGGAATGCTGGCGCTTCAGGCCAGGGCGTTAACCCGCTGCGCCACAGCGCCGGCATCCCATGTAAGTTTTTTGATCCATCCAACCTCTGCCTTTTGCTCTGGCACGGTGCTCTCAGCATTCTAGTTGGGGTTATACTATTGAATGGGGGAGACTTAAAGAAAAACTGGAAAATACAATCATAGTTGTGCTACATGATACCTTTTTATAAATGCTCTTCAAAAATGTTGTATGTTTAATGATCTACTAAAAATCCATTGACCTTAAGCCACAAAGCGGTCAGAGATTTCACAATTCCAGAAGCACCACATGATTCCATCTCTGGCCTAAATGGATTAGATGATATTGTGGAAATTCCAGGTGAAGCCAACTTGTGGGCAACCAGAAGTCCAGACGAGAACTCGGGAAAATCTAGACAGTGACCCACACAAATCGACAATTGCTGCTTTTTCTGAGCCTTTGCAATAGACCGGGCACGGAGCTCAGTCCTTCCTATACGTTAACGCTTTGTATCAACACGACAATTCTAGACAAGAGATAGGATTATCATCCGCATTGTGCAAACAAGGCACAGAGTGCTGAAGTACCCGTCACAATGCCGCACAGCGAGGAACATAGGTGCAGTCTGGCACAAAGGCCTTGCTTTTCACCACTACTTTCCAGTCAGATCCCTAAGAAAATGAAAATGTAAGAAAGTGGTAAATGAGGATATTTCATAAAGTTCATGGAAAATGAAAGCAAAATGTAAGTTTATTTTGGTACAAAAATTTTTGTAATCCATGCAGTTTTTCATATAATATATGTTTCCATTATTTTTTCAGAAATTCCTTTATACATGTGGATTTCATTTTTTGCACTAAAATAAACATTTTTCACTTCCATTTCCCACGGATTTTCAGAAGCACCCTCGAATTAAATAGAGCTGTTTGGCTACAAGTATAGACACCTGCTAACTAGCACTGACTTAAGTGCAGTAAAAGGGGTCAGGGTTGTGGCACAGCAAATTCAGCTGCCCCTTGTGCAGCCTGCATCCCGTATCACAGTGCTGGTTCCAGTCCCAGCTACTCCACTTCCAATTCAGCTCCCTGCTAAGGCCCCTGGGAAGGCAGTCATCGATAATGGCTTAAGTTCTTGGGCCCTTGCTGCCCACATGAGACACCATGATGGACTTCCTGGCTCCTGGCTTTGGCCTGGCACAAATTGGCTTTTGCAGTTATTTAGAGTGGACTGCTGGATGGAAGACTTTTTCTCCCTCTCCCTCTCCCTCTCCCTCTCCGTGTGTGTGTGTGTGTGTGTGTGTCTTTTCTGTTACTCGGTCTATCAAAGAAATAATTAAGTCTTTTTAAAACAAGTGTACTGGCGCTCACTTGGTTAATCCTCCACCTGCAGTGCCAGCATCCCATATGGGCGCTGGTTCTAGTCCTGGTTGCTCCTCTTCCAGTCCAGCTCTCTGCTGTGGCCCGGGAAGGCAGTGGAGGGTGGCGCAGGTGCTTGGGCCCTGCACCCGCATGGGAGACCAGGAGGAAGCACCTGGCTCCTGGCCTCGGATCGGTGCAGCGCCAGCCGTGGCAACCATTTGGGGAGTGAACCAACGGAAGGAAGACCTTTCTGTCTGTCTCTCTTTGTCACTGCTAACTCTATCAGTCAAATTAAACAAAAAAACAAATGTACTGAGCAATGTCTTAACAGGATGCTGGAGTGTGTCACAGCAAACGTTTAGCTGAACCTCAGGACTGATTTTCAACTATGATCTAAATCACTGTGGAGAACCCAGAGAGTCCTTTCTTTGTCAGCTTCTGCCTCCTACGGCACTGTGTTGTAGTTTAACCTGCCTGCATCCAGTGCAACAAATGGACACTTTCAAGAGCCTCAGAGCTGACATTTCCATTACACAAGAGAGCATTCAAACAGACATCTTTGTTCAGTCTCCTCCTATGGGAGCATCTCAATTGGCCTGGCTTATGTCACTTGTCTTCTTTGCGCCAATCAGCTATGGCCAGATCCTGTTAAAGAACTTCTTTGCAAATTCTGGTTGAGTCTGGGGATGGTTCCTAGAGAAGCTTGCAAGGAGGTCTGGGTAGAGATAAAATAACAGGCTTCTACCAGAGCCTTGAAGCAATGATACAAGATGTGGGCCTGGGACAGTCTTAGACACATTCTGTGTTCTTGGCTTTAATTTTGTTCAAGGAACAGCTTTAGCTCAGCTTGCTCCCATGTACCAAAGTCATTAGGACAAGTGAGTTCACACCTCAGGCACATCAAGCCTAGTTCAGCCATTCAGTAAGCACAGATTGAACACTTAATATCCCAGAAGAAACCCAGCACTGGTTTCACTGCTGGAATCTAGAATTAACCTAAGTGTAAAGGTTTGAGCCATGAGTGAGGGCAATGTTTCTTCTAACTGCCACTGTTTGCCAGAAAAAGAAAATCTTCACACTCTACTGCCTTCAGAACTGAACAACAGGTGACAAACTCAGGGGATAATTACCAGGCTTCCTCTTGAGCATATGTTCTGCTTCTATTGCTGTTATTTCAGACACTGTGGTGAACGCGTGTGCGCAATGGACAGCGGCTCGCTCCATGCAGTACCTGTGGTAGATCTGCCTCTCCCCTGCCTCTTTGTCTATGTTAAACTGTTAAAAACAAACAAACACACACACATTTGCTTACATGAATCTTTCCACACAAACAAAACAAAATCACTTATTTCACAAAGTGTTTTTCTTTAAGGCTGTAATGACAGTAAATACATTTTTATTAAGCCCATTACTAAAATACATAACTATTATGCTATTAAAAGCATTGTTTATTTCACTTTTCCTGCTATTTAATATCCTAAATAAATGGTATTTCCACTTTGCTGCAATCAAATATAATTCTTGAATTTACAGCATTTTGTTTTACTTAGCCTGCATTTTCAAAAGAGCTAATTTCTCTCCCCAAGGTTCTCATCATATTTTTCTCAGAAACAGTGAAACAAAGTTGACATTCAACTTGACACTGAAAATAAGGATAATTGTGATCAACCTTAATCTACTGAAAGAGAACCTAAAAAAGAAAAAAAGACAAACATTTGTCCATGGTTACATAACTCCTTCCATTTTATAATTGCAAAGAGTGTGCAGCTACTCTGATTAGATAGTACAGTAAGTTGTACAATCATCTATCATTCTGGGCATTGTAATTTTAAAAAAATAAAGAGAAATCCCCAACCATCTTGTAAATAATTGACCATAGCTGAGGCTACTGGCCTTTCACTCATTTACAAGATGTTATATGACACACAGCTATATTTGAAAGTAGTGATGTCTAAAAAAAAAAAGAGTAGATAAAGTTGCTGGTGCTGTATCAGCAGGGTGCTTTTTCTCTCTCTAAGATCTATTTATTTGAAAGGCAAAGTTACAGACAGAGGAAGAGACAGAGAGATCCTCCATCCACTGGTTCACTCCCTAAATGGCCTTAACCGCAAGCACTGGGCCAGGCAGAAGCCAGGAGCCAGCAGCTACACCCAGGTCTCCCACATGAGCACAGGGGTCCAACTACTTGGGTCATCTTCAGCTGCTTTCCCAGGCACATTAACAGGGAGCAGGGTCAGAAGTAGGGCAGCTGGTCCCCGTAGGGGTTGCCTGTGTTGCACACAGTGGCTTAAACCACTTCACCACAATGCCAGCCCCAGCAGGGTGCTATTCTTAAGAAAGATTATAGTTTTTCATCATGCCATTTCAGGGACTCTTCTTAGCATGATACCCTACTTGATTCTCATAAGCTACTGAGATGTGATTTTTTTTTTTTCCACAGAGGGGGAAAGTGAACCGCTTAGCACTCAAGAAACTGGACCATAGTCAAATTCCTATTACATATGTATTCTGGCAGAACCCTAAATTGATCACCAATCTGACTCCAAAGCGTGCACTCTGGCCTGCTTTTATAGCATATAGACTCCTGCTCTATCAATGAGTCAATTCCAACAACTACTACCTCACAGAGAGGAAAGTACTAAAAAGAAGACTCACTTGATGATTCTAACAATTAGACAAGGAAAACACTAGAACATTCTTTCATGGCCATTTGCAACCATCTCTGAAAATATTTGAATGGGATTCCTACTGTATGCTTAGCAGAAGATTCGTAAAAGCTGTATAAGGCCCATTCCAGCAACAAAATCTATCATCCAAACATTTGTTAAGTAATCTTTGTGTATCTGTTGCTTTCAAGGAATTTATAAATTGATGAGCAAACAGGCAAAAATCAAGCAGAAATGAATATATGCCTGAGTAAGGTGTAGGATCAGAGCAGGATCCTACACTCTGGTTGAGTGTGGAGGAAAATGCCTCATGCTGTGTAGTTAGTGTTCATACTGTCAGGATCACCTCGGGAATGGAAGATTTGCAAGAGCAGGGGCCAGAACTTATTCATCTTTGTATCTTCCAAATTGGCTTCGTGAATAAAATGGCTTTTGAACTGGGACATGAAAGTTAAAATTGGGGGAAGTTATTTTGGGTTGAAAAACTAGCTTCCCAAAGAACAAAGAAAGAAAGTACAAAGACATTGGCATAAAATAGCAGAATATAAAAACAAAACAAAACAAAAAGGCCAGTGCCGCGGCTCACTAGGTTAATCCTCCACCTGTGGTGCCGGCACCCTGGGTTCCACTCCCGGTTGGGGCGCCGGATTCTGTCCCGGTTGCCCCTCTTCCGGGCCAGCTCTCTGCTGTGACCCAGGAGTACAGTGGAGGATGGCCCAAGTGCTTGGGCCCTGCATCCACATGGGAGACCAGGAGAAGTACCTGGCTCCTGGCCAGCGCGAAGCGGCCATTGGAGGGTGAACCAACGGTAAAGAAAGACTTTGTCTCTGTCTCTCTCTCTCACTGTCCACTCTGCCTGTCAAAAAAGAAAAAGAAAAAAATAGCAGAATATCTGATATGATTATAACCTTGGGTGTAGCATGTAAAAGGCCAGTAGGATACAAAAATTTTGAGAAAAATAAAAATCTTGAAATCCATAGTTTTTTTTTAATAATACACATTTTCCATGACCTTCCTCATAGGCATGTATTTCAAATTTTTTTGTACCAGGGGCAAGTGTTGTGGCACAGCAAGTTAAGCCGCCATTTGGGACACCTACATCCCCTATTGGAGAGCCAGTTTCAAGTCCTGGCTACTCCACTTTTGATCCAGCTTCCTGCTAATGCGTCCTGGGAGGCAGCAGATTATGACTCAAGTATTGGGACACTTGCCACCCACGTGGGAGACCTAATTGAAGTTCTGGGTTCCTGGCTTCAACCTGGCCCAGCCCTGGATGCTGCAGGCATTTGGGGAGTGAACCAACTAATGAAAACAACCTCTTGTTCTTGCTCTCTTTCTGACTTCCAAGTAGAAGAAAACAAATAAAAAACATTTAAGAAGCATACTCGAAAGTTTTTGCACCAAAATAAACTTATCTTTTAATTCCATTTTCTATGCACTGCTTGATGTACCCTTGTATTTAGAAAGATCAGCACACAGAAAGTGCTATTATTTTAATTATTCTTATTATAAACACTATTTCACAGATGAGCTAGTATTTCACACTTGAACCTTCAAAGGCTGGAAGACAAGTTTTCTAAATGAGTAAATCGAATATACAGAAACAGGACAGCAGGACAGCCTGGTGTCCATGAGAAACATCTGTGATGTCAGGAACATCGACAGCTTCTGCCTTCCTGCCCTCAGGGGACTCTTTTTTTGAGGTCTGTGGTACTTGTGGCTTCACAGCAGCCTTAGCTCTTTAACCATGTTGTCCACTTTTCCACATATTTATGATAATGATTAAATTCTCCACCTGGGGTAGGCCTTTGGCCCAGGGATTAAGATGCCACTTGGGGATGCCTGCATCCCATATCAAGAGTGCCTGGGTTTGAGTCCCACTCTCTTCCAATTGCAGCTTCCTGATATTGCATACGCTGGGGAGAGGGACAGAAGGTGGTAACACCAGTACTTGGCCACCCATGACCCAGAGAGCATTCTTGGCTCCTGGCTTTAGCTTGGCCAGCCCTGGCTAGTGCAGGCATCTAGGGAATGAACCAGAATGATTCCAAGGGAATGAACCAGAGGATGGAACTTCTCTGTCTCTGCCTCTTTGCTTTCAAATAAATATAAATAAATAAATAAATAATTTTAAAAACATCTCTGAAAATTCCAACATGTAGCACACAGTCTGGAATGGTTTTGTTGACAATAGGTCTTACTTATATTTTCATGTCTCCTAACTTTTTATTGATTTTGCATCGTGTATATAAAAAAAAAAAGAGGCAAAGTACACAAGGGGACTTCAAAAAAGTTCATGGAAAATGGGATGAGAAATGCCTATTTTATTGCAAAAATAATTAAAATCCAGGCATGCATGGAATCTTCAAAAAGCTCATGCTAATGTGCAGTGTTTTAAAAAACTGCATGGATTTAGATTTTTTTTTTTTTGCATAAGAATCAACTGCTAATTCCATCTTCCCATGCACAACTTTCGAATGTACTCTCTTATATTAGCCTGTAAAACACAGTCCAGAAACAGGGGAGAGGAACCCTGTAAGTGAAGCTGACCAGCACAAAACTGATTCACAGGAGTTAATTATCTACAGCTTCCAATCCAGATCCCACACGTAAGTGTCGGGAACCCAATTACTTGAACCATTAAGACTGCCTCCCAGGGTCTGCATAAGCAGGAAGTGTGAGTGGGGAGCTGCAGGTGGGCTATGAGTGCAGATACTCCGAAGCCAAGTTGGCTCTGCTGCGAGGTCTAGTTCTAACCCTCCTCTGTTTTCTGTTCCTAGGTGGCGCTATTCTCAGATTTCCAGGCAGGAAATGTGCTGCTATTAAGAAAAGAAAAAAGGCCAAGGTATAAGAAGGCTAAGGGCTTTTTAAAAACAGTTAATTATTTGGCCATATAGTCAAGGGGTTAACTGACCAGGGGTCGTTTGGAAACATCTTGGAGTTTCTCTGAAAATTCATAAGCTGAGTGGAAAAGGGTTGAAGATATGTCTTTGCTAATGATTGTTACTAAAAACTTAAAGCCATCATCAGAATGCTTGTGGATTTGGTATTAACAGAAAAATGCTTTCAGTTAGCAGTATTATTTGAGTACAATAGTGCTAATATTTCTGCTTTTACAAAAGTTGGATTATTCTGTTCTTGTTCTCATGTTTTTTATCCTGGGCACTAAATTATGATTCATTCCTTATGTTGAACTTCAAGAACCTTTCATACCTATGATACGGTGTTCTTATATACCACCCAAATTCTAAAACTAGTATGAACAGTGGGGGGGCTTCTACTGTAAAAAAAGATTACAAATTAAATTCAAAACAGTTCTTGACTGCCTGTTGTCTGTTAGTTGCTGGCTAAGACAATTTACTAGAAAGATGAGCTAGAGGTAACTAAGCTTATACACCTGAATCAGTGAGGGTCTGTACACTGGGGAGATGCAGAATTGTATTTGAAGACAGTACAAATAAACACTGACCTTTCATAGAAAGAATAAAGTCATAATATTTACATACTACAACATACTTATTCCTTATAAATATATATAAATATCTAATATACTTGGGCACTTATCTTCTATTATCTGTGACCATATAATATTCTTATGCATTCACACTCAATGTTCCAGTCTTTTGTGAAAATGATGGGAGGCAAAGTTGTTGACTTTATCACAGATCACTGGTTTGCCCTTATTACTCAACTACTGTCATACACCAGGAGGAAATTTCCCTCATCTCCTGGGGTTCTAAATTCCTTGGTGACTTCATTTTAAACGTACATCTTATGTCTATAATTTGACCTTTAGGGTAGGCTAACCTTTAATAGGAAAGCTCTCATTAGGACACGAATATTGCTTTACAAATGTTAAAATTTTTCAAAAAGAACCTTGTGGCACTCAAAATGTCATTGAGATGGTAATGTAGCTTTCCAGTACTACTGTCTGAGTATTATTCATACACCTCTCTTTCTCCCCCCACCCCCCACATACACAAACTTTTTTTAAACTGGCCAAGTCGTAAGATATCAACTTAACAACTTCCTAATTCTCCTGGTAGTGAAATTGAACTCTAAAATACTGAATAAACTTGACTAGTACTATAGACAATAGATCTGAAGAACCCCTGAATTTCTGATACTCGTATGTTTTACTATTTTTACCCTGATGACAGAAGATATACTGTTATTAATCCCATTTTACTGATAGAAAAGAGATAAAGAATTCAAACCTGAATGCTTTTGGGTCAGAGTCAGGTTTTCTCCAGAAACCACCAAACTAAATAATCACCTCTTTTCAATAATTTCTGTTTCACTGGAGCCTAATAAAAACTCCCCCTATGCATTGCAGAGCCAGAGGAAAAACGTGCCCTCGTGATCTATAATGTGGCTTGCAATTGATCATTCACTTGGAGGATAGAGTAAGTAAAGCAGCTTTGTATACCTAAAACCCCTGCTTTCTGCCTGCCACCAGGGGCTATGTGTGGATCCAGGGACTTCCCCTCTTGTCCCAAGCTGCAGAGCGGAACTGGAGCCCAACCTTTTGCCCACACAGTGCCTGACTCCCATCATGCTCCTCTGGATCTACTGTTCCAAAGTTGGACAGAAGCCAGGTCCTGCACCACTATATGGTACTGCACTCTGCACAGCCTTAGACTGTGTGAGCTGTCTGTCACCCTGGGGCATGCTTTGTCCTGAATATTGATCACCTAAAAGGGCATTTCTGCTGTCTAGTTGGCAGATGAAATGTCAAGATCAATACTTCTCCCCCTCCATCTTCCGCCATCTGAAAAAAAGGGGGTGGGTCAGGGAGGGAAGAAAGACTAGTTACCTTATCAAGCTGGTTGTAGAAATCAATATTTGCTGCACAGAGATAGCGACCAAGCAACGTGGCATGCGTGGTAAACATCGTGGCAATGGGAAGTTTGCGGGCTCGAGAAAGGATCAGTCCGGTCCCTGCCTGCCATTCGTGGAAGTGGGCAATGACATGCTTACCGGCTGCGTGATCGGTCACCTGTGTCAGAGAACAGTGTTTAGAAAAGCTGTTGGTGAAGCCTGATCTTGTCCGTGGCTGCCATTTCATCACAACCTAAAGGGGACTGCACAGGAAGCATGCAGATTTGGCAACAATAAATCTTCCATGGGTTTCAATGGCACATCCCTAAAATGCATGTATTTGACATCTTAATCCATCGTTTCCATGATGGATCACAATTTTTGTATCCATGGAAGAATAAATACTAATCTTCATAGTAAACATTAATAAGTAAATGGAACGAATGCACAGTTGGCACTCAATGAATATTCGTTGATTGTATGAATGAATTATAGTGATAATAACACTCTTGAAGATATCACTAAACAGTTTAATCAACTGAGACTACCCCTTATAAGCTTCTTTTAAAATACTTAACAACGGCTGGCGCCATGGCTCATTAGGCTAATTCTCTTCCTGTGGCGCCGACACCCTGGGTTCTAGTCCCGGTTGCTCCTCTTCCAGTCCAGCTCTCTGCTGTGGCCCGGGAAGGCAGTGGGGGATGGCCCAAGTGCTTGGGCCCTGCACCCACATGGAAGACCAGAAGGAAGCACCTGGCTCCTGACTTCAGATCGGTGCAGCGCACCAGCCGTAGCGGCCATTTGGGGGGTGAACCAACGGAAGGAAGACCTTTCTCTCTGTCTTTCTCTGTCTCACTGTCTAACTCTGCCTGTCAAAAGAAAAAAATAATAAAATACTTCACAAATGACTTCAGGTTTTATGAGCATTCTATTTGGGCTTTCTGTTCCTTTGAGCCAGGAGCAGTTTAACTGATATACAATTATTTTAGGAATGGGGAACTGAGGAGAAAGAGGTTAATCACTTGCATAGAATCACACACTGAGGACCCAGGTGTGGGGAATCCCACAGGAATCTCAAAAAGAGTCACGGATCACTGCTTACCTGGAAAGGAGATGAACTGTGGAAATGCAATAAAACACTGATTTAAGAAGTTACCACTAACCACAAAAATAAAAGTAAAGTGGAGTTATAAGTCAGGAGCTGAGGCAATGCCTAACGGCTGTTAGGGAGATACTCCTTGTCATACCAAGCAGACATCTCTGGTCAGTCAGATAACAGTGTGCTATGGACAGTACCCTCCTACCCACGCTGACTGGACAGTTCAAACCTAAGTAAGGTGGGAACAGTATTGACTGGACTGTTCAACTATAAGCAAGGAGGAACCAGCATTGATTGGACAAGCTGGAGGATGGCGAGCTGGAGAACTGCCGAAAATGAGGATAAAAAGGGAGCCCTTGCACCACTCTCCATCCTCTCGGGGACCATGGCCCGGTGTGTGTGAACCTCTGGATGTGGAGACACATCTGGAGCTGAAGGGGCAACCTGCTACTCTGCGTGGAGCAGGTAGCAGCACAAGCCGACCTGCAGAGCTGTCCCTGAGCTGTAACCCCACTGTCTGTGTGTGAGTGTGTGTGTGTGTGGCCCAGTGCGAGTGAACCTCTGGATCTCCTTGCACTTGCAGTCGAAGAGCCAGCCTGCTAGCTTTTGCTACGTGGCACAAGGTGACGACTGGATCAAGAGGCCATCTGGAGCTGCTGTGTTGCTGTCCTGCCACCGTGCCTGACCAGCCAAGAGGCCGTCTCACTGCCTTGCCTGGAGTCCTTATCAGCCTGCTGCCAGACCTGACCACAAAGCCAGACCAGGCCTCTCAGCAGGGGACCGCTCCAACTTCTCGCCTGGCCATCCACCTGGGAACTTTGAGCCTACTGCCCAGAATGACAGCCTTCCCACGACTTCCAGATGTAAGTAACTGATCCTAGATCTGTCTCTGCTGAGACATGGAGTTCTGGACCTGGAACACTGACACTCTTTTTTGTGACCGTGATACGAGCCTTGAAAACGCAGCTTTTACAAATAATGTCAGTCATGTGTAATATAACATAACTATGCTTTGACCCTATGCAAGGTATCTGTAAATAATGCTGAAGACATTGATGTACATATACTATTATAATTAGGTAGCCCTCAAAATTACTTTAACACTGTATGCTGTGATCTATGGATTAATGAGTAAATTCAAGTAGTATTATTGATATTGATATTAATGGTGTTGATTCCAGTAGCTCTCTAGTCATTAAGGAAATAGTGTTACTCTGATAGTTAATTATTATAGTAAGTAAGTTAAGTAGATGTTAAGTAATTATGTTAAGCTAAGTGATTCAGTAAGTGTGTTAAGTTAGCTATAAGTTACGATAAGTGATATTATTGACATTATTGATAGTGATATTAGTGATATTGATAAGTGTGTTAAGTAATTATGTTGTTAGGTGATTAAGCTAAGTAGTTATGTTAAGCTAAGTAGCTAAGTTAAGTAGTTAAGTCACATTAAGTAGTGGTGTTGTTTATTGATAAGTGTATTAATTAGTATAGATTGATAAGTATATTGATACTGATAAGTGTATTGACCTCAATGAGCATGCTGATGAGTAGTGTGATAAAAAACCCCTGGTGTGTAAGCAATAAAATCTCTCATTGGAAAGACAGTCTTGTGTCCTGGTGTTCCTTTCTTTCCCGTGACTGACAAGTCATACGTCGCACTTGCTACTGTTGAGTTGTGTGACAGTAGGCGCTCATGACACCAGGTCTAGTTCCACTCCATCCAGCTGGAGTGATGAAGGGTTGGGGCACCTGTCTCTAATAGCTACCTTGTTTCACTCTTATGAAAAGTTAACCTTCCCACTCCACTCCCCTTATAAGGTGGCAACTTTAATAATGGAGACGTGAGCACTTGGCTTTCTTTCTAACATCCCCATTCATTAAAGCAAAGAAAATCATTTCTGGAACTGTTTTATGTTAGAGAAAATTTGGGCACTCATTTCTTGCTTCTCCCCCTGTATTTCTCACTCACAGAAAGGAGGACGGCAGGAGACACACTCACACAGCGTGGTGGTTGGCCTCAGTCTTGGGGCCGTGGCTCAGTGAAGAAGGGTTAGTTCCACAGGTGGTAAACAGCTCTGTATCTGCCACTAGGCCAGTTCTGCCAATGGTCTCACTTTCTTCCCTTGTTCTTTCTCCAATACAAAGCAATGAGGACTGCTGTCCATCTTTCCCTTCTCTTCAAGACAACCCTTGGAGGCTCTTGAAATATGATGTCATCAGTAAGAAAGACTGTTTAAGGGAACCACACTCCTGACATACATGGGACTTTCCTGAGACCATCCTCAGGAAAAAAAATGACCCACAAACTTTAGGTTAAGCAAATTTTAGATGATGTCATTTTTTTAAAATGACCTATCTATTGATTAGAATTTTAAAGGCAAACAGACAGAAACAGAGAGCGAGATCTTGGGGGTACTGAACTCATTTGCACCACTCCTCTGTTGTATTAATTTACAGTAGACAGTACCTCTTTTAGGAACCAGGCAGTTAAAGATCCAAATATCAGCATATCATTGGCTTCTCGGTCATCATATGGAATGCCAACACTGCACGCTTCCCAGAAATCACCCTTCCACCTGTCCAGGTTCCAGGCTGAGTAGCCTATGTCAAAGAGCACCACGTAAGGACTCCCTTCGATCAGCCATCGTCCAAAATGCACCTGTCATACAGAGAACACAAACCATGGGGTAATCACCAGAATTGCCAGAGACAAAAATGTATCTAGACCCAGAGGATATGAGCTCTCCTCAGAAACCAACAGCAGATTAGGCAAACTACCTATCAAGGGTAGTGAGAACACACAACAACTCATGTTTGATCTGGAAGCTGGAATGGACTTGCACCCATTTGTGTAGTTACTGCTCTTCATTAAATTTGGTCCTCAATGACAATACATTGAGATCATGGAATCTCTTTTGTCCCTTGGTACTCCACTGTGAACTTGAGCTCATGGAGATGGAGCTTAACATTACAGTCTATGCTGTTAAGATAAACTCCTAAGATTAAATGCTTTGTATCTTTGGTGATCTGTAGATGGGTATAGTATCTATGGAGTCACTTTTCTTTATGCAATAGGACTTAACATTTCCTGGTAGAGAAGAGCCTGTTTCAGGAGGCAAACGTGCATGATTTATTTTACTATTCCCATAAAAATGTAACACAATATATTTCCCAGTGTGCTACCCTATGTCTTCACTAAATGTGTTGCCCATAATACATTATCCCTTTAATCCAGTAGCTCCAAGTCTAATGCTATTACAAGGGGCCAGCATGTGACACAGTGTATTAAGCTACCACCTGAAATGCCAGCATCTGATATGGGCGCTGGTTCATGTCCTGCATGCTCCTCTTCTGATCCACACCCCTGCTAATGTGCCTAGGAAATTGGCAGAAGATGGCCCAAGTACTTGGGCCCCTGCCACTCACGTGGGAGACCTGGATGAAGCTCCTGGCTCCTGGCTTGGGCCTGGCCCAGCTCTAGCCATTGTAGCCATTGGGTGAGTGAACCAGCAGATGGAAGATATCTCTGTCTCTTCCTCTCTCTGTCTTTCAAATAAGTAAATAATTTTTTTTGAAAAGTAATCCTGGGGCTGGTGTTGTGGCATAGTGGGTAAAGCCACCACCGGAGATGCCATCATCTCATATAGGCACTGGTTCATGTCCTAACTGTTCTACTTCTGATCCACTTCCCTGCTAATGGCTTGGGAAAAGCAGCAGAAGATGGCCCAAGTGCTTGGGCCTCTGCCACATACATGGGAGACCCAGAGGAAGCTCCCGGCTCCTGGCTCTGGCCTGGCCCAGCACTGGCCATTGTGGCTATTTGGGGAGTAAACCAGTAGATGGAAGAGACCTCTCTATCTGTGTCTCTCTATATATATGTACATATAACTCTGACATTCAAAATAAATATTTTTTTAAAAAAGTAATCCTATTATATTCCTCAAATTGACTTCTTCGATTGTTAAATATTTTACCATTTACAAATTTTCATGCATTATCTACCTCAATTTTTTTTAAATCTTAGTTTAATATAAAAATTTGATTATATAATCACCTGTGTATTTCAGCTTTAAATTCCCCTTTTATCTGTATTTCTGTGGAATTTACTTGTTCATTTGTCTTTCTATTTTGTGTTCATTCCCCTGTGATATATGCAACCTCAATAACTACTTCAACACCTCTCTGGATCTCAGCAGGGGCTGAATCTCTCTCATTGTGTTTCCAGGCTTCTCTGGAAAACGATGTCCACGTGGCTTGAATCTTGACCCTTATCACGCAATCCAAGGCTGAATTTTGCGTAGCTGGAAAGCTCAACTGAATCATCACTTCCTCCCTGGGACTCAAGCATTTGTGGTGATGGCCTTCCCCTTCCCAGGCCTTGGCCAGCCTTGAAGCCATTGCAAGTCACCTGCTGCCAGCATTATTTAGTCTGCATCTTGCTGGGCTTTCCTTTTCAGATTGAATTTTCCTGAGCCTCAGGCAAGTTGCCAATAGTTTTCTCTTTGGGATATTCATTGATTCATGAATTTATTCAACAAATAAATGAATTCAACAAATGAATGTATTCAACAAATGCCACTGGATGCCCACTATGTGACATATGTTACAGCAAGCTGAGATCCTAGAGAAGTGTTGACACTACAAACTAGGAACATAAGCTACCTTGTCTCGACTTCCTGTCCTTTCCTGCCTGTGTTATGGAACCATCCTTCCACCAGAAATCCAAGAAAAGAAACCAGAACATACATGTGACATCCCAGCCCCTCCAACTGCATTCCAAGAAACTGGCTTCTAGTCCACTTCTCTTAAGACAGTAACATGAATAACACCCTAATTTCTTGGAGGCCACTAAGAGCAAAGGCAGCAGGTTGGACAAGCACCAAGAGTTTAGCAGCACCTGGAATCTTTAAATACAAGCCCCTCCTAACCTCTCAGGCACTTCCACCCCAATGGTACAGCATGCACCCATCTGTCACTCTCCTAACAATCCCTACGCTGTCTGCACTATGAAAGGTTTCCCTGGTGCTCTCCGTGACATGTCCTGCTCCATCAGCCTTGCTTGCTCCCCCTGGACACCACTACTCACACAGATACCCCAAGGAGGTGTCTCCTGTTCTCAGTGAGCGCGAGGCAAAGTTACTCCTTGATAAATTCCATAGGAACTTTTAAAGCCTTGCTCTCTATTCATGAAATAAGACATTTTTGAAATCTATGGTGTCTAAATGCATTACCTCTCCTTATTCTACTCAATCCCCTGGTTATTTTTGGACCCCATGCTAGGCAAATAGAAGTCCAGATTTTTTATTCTACACACTTATCTAACAGTTCTTTGACCTTATTGACGTCAGTGAGTTTCATGCCCACCAGATTTCAGCTGTTCCAAGCTCATGGCTGTATTCTTAACCTTGTCAAAACCCAAATTGTTCCAACTCTAAAATATGTCACTTTAGAATTCCGGTGCCATGGCTCACTTGGTTAATCCTCTGCCTGTGGTGCCGGCATCCCATATGGGCACCGGGTTCTAGTCCCAGTTTCTCTTCTTCCAGTCCAGCTCTCTGCTGTGTGGCCCGGGAAGGCAGTGGAGGATGGCCCAAGTGCTTGGGCCTTGCATTTGCATGGGAGACCAGGAGGAAGCACCTGGCTCCTGGCTTTGGATTGGTACAGCTCCAGCCATAGCGGACACTTGGGGGGTAAACCAATGGAAGGAAGACCTTTCTCTGTCTCTCTCATTGTCTAAATCTATCTTTCAAAAAAAAAAAAAAAAGATCTGTTACCTGATCACAAAGTTTATACTTCCAGTTATATCATTGTTTTCTCCCAGTATATGTACTTGTGCCATTGTGTAGTACATAATAATGTTCCAATCAATGACAAGCCATGCACATACAGTGGTCCCATATGATTAAAACAGAGTTGAAAAGTCTTATGACTTAGTGACATCACAGCTGTGATAATGCCACAGCACGACACATTCCTCACATATTGGCGGTGATGCCAGTGTAAACAAACCTACTGCAGTGCTGATTGTGTGAAGTATGGCATACACCATTGCATATAATACTTGAGAATGACAATAAATAACCATGTTATGGTTTATGTATTTAAAAAATATAGAAAATGTGGGGTAGTAAAGTGTACTCCTGCTACCTACAAAAAAAGGAGCCAGTGAAACAGTAGGTAATTCTGCACTGGACACGGCCTCAGACTTCTCATGTTTACTGTCTCTTGACTGCACCAAAAGGCACATTGAGTGACTGATCTATACCATCTAGGTTTGTGTAAATACACTTTGTGATACTGGGACAATGATGAAATCCCCCGAGAATGCATTTCTCAGAACATATCCCTGTCATTATGCAACACATGTTTGTACTCTCTTTTTCCTCTCTAAGAACTCCAGTTCCTGAAATCCCATGTTCTCCTACATTATTGCTTCCTATCAGGCAATCTGTTTTAAACCCAGTGGTTCATCCATTCCATCATTATTTCAAACACCCTCAATATTACCTCCTATCCTCGTGGCACCTTGCTCAATTGTACCAATGTGGAAATTAAACAACGCTGGATCTCCATCTGGTCAACTTCCTACATGTTCCCTCAGACTGCTGATGGATGCTGAAAGTCACAGTTGTAAATGTTTGTCCCACTAAAAAGTCCTGATGCCCAGAAATACTTTTGCATATTCCCCAAGCACTTTCTCAGAAGCTTTCTTCAAATTCTCTATTCCTACACTGGCCTCCTAACTCTTAGGAGATGATCTTTGAGTTCTGCTGTAGTAAAATCATCAAAAACTTTGGAAAATGAGACCATCCTAAATTTATTGTCAGATGTTTTCATCCACTCTTTTATGTCCTGTTTGAGGGAAAGGGGTGAAGAGTGATTGTTTTAATATTATGTTAGATTGCGTTGCTTTCCTCACTCTCAGTGACTTTATCCTCTTTAATTACCAACCTATTTTAACCTTCAACTTCTTCCTGTCTGCTAGATACAGTCATTTTCCCCTTATCTATGAAATAAGACCCCAGCAGATGCCTGAAACTGGATCCTACATATACCAGATATACTACATAAACCAGATCCTACATATACTATTTTTTCCTATGCATGCAAACCTATGATAAAGCTAGATGTATAACTAAGAAATTAAGAACAATAATAAAATATAACAATATTATATGAATGTAGTCTCTCAAAATATCTCATTGTACTGTGCTCATCCTTCTTGTGATGGTGTGAGATGATACAATGCCTAGGTGAGGAGATGAAGTGAGGTTAATGATGTAGACATCTTAACATAGTATTAGGCTACTATGTAAGGGTTACTAGAACACAGTTCCTTTAATAATGAGACTGTCCATCTGATAACCTACAAGACTACTAACTGACCAACGAACAGGTAGTATATACAGCATGGACATCTGGACAGATTATTTAAATGATGGTTTGAGATTCCATCATGCCACTCAGAATGATTTACAATTTAAAACTTATGAATTGTTTGCTTCTGGAATTTCCCATTTGATATTTTCAGTTGACTATGTGTAATTGAAAGCACAGAAAGAAAAAATGATAGATAAGGGGGTACTATTGTATTTTCTCTTGGTATATAAATATGTTTGGGTCTTACCCATATTTAAGGCCCCCATTCTTGAAGCCATATTTCTATACAGCTACATTATTCTCTCTCCTCTTCATGAAAAAATCTTGTGCCACAAATTTTGTACCCTTTCTCTCATCACTCATTCATTTCTTAATCCACTGAAACCTGATTTAACCTCTGTTTCTCTTCTGAAACTCCACTTAGCATTGTTGCCAATAGCCTTAATATTATCAAACCCATGGAGCCCAGTTCGGTCCTTTGTTGACTTAATCTCTCGTCTATTCTTGAAACAAATTGGCACAAATCTGGTGACTTAAAATTACATAAATTTATTACTTGACAGATATGGAGCTCAGTCATTCAACATGGACTCACAAGCTAAAATTCACATCTTGGCAGAGCTGTAACCCATCCATGATGTCTCAGCAATTATCTGTTTTATCACTTTTTCCTGCTTCTAGATGCCACCTGCATTTCTTGTGGCTTCTTCCTCTGTCTTCAAACGATATCATTCCAACCTCCACTTCACTGTCACTCCTCTCACACTCTTCTTCCACTGCCTCCCTCCCGGGTGAGTTCTTGTGTCACATTGCCTCTATCCAGATGATTCAGGGTTATCTCCCTATCTCAAAATCCTTAATCACAACTACAAATCCCCTGCTGCTATTCCTAAGTAACATAGTAGATTCTAAGGATCAGGACTTGGATGTCTTTGGTTCTACATCACTAGCTTTGCTTCTAAAGTTGTGACCTTTGGCTCCTGCTAATGTAGATGCTCTGACACGGTGACATTCCCAAAGGGCAGCTCAAAGCTTTTGCTCTTAGTCTATAAATTGCTATCAATATTGAAAACGTTATCAATAGGCATGACTTCAACTACAATTTAAGGCAAATGACTCTCAAAACATCTCCATCCTAAACCTGCTGTTGAGCTCTAAACTCATTAGCCCCCCAGACGTTTTCCCCTGGCTTTCACAACACGTCTCAAATCTCATCTACTAAAAACCAAGTTCAGGGGCTGGCACTGTGGCGCAGTGAGTTCAAGTCCTGGCCTGAAGCGCCGGCATCCCATATGGGTGCCGGTTCTAGTCCTGGCTGCTCTTCTTCCAATCCAGCTCTCTGCTGTGACCTGCGAAAGCAGTAGAAGATGGCCCAAGTCCTTGGGCCTCTGCACCTATGTGGGAGACCTGGAAGAAGTTCCTCACTCCTGGTTTCAGGTCAGCACAGCTCTGGCTGTTGCAGCCATCTGGGGAGTGAACCAGCGGATGGAAGACCTCTCTGTCTGTTTCCACCTCTCTCTGCTCTGTAACTCCATCTTTCAAATAAATAAAATGAATCTTAAAAAACAAAACAAAACAAAACAAAACAAGTTCATCATCTGTCTCACAAACCTGCTCTTCTTCCCTAAGTAGGTGGAGTCTTGTCTTGCGAGCTCCTGTCCATTGTGGTCTGTTTTCCCACACAGTTGAATGAGAGATGGAGGTGAAGTGTCAGTCAGCATCCTTACCTGGCAGCCATGCTTATTCATTGTGTCCACTGCTCTTCTCACAGCATCGTTTGTAGGCTCACACTGTTCCACCTGAGTCTTCATGTTGTGCTCAAAATACGGGCCTATCAGAAAATAATTGTCTCCCCATTCATTTGCTGTTATTTTTGCCTTTGTCTGAATCACAGTACAGATGCCTCCAACTGTTAAAAAGGAAAAAAAAAAAACACAAGTGCTATTATCATTTGGGTAAATAATTCATTTTAAGTGATGAAGAAATGGAAATTCTAATTTTTCAGTTGCTATTTACTATCTACCAAGTCTAAGGGTCTGGTTAACTTTCTAACAAAAGGTGGTGTTTAACTTGTTGATGAAGGACACGAAGACATAGTTACTATTTGACTCAATTCTGGGTACTTTCTTTTAAAGTTTATTTACTTATTTGAAAGGCAGAGTTACAGGGATGAGGAGGGAGAGAGAGGGTTACTCCCCAAATGGCCACAATAGCCAGGGCTGGTCCAGGCTGATGCCAGGAGCCAGGTACTCCATCTGGGTTTCCCACCTGGGTGGCAGGGGCCCAAGTACTTGGGGCATCATCTGCTGCCTCAGCCATGGGAATATTTTAAAGTCTCTTCTGGGTGCATGTGAGAGAGCAGCTGTCTGGGGGCAGCAGGGAGGTTCCAACATCTCAAGGTACTTTGAAGAAAGGATTGGGGTAAAGCAATACCTGGCTTATAGCTCCCTCTACATTGAAGTGTCAAAGGGCATCCATATAGCCTTTGTCACGACATGTGCCCACTGCAGCAGTAATCACCTTTTCCCTCCTCTCCTACAGTGGTCCACAAATGGGGCTAAGGTGATTCTAAGAACACCTCCTTTGCTTGCAATTGTAAGCAAATCTTCCAAACTAAACAGAAAGTCACCCTTTAAAGCATCAAGCAAGTACCATTTAACAAAGGAAAAGAGCGGATAGAATTTGATGGAAGATGCTCTGCCCAACCTTATTGCAAATTTTCACACTCATAAGCCCCATCTGCCTTCCTTGAGTCACTGTTTCCTCTTGTCCTCTGGCATTGCTGAAACCACTATTAAAACAGAGCCAGGAACCATGTATACACTTGGACCCAACACATTCACCTCTAGAAAATTGTCCTGAGGGAAAAATAAAGAGTGCACAAAGATATGTATATGAGGACATGCATTGAAGGATGATAATTGCAAAAAAAAAATACTGGAAACAATTTGGATCCAACTAGTGAACTCACTAACTGACATAAGGTTAAATTATCTCATCCGTTAACTAGAGATAAAATAGTATTCAGCTTGGAGGAAAATTTAGGTTATAGCAGCAGTACTAGAAATAAGACTTCAATGAAAAGATATTTGAGCAAGTGAACTATTAATTAAATAGTGATTTAAACGAGTGAAGAAATTATTGTGGGGGAGAATTTTTAAGCAGAGGTGATGGTTAGCATCAAGGCCATAACATGAGAGCAGAGTGAGCAAGGAGAGCATACTGGGCATTGAAAAGGAGGATTTGAGGTACAAGAACTACGTGGTAGGCATGGGCAGGGAAAGGGAAGAAGACCTCCATTTTGCTTAGGTGGGAAATGCTCTGTATGAGTCCTAAGTAGTAATCATGTATGAGATTATGAAAACAGTCTGGGTCAATTTCTTGAACAATAATTTTTCCATGAGCTATAAACAATAAATAACTGAAGAAATCCTCAGGGACAGAATTGTGGAGCTATGAGTTAAGCCACTGCGAGCAACACCAGCATGGCCTATGGGTGCCAGTTTGAGTCCCAGCTGCTCCATTTCCTATTCAGCTTCCTACTAATGCACCTGGGAGAGTAGCAAAAGATGACCCAGGTACTTGGGCCCCTGCACCCATGTGGGAGACCCAGATGAAGCTCCTGCTTCCTGGCTTTGGTCTGTTGCGACCATTTGGAGAGTGAACCAGAAGATAGAAAATCTGTCTCTCTTCCCATAACTCTGTTTTTCCAATAAATAAATTAAATGTTTAAAAAAGGGAAATCCTCTGTAAAATCCTGGAACTAATGTGATTCTGGTGCCAATTTCCAGCTCAATTGCAAAGCATGATTACCTGTGGTTCCATACTAAAAACAAAACAAAACAAAAACACCAGTTTCTTCTCAGTTTTTTAGTGCTATATTTCTAAAGGTATTCCAAGTCATCAGGATATAGGTTTTATACCTACTGCATATCTCAAATTTCTCATTTCAGCAACATAGGCTTTAAGAAATAAATCTTAACAGCAGTCACAACTAATGTCCAAAGTGTAGGGTTGCCAACTATGTATTTTTCTCTAAGTCTGAGCTACTCTGCATACACTAGTACATTCTGGAAAATTGCCGTTTGAGAATTAGACCTAAAAGGTGGAATAAAAACAAAATAAAATTTAAAAAAACAGTCTATCGCTCATCAGCTGAGACCTGACTGAAAATAAATCTCCCAGACATCTGCTTCCCTGAACAGTAATTCTGTTGGGAGGTCCTCTTGCCCCTGTTTCATTGACTCAAGCATCATACTAACCCTTCTTTCTCCTCTCATAGTTATTGGCTAATTACATTCCCCTGATTTTCACTCTACTTTCCATACTTTGCCCCAGACTTCTCTCTTAGCAGGGTGGCATAGAATTGAGTTCAATAAAATAGAGAGCTTCATTTCTATGCTCAAATTTGGGGGTTCAACAACACATGTATTTTAATCACCAATAAATACAAGTTTATTCATACATTTAAAAAACACACACTCAATATCATTAATGAATTTAGTGTTTTACAAAGGGTAGGTCATTGAATTTGAACTTAACCTTCACTTTCAAACAAGTACTTTGTATTTTATTGATCTACATTTTCCTGCAACAACATGGGAGCTACTATTCGAGTGAGGACAAAGTATCAGGCCTTTTATAGGAAAGAACAGATGAGCTTCTGTGGATTATATAGCAATTAAGTGGTAAAAGCCTAAAGCTGTCATCTAGAAATACTGCTGATTTTACCAAAATCACTATTCCAAAGTTCCAAAGGAGTGTAGAATGGACACACTACAAAATCCCCCTAACACCCTCCCTCAACACACACACGAAGTTATTTCAAAAAGTTCATGGGAAATAGGATGAAAGAAGTTAAATTTGTTTTGGAGTAAAAAAATATTGAAGTCCATGCATAGTTTTTTTTTCATAACATGCATTTTCCATGAACTCTTTGAAGGGCCTTAGTATATACATGTATAATAATGTTAATAAAATTGAGGGAATCTTTACAATTTTCTAAATGCTTAAAAATTAGAGACTTTCAGAGTCTTTTGACCATTTCAGGAAGGATGGCTGCTCATCTTGCCCTCCTGTCCAGAGACAGGGTTTCGGGAACGGAGGTCATCATTACATGGCGGCAGCAGATCTGGTGGAAAGAGATTCTAATCGCCACTTGTGACAATGGTCAACAAATATATGTATTCTCAGAACTTCACTTGGTTTGTGGTTCAAATCAAAGCTCTACATACAGTAGGAGGTGATCCTCAGACTTTGAGCAAAATCACAAACCACCCACTCTGATGATACCTACAAATGACAGCTCCAAGTATTCTCTCTGAGAGGGGATTAGACATGGCAACCTGGGTGAACAGCAATGGGGGAGACTAGCGTTTGTCCATCTGTGTGTGTGCCATGTCTGATTTCTATAGATTGCATGCTTCATGTGGTGTGGCTTTGGATGCCATGGACATGGCCACTGCATAACCACACCAGAGAGAAAAATGTCAAGCCTTACTCACTGTGTCTCCAGGAATGAAGTAACCTTGATCTACATCTTTTTCCTCTTTCGGCTCTTGCATTTAAAAAAATAAATATCATAGAATCAAAATGATCTGGTGCCGCGGCTCACTAGGCTAATCCTCCGCCTGCAGCGCCGGCACCCTGGGTTCTAGTCCTAGTCGGGGTGCCGGATTCTGTCCTGGTTACTCCTCTTCCAGTCCAGCTCTCTGCTGTTGCCCGGGAGTGCAGTGGAGGATGGCCCAAGTGCTTGGGCCCTGCATCCCATGGGAGACCAGGAGAAGCACCTGGTTCCTGGCTTTGGATCAGCACGGTGCACCGGCTGCAGTGCTCCAGCCATAGAGGCCATTGGGGGTTGAACCAAGGGAAAAAGGAAGACCTTTCTCTCTGTCTCTCTCTCTCTCTCTCACTGTCCACTCTGCCTGTCAAAACAAAAAAAAAAAATACTACAAAGCTACCGTAATGCAAAAGCATGGTACTAGTATAAAAATGAGCATACAGACAAGTGGCATAGAGTAAAGAGCTCAGAAACAGTCTTACAGATCTGTAGCCAATTGACTTTTGACAAAGGGGCTATGAATATTAGAGAAAGGACAGTATCTTCAATAAATGGCTTCGGGAAATTTGAATATCCACAAGCAAAAGAATGAAACTAACCACCTTTCTGTCATACAAAAATCAACTCAAAATGGGTTAGACTTAAATCTAAGACTAAAAACTGTGAACTGGCTAGAAGGAAACATAAGTGAATCACTTAATGATGTTGAACTGGACTAAGTTTTTTTTTATAACATCCCCCCCCCCAAAAAAAAAAAAAAACACAAAAGCAAAAATAAACAAATGGGATAACATCAAGATAAAATGATTCTGCACAGAAAAGGAAACAAATAATACAGTGAAGAGAGAAGAACCTCCGGAAAGCAATTTGACAGTACTTGCACGCCCACCGTCTGTCTTTCTGCCAGTCTGTACGTTCTGGAAGAATAGAAATCAGAAACACAGAGTTAAACTCTATCTCCCTTGTTTCCCAGGGCCTGGCACCTTACAGTCACTTAGTGAATCTACTGAATAAGAAATGGATGAATGATCAGAAGAAATAGATTTCAAGGTTAATATGAATCCCTGGAAAAGATGACTTTGAGGTATGACAATGAACATAATAATTTCACTGGGGCTCCTCCATATACTAAAATTTTACACATGTCCATTATTAACTGGCACAATTCTGGCAGTGAGGGATTTTTTTTCTCTAAGAAATTTTTTGTTTTCTAGGATATGAATACATTCCCTTGTTTGTCACAAATACCAGGAGGAAACTGATATCCAAATAGTTTAAGGGGTTTTTCCTCATAGTTTCAGAAATCCCTGATATTTCATTCCAAGTTAAAATTCTTCCATCCATAGGACATTTTCTGAGACAATGAAAGTTCTAATATATAATTCTTATAATTTAGTGAAAAGGAGAATTGGACTTGGAGGAGAACCAGTCCTAGTCCTCAGTGACATGTGCTGGATTTTTTTTAATGCCTTTACATGTCTATTTCATCTATAAAACAGCGAAGTTGCCTTCATGGTCACGAAGATGCCTCCTAACACTGCGATGAACTACAGAGAAGGATGAATTCAAAAGACATCTGAAAAAAGAAACTGCAGTGGAAACGTATTGCGGGGATGAGTATACTAATTGCCCATCTACATAAAACTCTCTAACAAAATTGGACCGAGGCCATTATTAAAATCAAGATACATTGCAGATGATGTCAGCTTGGGTAAATCATGGTGTAGATTCCTCTCCACAAAAGAAATGCCTGGAGCTGGCATTTAAGCTAGAGAAACCTTTGTCATATGTCTGAGTGCCTGGGCTCCAGTCCTGACTCCACTGCTGTTCCCAACTGCCTGCTAATACAGACTGTGGGCGGTGGCTGAGTCCCTACCACTCATGTGGGAGACCTGTACTGAGGTCCACACTACAGGCTTTTGCAGGTTTTGGGGGAGGGAACCAGTAAATGGGAGACCTCTACATACACACACACTCTCTCTCTCTTCCCCCCTCCACTAAAATAAATAAATAAATAAATAAATATTTTAAAAAGAAAGAAATTCCCTTCCTTTGCAAGGTAAATAATAGAAAATAAGTATCAATGGTGACTCAGAGGTTGAAATATAAATGTGTTTATTGCTTCCTTAGGAAAGAAAATCATTGAGCATGTCTATGTGCCTGGCACTGGCACTGGCCCTGTTCCAGGCCCTGGGCTCAGTGCACACATCACTGGGATATAAGGTCTGTGGGGGCAATTCTGTTTTCATGAGTGTATTCTCAACTCCCAGCAGACAATACTCATCAGTGTTTGCTACGTGGAGAGAAAGGCAGGGAGAAGGGGCCCTGCCCAAGTTGGGGAACCCATGCAGATTTCCTCTAGACTGACACCCAGTACAAAAGAGATGTCCCCACCCCCAAGTTGTTCCACCAATAAGCCCTGTCCTCGTGTTCCTGCCTGCTCTGTAGAGACAGCCTTGCTTTCAAGGCACACTATGGCTGAGGTGGTTCTAGTCCCACAAACTCTGGGCACATTTTTACATTGGAAAAATGTGTGACTGGAAAAAGGCAAACAAAACCGCTACTTGCAAAATACTTCTGCTCTCGACACTAACATTTCTTTCCTCATTGCTTCCTCTTCCCCAACTATAGAGAAGAAGACATGCCTCTGTGCACATCCAAAAAGGCACGATGGATTTTCAGTATGAATTTTATGAATGCATACAACTGAGAACCTGGAGCAGCTGGCACAGGTGGATATCAGAACGGATGCCAAACAATTTCTCTACAATTCAGTTTCTGCTTCCAAAAAGAAGCGATGCCTCACATTCATTCTATCATATCTCACAGGTGATCACGGCCATTTACCCATAATTTCTTGGCCTGGTCCTTCATGGTCTTTTTCTTGGTTAAAATTCCCTCATCAGTCACGACGCTTAAGCTACAGAATGCCAGTCCACAAGGAACTGTTTTATGCATTTACAGACCTTTAGTTTGCAGTTCCCTACTTGGCTCTCTCCAATCCAGTGCATATGAGCTTTTATCTTATAATGGAAATAATTAAGAAATTATTTCAACTTGACTGATTTGATTTCCCTTCTTATAGTATCTTTCTATGTCTGGCATTGAAGAAAGAGAAAGGAGCAATACTATACATTCTGATCAGATTCCAAAATAAAGTTTTAATTCCAAGCTACTCTTGAATTATTAGGAACATTATTCAATATTTCACATAATCACTAATGTATATAGAATTAAGGTTTGTAACTGGCCCTGATCTTTTGACAAGAAAAAAGAAGAAAGCAGTTAATCATGCCTTTTTTCACTGAGAAAAATAATAAAATACAGAAGTAAATATTAACCTTTTATTTTTACTTCGCTGTAACATAGATTTAAATTTTAATTAAAACTCACATTGCCTGGCAATAACTGATATTTTCAACTTGCTCCCTCTTCCATAGATCCTCAAGTCTGAGTTTGCATTGCCTATGGAAACAAACAAAGCTAAGTGCAATCCAAACACCTGAAGGCTCTCCTCTCTCCCTGGAAATTCCACATTCCTACGCGTTCACCTGTGAAATCCTAGTCTATGCCTTCAGCAGTCTGGCAAAGGGTCACCTCCAGGCGCAGTACAAACCTTTATTGGTCACCTCCCAAGAAACTTCAAAGAGCAGTAAATCATCCACGGGCAGTTCTTCAACTTCCCACTGAGGCAGCCCACCCAGGGACGTCACAGAGAGGGAGCGGCCCCGGAGCATTGTTCCTCCTGTCCTTGGGAACTTGCTTCAATCTCTGTGTCGGTGAATTGCAATCCTAGCAGAGGATCAGAGCTGGCAGGATCAGGCTTTGGCAGCTTCTTGTAGAAATAAACCAGCAGAATGAAATCTGCTGTGCTTCCTGGGGAACTCGAAGACAGAGAGGAATTCTCAGCTCTGCTTGGCGGTGGCTCAGCACAGGTGGGCACAATACACTTGACTGCTCCTGAGCGACCTTGAATGAGCACAAACCTACAGCCTCCAGGGTGGACTGAGCGTGATACGAGTTCAGCCCTTTAGCCCTTGTCCTTCCGACCAAACTCCCAGACACACCAGTGCTTATTTCATCATTTCCAAAGTGATCCAGAATTAGCAATTCCCCTCATAAAGGCTACACGCTACTCCAGATTAGATTCACGTGTACAATCACCTGGGCTACCTCTCTAGTTTTAAATCCATTTAGATTTCTTTTCTTCCTTTTAATTCCCCATGTTAGAGCTTAAAAAAAAAAAAACCCTATTTACTTTCCTAAATTTGAAATTGAATTTTGATGATAGCTGTGGATATTGAGTTCCCTTCTTTCAATTACTTTTCTTAAAGTTTTCACCACTGAAAAAGCATAACTCTTACTGTCTTTTTAGTCATGTTTATACATTGACCTCCGATACGACCAACTTGATAAAGAATAATTCAACGGATGTGAAAGAGTTCAAATAGGGGAAGAAATTGACAACAGAAATTAGGTTCTGAAAGAATCACCAGGATCATATGAACAATAAATGAAACCTAGATTTGCTTTTCCATGCATTTGTATGCAGGCAATTATGTGAAAAGGTTCTTCAAAGAGTTCATGGAAAAGTAGAATTAAAAGATAAATTTATTGGGGCTGGTAGTGTGGTACAGTGCATTGAGCTGCCACCTGTAATGCCAGCATTCCATATGGGAGAACTTGACAGCAGCTGTGCTGTTTTCCATCAGGCCCGCTTGCTAATGCACCTGGGAAATCAGCTGAGCATAATTCAAATACTTGGGTCTCTGCCAGCCACCTGAGAGACTAGAGTTCCTGGCTCTTGGATGTAGTCTGTCCCTGTTCCAACCATTGCGGCCATTTGGAGAGTGAACCAGTGGATGGAAGACCTCTCATTCTCTCTGTCACTCTGCCTTCCAAATAAATAAAAACACAATGTAAAAAAAGAGGTAAGTTTATTTTGGCAAAAACGAATTGAAATCCATTGCAGTTTTGTCATAATACACACTTTTCATGAACTTTCTGAGGACTGCTTTTATGAACGGACTGATATTTTTTTGCACCAAAATAAACTTAGCTTTTAATTCCACTTTCCATAAACTTTTTGAAGTACCATAAAATTCACCAATGTATTTACGTGCACGCACATACACACACACACACACACACACAATGTTATTCCTAAGAGGAGTGAGGACATTCACAAATATGCTTAATTTTGAACCATCTTACTATGCGGATTTAGCCAACAACCAATTTTTTTAAACTTTTATTTAATAAATATAAATTTCAACAACCAATATTTTTACATTAGTGTACTATATAGCAACAGAAGTGAAACACACAAAATGTTCTTCACGTTATAGTTATAAGCAGAATTGTCATGGAATGGTTTGTTAATACTCTCAGAACCTTTTATTTCATCTTTAGCTATTTTCTATATGGCTGGTGCTATCAACTTGAGCCTATCTTAATTACTTAAGACAGATAAAACCATAATTAATTATGTGATACTAATAAATCTATGTGAATTAAATACACTAAACATATCTTCCCTGATTCACCAACATGTATGATTCTTTTCTATGTCTAAAACATAAATTTAAGTACCCAGTTTATTATTCCTTCATTTGAGTTGTGAGGAAAAAGTGATATAGTTAATCAAAAATAAAAACAAGTACTAAAGTAGCAGAGTGACAAATCTCAATGCCTTTACAAAATTATTTGCTTGTTGACATAACCTCGGCAGGTCCTGCAAATACAAATTCCAATGAAACAAAACAGAAGGACATGTTGACAAGAAGTGAGAGTGGGATGACAGGAAGATGACAGAGCTTTGAAAATTCGCAGTGTGTAGTATCACCAACTCTGAGGTCTAGTCTTCCAGTGCTGAACAGGAGGCCACACAACAGGTGATTCTCATTACTCAACTTACACTCTAATGCTGATTTACCCATTTACACTATGTGCCAGGTACCAAGTATGTGGTGGTGAGTTAAGTCCAAGTGGTCAGTAAACAGCTGTGCAACCTTAGAGCTGAGTGAAGCAGTTTACAACATGATTGTCTCACACATTCCCATTCTTGTTATTTGATTTTTTAAAGATTTATTTAAAAGAGTTACAGAGAGAGAGGGAGAGCCAGAGAGAGCTCTTCATCCTTTGTTTAACTACCCAAATGGCCACAATGGCCAGGTTTGAGCCAGGCCAACACTTAGGTGCAAGGGTCCAAAGTCTTGGACCATCCTCGGCTGCTTTTCCCTGGCCATTAGCAAGTAGCTGTATCATAAGTGGAGCAGCAGGACTGGCGTTGTGGCTTAAGGGGTTAAGCCGCCGTCTGCGACCCTTATGGACACCAATTCAAGTCCTAATGCACCTGAGAAAGCTGCAGAAGATGGCCAAAGTGATTGAGCTCCTGCACACACATGGGAAACCCAGATGAAGCTCCTGGCTCCTGGCTTTGTCCTGGCCCAGCCCCAGCCATTGCAAACATTTGGATAGTGAACCAGAGGATGGAAAATTGGAAGATCTCTCTGTCTCTCTGTCTCTGTCTCTGTCTCTGTCTCTCTCTCTCTCTCTCTCCCCTCTCCCCACCTCTCTTCCTCTGTAACTCTTCATTTCATAAAAGAAATAAATAAATAAAAAGTAAATAAAATCTTTAAAAAGAATGGAGCAGCCGGGACACAAACCAGCACCCAGCACCCATATGGGATGTGGTTGCGGGCGGCAGCTTTGCCAGCTACACCACGATGCCAGCCCCTATTTTGATTTCTATGAAATAAATGCCTTGTCTTTGGTTCCCATTTGGTGTTTGTCAAGAACCAGCACTCCCAATGCAACCCAGCACCTCCCATGTAGCAGGCGGTGGTAACTCTTGATCCCTTCATTCTCAACATGAGGACATTATTGGCCAATATTTGCCTTTTCGTGGTGAAGGTCATTTTCAAAATTTCTCCTTGAGTCAAGAGAAGTGAAATAAATATAACTATATGAAGTATGTTCAAGGAATGCATTGCCACCCATCCAGGTTATCTGGGCGAATTCTCTCCTTTCACATAGATATACAGAGAAAAGCAGTCATTTGCACAAGATTTAGAGAAAGGTCAGGAGCACTTCTATGCTTCTGAAATCCCTAAATTCCCCCCCTCTTACATTTGTGTTAAACCCAGCTCTTAATTTCATTTCCCCACAGACTTACTGAAGTACCCTTTCGTTCCACTGATAAGCATAAAGCTGGGAGCACAAAGAGGGTAGCAATCCAGAGTTTGGGGTTTCTTCAAGGTGAGAGAGACACTCTCAAAAGTCCCTGGCCCCTAACTTTGGACTCACACTAATATTATGTCATTGAATGAACAGAGATGAGAATGTAATTAAACAAAATGAAGACTTGTGTTTGATTTCCTTAGTAAATATTCCAGCAGAGGTCACTAGATACATTTAGAATATCACACATTCACTGTGGCATTTGGAATCTTCTTGGAAGTCTTTAAGAAATATTAGAGGGTATCATGAGATAGAAGTGAGTGTTTTGGGCTGGCACCGTGGCTCACTAGGCTAATCCTCCACCTGCAGCGCTGGCACCCCAGGTTCTAGTCCCGGTTGGGGCGCCGGTTCTGTTTCGGTTGCTCCTCTTCCAGTCCAGCTCTCTGCTGTGGCCCGGGAGTGCAGTGGAGGATGGCTCAAGTGCTTGGGCCCTGCACCCCATGGGAGACCAGGAGAAGCACCTGGCTCCTGGCTTCGGATCGTCACAGCGCACCGGCCCTGGAGGCCATTGGGGGGTGAACCAAGGGAAAAAGGAAGACCTTTCTCTCTCTCTCTCTTTCTCACTGTCTAACTCTGCCTGTCAAAAGAAGAAGAAGAAGAAGAAGAAGAAGAAGAGGAGGAGGAGGAGGAGGAGGAAGAAGAAGAAGAGGAGGAGGAGGAGGAGGAAGAAGAACTGAGTGTTTTGGCTGGGGAGGTCAATAAAGACTCCTATGGGGGCGGCACTCTAACATAGCAGGTTAAATAGCCGCCTGCAGTGCCTGCATCCCATATAGGCACCAGTTCGAGTCCCAGCTGCTCCACTTCAATCTAGCTCTCTGCTAATGTGCCTGAGAAGGCCACAGAAGATGGCCCAAGTGTTGGGGCCCCTGAATCCCAGCTCCAGGCCGTGGCCTGGCCCATTGCCACCATTTGGGGAGTGAACCAGTGAGTGGAAGACCTCTCTCTGTGTCTCTTAATCTCCTCTCTCTCTCTCTCTCTGCCTTTCAAAATAAGTAAAATAAATCTTTAAAAAAAAAAACCCTTTGATGAAATAGCATGCGAATTTAGACATCCATAATGAGAAAGTGGTAACACCGTAAAATCCGGGAGAAGCTAGAGCAAAACCTCCAATCCTTAAAGGCACGGAAAGAAGACCAATGTGCCAAGAGCTCTAAGGACAATGAATGAGGGCACATCTGGGGGAATGAGGTCAGAGGAAGTCAGAGAACAGACTGCAGAGAATTTGGTTGAGAATTTGGATTCCATTTTGGTTATAATGAAAGTCATTGGAAGAAGCAAGGGAGCTAGCTCTACAAAAATGAAATATTATGAAGGCAAGAGAGGAAGCTTGGAAGCTATGGTTATAGAGCCTGTATCTCAGTTGCACATTCTAGCATAGAAAACTTTTTCTTTTCCGTGGATAGCCTATTTTCTTCTCAATCTTGTCAAAGCAGGAATGAAAGCATTCAGCCTTTTCTTGTCAAGGTTAGGGAGAATTCCTTTGCTTCCCAATGTGGCATCCTTAAATATGAGGGTACTTCAAACACGTTCCTGGAAAATGGAATTTTTTTTTTGACAGGCAGAGTGGACAGTGAGAGAGAGAGACAGAGAGAAAGGTCTTCCTTTGTCGTTGGTTCACCCTCCAATGGCCACCGCGGCCGGCGCGCTGCGGCCAGCGCACCGCGCTGATCCGATGGCAGGAGCCAGGTGCTTCTCCTGGTCTCCCATGGGGTGCAGGGCCCAAGCACTTGGGCCATCCTCCACTGCACTCCCTGGCCACAGCAGAGAGCTGGCCTGGAAGAGGGGCAACCTGGACAGAATCCGGTGCCCCTA